GGAAAGAAATGCGGCAGCGGCGCCGCTTCTTCTACCACAGAGCGGGAGAATATGCCGGGCCCGCGCTGGAGAGCTCGGTTGCCATTTCATCGCGCGCGCAGTCCGCTTATCGTCCATCGGATCGAGAATCCAAGAGTCTATTCCTGTAAGAGCGGGTTTCGGATGACGCCCGGCCGGCCCCGCCAGCCGCCTGCTCCTTCCTCCTCAAAATATTATCCGGCGCCGCTGTCAGCGCACTTTTGCGAACGCCAAGTCCTTGGACCGGGGAGTCTCGCTTGCGTCCAAGATCCGGTCAAAGACAGCTTCCGATATATTCACCCTTAATCCTGCGGATCGTTGCGTTTAAAAGGCCAGAATAACTCGAGCGATTGAATTCCGGCCTCGCTTGGCGCACACGAGGCTTTTGAACATATTTGATTCCACGGAACATTCCACTATCAGACTGGGTACCCGTCGAAGCCGGTGGACGTTCTGGGATCTCGGTTTCCCCAAGGTTCGGTGGCGACAAACTCGTTGCACCTTGTTCGATGTGCCGGTCTCGAAGTCGGTTGTGGGGAGAAGAAGAAGGTCACCCGGGAGCAGACCCATTTCCCGAGTGTCGTTTGTGCATTTTGGGGCATTACCGGCGCGGCTATGCGGTTCCCGGAAGTAAGTTTTTGCAAGGAGTTCCCCGGTCGTATTTCCCGATTGGAGACACAAATACATAGACATAAAAGACCGTATATACTCAGGGACAGCGTATTTCCCCAGCTCCTTGGAAGTCGAGCGAGCTCCAGCACTCGAAGATTTATTGATGTGCAGAAATGCTCCGATGCAAAATCTGCAGCACCAATCGTGGCAGATTGACAGACTATGCGGTATCGGCGTGTGGGTAAGTGACAGAAACCAGCCTCGATCCCGATTAGCCCGAAGCTTCGTAATCCTAGCCGGCAGCTTCTGCATTCGATGACCCAAAGCTTCCGCGTGATTCAGGTGCGAGTTGTCATTCGAGGCAGCTGTGGCTGGACCGCCCAGTGCCAACAGCCAGGGGCCCTCGAGCGTTGGAGGGGGCTGATTACACGAGGGCAGATGTGAATCCGGTCAAGCCCTCGAGGAATCGAATCCTCGTAAATCGCTAGGCTCTTCGATCCATTGTGGAAGCATGTAGAGATCTTGGGGTCAGTCGGACAGCGTTCGGACTGATTACTAAGGCTGCAGGCTAGAACAACCCAGACCGTATGACTGTGGGCCGACGGCATACGGTCACCGTCGTGACGGTCTCTCGTTTGTCACCGTCGCGTCAAGAAGTCACCCGTCGAACGCGCACACTCTGGAATTCAAATTCGACACACAGACAGTCGATGTGAGACACGTGTCGGCGCGATGGAACAGTGTGCGCGACAAGAGCGTTAGTGCGAGGTTCAATTTCTTGGATCTTCGGCTGGTAATCTCATCAGTGTGTTCAGCCCAGAGCGAACTATTCTTTCGCCTTTTACTAAAGAATACCGTGTGCGGGACACAGAAGCAGCTTGTTCAAATATTTGGAATGCTCCTTCGTTGGAGCAACCATCCAACCAAACCAAACAAGGATATCATAGCTTTTGATTCACGAGTCATAAGATTCATGAGTTAACACAGTTGCGTACAAGTCCGAATGACACAATAGCTTAATGTGAATTACTCTGGGAGTTAAAAACTCAAAAGTACTGTTTATTAAAAAATGATCGATCTCGAGGGTGCAGTAGTAGAGTTCCTTAAGTTCTTACGTATGGCCACACTTAGATCAGGTAAGGAAAAGTCTTCCTTAGTACATTCTGAGACATTTAGCTCGCTGAACCTGGGCAATTCCTTGGAATCGACGTGCATGGCAAGGTGGTGCAGAATTGCAAAAACGGCGACAGATCTGTTTCTGGTGGCAAGATTGATGATGTGATGGGCTTTGAACAGGCGAAGAGTCTGTAATCTGAGTACCACAAACTCAGCATGCTCTTTCTTAATTTAGGTTCTTTCATTTCAGCTTTGCAAATTTAACAGAATCATCCAGTCTGCCATGGAGAGGAAATTTTCTGTTTCCAATATGGCACTTCGAGGAAACCACTTCTTCGGCACTGCGTACTTGAGCAAATTGCAGGAAGTCACCCATCACCACTTACTGCAGCAATTCATGACATTGATTTGTTTAATTGTAGACATGAGCACAGATTTGAGAAAGTGGATAATGGGAAACATACACGTCTTATGACAGGGTCGGGACTATTGCGCTTTCCCGAAACTCAGTTAAGGTAGACCAGACGGACGAGTAAAACAGCGTGCAAGGTTCAGTGCTGGGAAGGGACGGGAAGAGAAACGGAGACCAGACGGACGAGAAAAACAGCATGCAAGGTTCAGTCCCGGGGAGAGAAAAGGAGAGCAAGGCTGACATCGAGCTTTTAGAGAGCACTAGGAGAAAGAAGGAAACCAAGCAAAATTTGAAACCCCGCCAGTTCTCTCAAAGCCGCGACGACAAGAAAATCCATGGCCCCAAACAAACGCAACTGCCCTGGCAATCGTAACTCATCCGCTAGACTGCAGAAATCATTCGACAAATGATTTCTGCATTCAACAAATCGCCACCTCCGAGCTCGCCCCGATCCGCCATCGCCAATCCGAGAGAAAGAAATGCTCGACGAAGAGGTCGGCCGGTCGTTTTGAGGGCGAAACGTGAAACTCTTGGTTGACGGTGACAGTGAAACCTGAAGGGTGACGGTGACTGTGAAACCCGAACGGTGTACGTATGCCGTCAGCCCGGAGAGCATACGGTCGGGGTTGTTCTAGTTGTTCAAAGCCAGCACGTGTGCCACACCCAAGCAGGGTCGAGGCCAGGGCGACCCTCAACGTCCGGAGCACCGTCGACTTCAAGATATAATTACCCGCTCATGTCGGCCCCACTTCCTCTGCGATCCAAACCCCCCGATCCGTTATTAGAAGTGCTTGGTTTCTAAGCGCGAAGGCCGTCGTACAATTGATGATCCATCTTCCCCTTTCTCTTACTTTTTCTCCGTCCTGTCGTGATCTGCTCCTGTCCTCCGGCAAATTTCAAGAAGAGGACGAGAACAAGAACCAGCACCAATTTTGCCTTCATTGTGTCCATTTTCTCACTCGATTGTCCACCATCGGACTCGAACCCGGCCTTCTAGGCCTCGGGGAAGCAGAAGTAGAATTAGGGTTCCATCGTTTCGAGAGGAGGTGAATATGCTGGGGTGTGAGCGATGGGGCAGACTCAGAAGTGTCGCGACAGTGATATGCTAGAATGAGTGTAAAGCTAGCGGACGTAGAGATTTGGATCCTACACTAGGCCACACCGAGCGCAGGGCGTTGTCACCAGAACATGTGTCTTGCGGGAGGCACAACAATATGGGGAGGGTGTAGGGATTGGGCGAAACTCGCGCTCGACTAGAACTCATGGAATTTCATTCCCGACAAGATTATCACAATAATATGCCATTTGTCTGTCTGTCTTTCTGTCCGAGAGGAGATTCTCGACGCTCTTGCTTTCTCGTCCTAACGATCTTGCACCTCCTCCTGGCAGCCCCCTTTCGGTCTCTCGGGCCCCGAGCTGCCTCGACGATGTCAGAGCCCAACTCATCAGCCGCAAACTGCAACGAGGTTGAAAGACAGGTGGATCCGCCTAGCTGCCATGAGTCGGCTGCCAACCTAATCAAAATCCTCCTAAGATTTTTTGACACATATGTCCAAACTCGAAGTTCGAACCGTATTGTTACGGATTGCCAACGAGACTGAACCTGCTGTTTTTACTACTCCTTGTGCCTTGCCTGTCGTGCGCTTTCGAGGCTGGTAATTCCCAGTCCTCTTTACTCATCCCCAGGGACTGGTACAGCTCGTGGGGTAACCTGTCTGGGTATGAGGCGAGCCAAATTTTGACAGTTGGATCGAGTGCTTGAGAGCGGAAAGGGCAAAAAAACTTCGTAGTCGGAATGCTGTCACTGGCTGTCTGTCAGACAAGCCTACTGCTACCGATACTTTCGTTCCTTCTCGGGGCTACTGGTCTTCTTACTTCTTAGTGCTGGTGCCGGTATCGGACTCGACTCCTTGAACAACGAATCACATTCCAGCACGATGAAAGTTGCCCTCGGGTCCGGAGTCGATCCGTGGATATAGCCAGAAGGCAGTTCTGACAGCACAGGAAGTTGTCGGATGGACAGACGAACCGCTAGACCCCAAGCTCAACGCATCGAGAGCCATATCCATGCAGATCTGGTCTCGCCAGCACGTCACCGGACGTCTCTCGCGTTCCTATGCATTAGACTGACGCGTTTGGGAGGTTCGAACAACACAATGACTCACCTCCTAAATCTCCTTTCGCGATTCTTCCAGCCGCAGGGCAGTTCACGAGACCGGAAAGTGCGGCCCACTCGTTCACGGTGTCGAGAGCTGCACCTCGTTTTCCGTCTGGATAATGCTTCCCAGTTCAAACCTCGCTAAGGAAGCGCCTTCGAGCTTCTACAGATCAGCCGGGAGAAGTTATGTGGCTGATCCGGATATCACCGAGGCCTTTTCCAAACTAGATAAACATTTCTGGGAACTGTATGGTCTTTCCCGATTCATCTCCTCTACGGCAGAGAAATCCGTAGAAGTGTACAGAAGCAGCTGTGGTCTCACTCCTGAATATTCAAACCTAAAAAGGTGTCCACGAGACGAGATACTCTGCAGGGGCCCATCCCCTTCGCCGTTCCTCCTCCCCAACTAGCTTAGCGATCCTACTGTCGCAGCGACTTCGAGCCTCTAGACTCGACAGGGGAAATTGCGAGCCGGAGAGAGAAAACTTCACCATCTCCAAGTCCAGAAAGAAAGCTCAGAGAAAAGGACGAATTGCGAGGTCAGAACCTCTACATGTATGAACACGATTTCTTTCTACAAAAGCCGCTTGCGTTGACACCTGAGAAGCAGAAACAGTCAGAGAGTGGAAAGGAGAATCAATGGGTCTTCACTTTACAAGGGCCCAATGCCGTGCTTCCGTACCCGCTAAGAGAAGAGTCAAGTGTCAAGGTTCAATGAACTGCCAAGAATAGCCGAGGCTAATAAGCTTGTACGTCCTGATCCGGTTGCAGGACTTAGCTTCGCCGGGTTATTGTGATCAGGACGGTGCCTCTTACTCGCAAGCTTCCGACAACAGAAAGCGGATATCATAGGGTTCGAACTTTGGATCGTACAAAATGCCAGCACTCCATACATGCCAATTCCAGTTCATGAATGTAATGTACAGCAGTGGCAGGTGGCCATTGATCTACAACTAGTTCTACAAAACTGGTGATTCACTTACCTAACCTTCTACGCTAAAAGTGATCGACGTACACGACAGCCTCGGAGACTCGTGAGAAATCGAAATCGCCCGTAGGCCTATGCCGTGTCTATCTACTTCATCATCGTCATCATCGTAGGGCTTCTTTCTGCGCCTGTATTAACGTCGAAGAGTATCTTTCCCAGTTTGATCGAACAATTGATTCGTCTGATTGACATGCCTCTCTCCAAAAATCGCAATCCTCCGTCGCGCAGCATCTCGAGGTGCAGAAGAGAGAGAGAGAGAGAGATTTAGGACTTCTCGGCTTTGGCGGAGTCCTTGTAGCCGTTGCGGGAAGCGACCTTGTCGTCTTTGGCAGCTGAGGCTTCTCTTCTGGGGCCGCTGCTGCCTTCGGCCACGAGCTTCGATTTGGAATCGTTCGTCTCGTCGTCGACGTCGTCGTCGCCCTCCTCGTCCTGCTCCGCTTCCATCTCGTTCTTTTTCTTCCAGTATTCGTCGAGGTCTGCGTCCAGAGAATTACTGCCGAGTTTTTTGTCCTTCATCCTCCACTCATCGAGGTCGGCGTCCAGAGCTTCCTTGGTCAAATTCGCCGAATTCTTCTCTTTCCGGCCGCGACTGCCCCAAGATCGCCCGCCATGACCGCGAGAATGCCTTCGGTGGCCGTGCGCCAGTGGCCCCTGCGGAGACCCCGACGGGCGCTTCAAAATGCCGGCTCCTTGCACTCCCAGCGGAACGAATGCGGCAGAGGCACCGGAAGCAGATCCGCGGTGGTTGCTATTGTTGTATGTTCGAGAGGGCACGGGCGGCAAGGGCATCAGCCCTTGCACATTGTATGCATTGAAGCCCAGCCAGGGATTGAAAAAGTAGCCCGGCATTCCGCCGTAAGCTACATTTCCCGCTCCCGCTGCTGCGTTCAAGTGATTTGCGCCTGCGCTTCCGTTCCCGCGAGCATTGTATCCTTGCCTCCCACCTCCTCCCCTGCCGCCCTGCATCTTCACTCCACCTGCTTCCCTGCCTCCTTTGCAGCCCCCGTCTTGCCTCGACTCGTGCAAGATGCAAGAAGCACCACGAGACAGGGAGGGCAGGCGGCCTGACCAGCTTCCCTCGTTCCGTCCTCGTCGTCACAGTTTTTCAACTCGTGCATCCGCTCGCGGAAGCACAAGGCACCTGCTGGAAATTCTCGGCGAATCCGTGAACCACCATCACATCACATCGGCCAAGACCTAAGAATTCTCGGCTTCGGTGGCGAACTCACGAACTCCAGATTCCTGGTGGCCGTTGCTGGGACGAGAAATGATCTCGTTCTCGCTTTCAAAGCTGCAGCCTCTTTCGCTTCGATACTCATTCAATTCGATCGTCTCGTCGTCCACCTGTTGCGCATCGATGTCGGTCGTTTGCTTCCGGTTTTCATCGCTTCCCCATGCTTCGTGGACTACAGATAATCGCTGTTCATACACCCGCAGAAATTTTCCCGGCTCTTTCCCCGAATCGCTGCCAAGATCAAATTACTTCTTATAAACTTTGCCTCCTCCTCTTCCGGTAAATATAAAAGACATATCTAAACTGGAAACCGAAGCAAGGTAAAAATTAGGTTTTCTGAGGATGGCGATGGCCCCAATGGAGAACATGAACAATGTGCGCTGGCGGATGTAGGTACACGACTTATGGATCCACAAACTTCCGCTGTTCTTTGTAAATTATCGACGATCGGTGCAGTTTCTCTCAAGTGCATATTCCGTATCATTTCTTGAGAAGCAAACATGGAGAGGAAGACTTTCAAACACAAAAGTGGCACCTCGCCGCAGTTTGAAGATGATAAGAGTATAAACTACCGCGAAAATTAAGGACAAAGGACACTTTCCGTGTTTTCATGGCTAGAAAAATGGATCGTACAAGGTGGGTGTTCGAGATGGTTTGCACGAGAGTTGATTGACATAGAAGCTTGGCATGCTCTTCCCACTTCAGATCCATCGGAAATCATCATCATCGAAATGTCGAGACGTCGAACACTGCAATCATATTCCATCGTATCGAGTCCGGAACGAACGGAGGCACGAGGAGGAAGAAGAGAGGAGGTCATGATTCTACGATGTCCCAAGCGCACGAGGCAGGCAAATCAAAGGAATGCAAGAAGCTGATCGATCACAATACCTCGCGCCTTTTGTTTGTGGCGGCACTTTCTTGATGAACAAGAATTTGGCGTTACGGAAAGGTTTATGAAGTGCTAAAGGAAAGGAGGAGAGCGTCGAGGAGAAAACGGGACGCACTTCGAGTTCAAGACCAAAGCACGCAATGAGATCTTCAAATCTAGAGCCCAAGGAAGGCAGAATTAAGCGTCACTCCAACTTACAGTTCTGATTAGGACTTTCTTCCATTTAATATCCGCGAAACGAAAGCATGACTATCCGAAATGTTGTCTTATCCTACACTTTTGCGCAATTTCAGGACTCGAATATCTTGTTTTCGTTCACATATTTGCAGTTCATTTGTCACATTTGTCAGATTCGTTCACTTTATGTTCGTTGAAGTCACCAACTTCCCTAGTTAATGCACAGTGCAGTGCTGTGGTTTGTCGCTGCATTGCTTGAATCTTTGTTTCCATACCTTTCAGATATTATAGTCATCTTGTTCTCGTAGGGAGATTAGTCACGGGAAATTCGTCAGTCCATGGAGCAATATTCGCTCTTAATCATGTGCACAAGAAGATATCCATCAGCATTGGTATATAGCTCGATCATGGGCCAATGTTTTATTACACCATCTGGCAAATTTGCTAAGCGATTAGAATATTTGGCAATTTTTATATGTCTTCGTGATTTTATTATTGAGAGTAGGTATATTGTTGATATAGTAAATAACATGTTTGGCATTCTTGATTAGTTGAACACTCTCTTCAACTTCAATAGGTTCTCGTGTTGTGATTACATATAGATCTAGATCAATCCTCATGATGTATGCACTGGATATAAATTATATCCTTACAGTTACTTTTGCGTCATATAAGACACAATTTAATCTTAGCGTTACAACATGAGATTTCATATTTGTCTTGTTATCCGCTTATAAGATAAGGTATGAATCCTAAAAGCCAACACAATATGACTTGTTCTGGATGTCAAATTTAAACCTGTGCTCTCCCTTCGTATTTACTTAATTAGGTCATTGTCAAACAGAACATAACCTCTACTTAGAAAGAGGAGTTAATGTATGTTCATAGACATTCTATTCTCTAGAGTTGCTCTTTCCCTACCAATTCATTTGGGCAATGCAGACATGAGTAGCGAACACAGTACTGGAAAATAGAAGATTGCATTGCTCTTCCTCAAGCACCAATACTTATACAAGTCTGCCGTGACCGTTCAGCTCCGAGCAACTGGAGCCCAAACGCTTGATCTTCTGACACTACCCATTCCACAAGTCAACATGACAAAGTGCTCACAAAGTACCGCAGCGACGTTTGCGTGGCTTTTGTTGATTTCAAATTAATATCGAGCCTCAACATCTTTCTCCTGGTGGAAGTAGTGAGAAAATTATATCATCTCGAAAGATTTGAGTTCAAAAATATTTTTTCTTTAAATCAGATTCATGTAGGGGAACTGAATTTCCTAGTGCTTTATAATCGATGATTTCTGATTCAGCTGACAGAAACCTTTTCCTACAAAACGTTCTGAGGTCAATATCCCAAGTCAGGTCTCGAATCCATGCAAGACAGAAAATGCGGAATTTGACGGAATAGTTGTGTTCATTATAAATTATTAGTATACTTATTTACCTTTTGATTCTTTCTTTGCAACAGCCTTTTCTTCCTCATATACTGAAATCCTTTGTATTTCTCCCTCGTACGGACAAACCAAGAAAGTATACCAATTGAGATCATATTTTAAAACTATCCCATGTAGTGTCCATAAAAGTGGTGTGGTAAAGATTGTTTATCTTAATTCTATGCACTAACCGTGTCCGTTTTGAAATTATCTTGCACTTCGTCTCTGTTAAAAACAAACTAATTCGGTTACTCCTTGAATTCCCAACGTATATCTGCAAACCCAAGATTGAAGATATAACTTGGTTTAATATATGTCCCATTCGAATATTTGAGACGTCAATGCTAAGATGAACACGATTGTGAAAGAAAGTGCAGATTAGAAAATATTATTCATCTATCTTAAATTACGAGAATATGTAATATGTTGAAGTATTTATAGATGATTATTCTATTTAGTTAATTACTTTTTAATTCGAGATTTTAGTTTTAAAAAAAATTGAACAATATTTAAATGTATATTAACTCTAACTGACTTGATCATCGAATTATCCATCATATATAAAGTACTCATATTAACTCTCAGCGATGGCCATGCGCAAGATAAGAACAGCACCAAGATCTCATCCGAAAAATCAATCAAAGATCAAAGCACCGCCAAGGTGTCTTTTGAAAATTCAATCAAGTTGTCCAACTTTTGTGTGCTACTCAAGCTTAGATCTTCCAGCTTTTCATGAGATGATATGCCTTTTCAAAAGCTTGTACCAGAACACGTCATGGCAGAGAGAAAGATGAGTGTAAGAACTATCGTGAAAGCACAAAGGGCATAAAAGGCAAGTAAAAGAGAGTAGCATAATGCGTGCAGCGCTATGACCTAACATTCTAAGTCTTCTCGGCAGTAGAAGACACCGCTGTCTACAGCATACATCAGCGTTTTGGGCAAAATTCATGACTATGCTTTCATTTCAACGAGGAGAAATTCGTCTGTCCATCAAAGCAGACGTACAATTTTCCGTACTCAGAGTACATACGTCCGAAGGTCGGCAAAAATCTCCAGGTGACAGGAAATATTGTCCAGAAGGACCTCCTGCACATCCTCAATTAACTCTTAAGAATTTTCACTTCATTTCATGCGAAAATTCTTATACTTCGCGTAATTTTGAGACCCGACAGTGAACTAACTTGAGTCTCAAGAAAAATAGGTCCTATAGGGCCGATAACGGCGAATTACCTTTGATGTTCCTTACATTGAGCAATGGCTCTTTCGGAGATAGTATCAACAAGAAACTAACTATGATGAAAGGTTGAGTAATCACAAACTCTTGTCTTTCACAACATAAGCCGTTTCACTACATCTGCACAGGAATTTGCTAAAATTGAACCTTCAAAAGTATTACTCATTGTTACTCTACATTCAGACTAACTATGAAGAGTCCTTCGATTCCCTAGACTCTCTATTGAATACCTGATTACCAAAATTTCGTCGCCTCTTCGAAGGCCACACCCTCTTGCTTAGGACACCACTTGCTGGCACTGCTCCCTGATTCTGCTGATTCTGATGCTGATTTTGCTGATTAGCTCTGTTATGCCCAGTCCCATTTGCTCGTCTCTCATGGGATCCTCTTGTTTGCTCCAACACTTGAAAGTAACTGCTGCTAAACTCCAAGGCAACCTGCACAAGTATAAAAGCATTTACAGAGTAAGAAACGTTGAGCCGCTTGAGAGCTCATGTGACTCAATACTGCTGTTTCGCCAAAACCTTTTTCCTGCCTACAGCTGGAGCCATGATCGTTGAAAATCTCCGCAAAAAATTCCGGACTTTAGTAGCCCTGGTTAGTTCCAATATCTGAAGGTTGAGAGAAAAGAGAATGGACTTGTTTCGGATTTTAATACAGGTAAGATGCAGGTTGATTGAAGAGAAAGAACACAAAACTTGATTGAAAAAAATGCACCACTTACCTTCAAAGTCAGCCATACTTTGAGGGCGGCACTCAGCTGAGTGATGCGTTTGCGTTTCCTTGCCCTTAAGTAATCAGCCATAACTGGATCCACCCTGAGAAGGAACTGTGGCCATTTGGAGCTGTCCAACAAGTCCGCCTGCTTTGGTCTTGTGGCCTATCGCATTCAGAACAACTTATAACTGTCACTACCACTTCTCTCTGGATCCCTACTAACTTCTAAGAATAGACAAGAGAGGAGAAATGCAAAGAACAAGTGCTTACCAATAATCTCCGTACCGCTCGCTCTATCCTAGACAAAGTGGTTTCATGGGCTTCAACACGACCAACCCCATGACAGAGAGGGCACGGTTCGCTTATTGTTAAAGTTACACTTGGTCGCACCTGCGCGACAGAAACTTAGATTATAATCTGGCCACAGCCCTCGTGATTAGATGCAAAATATCAACACGTAGCAGTGCTGTAAACTGCTAACAAACTGGTCAGTAGGTGAAATTCATATGATTTTCCTACTCTCCTCAGGACTTAGGCACATCCGACGGGACAAATTAGAGACAACGCCAAATCAGATGGAATTTAAATCCATACCCTCTTCCTCGTCATCTCCATAAGCCCGAACTCAGAGATTTCCGACAGGTTCAGTGTGGAGCGATCCCGCTGTATGGCCTTCCGCATTTCATCATAAACTAATCTGTGATGACCTGCTTCATGTAGTACAGTATGACGAGTATTGATATGCTTTTCTACTTTTGTGTGTTCATTGGTTGTGCGCGGTGTTGGAGTTTCTTGTGACTTCTTTCTTATATTACGCTGCACATTGAATGAAACTCCAGATTTCCTCCTTCGACATATAAGGACATTCGTGAATTCAAATAACTTCGACTTAACATGAAGCAGAGCATGTACGCACTTTGGTCGTCCATGTCGATGAAGTCCACAACTATAATGCCACCAATGTCTCTCAATCTTATTTCTAACGCAATCTGCAAGGATGTCCACGAGAGACTTGAAACTTGACATTTCGCTAAAAAAGCTTACAAAAAACTGAGTGAAAAGTAGCATCAGAAAACCCTCTCGGATTCCTGCAAGACAATTGGCTTAACTTAGACCAACCTGCCGGGCAGCTGCCAAATTAACTTCAAGAATAGCTTCTCCTTGTGATATGTCCTGTGCGAGCATTCCAGTGCCTCCATTTACATCGATTGATACTAATGCTTCAGTCTCCTCGAGTATTAAGTAGCCCCCATTAGGTAGATTTACTCTGCACGTAAGAAACATGCACACTTAAAAAAGACGAACCAAACATCCGACATTCAGGGACATTAACGAAATTGCTGGCAACTCAAGCACTCTGATCGAGTTGATGAAGTAACGCACCGCTTGTTGGAAAACCTATCAATTTCAGTCTCCAAATTGTAGGCATCGAAAATTGGCTGAGCTCCAGTGTAAAGCTCTACTCTATCACAAAGATTCGGCGCAACTTCCTGAAGATAACTTGTGACCTTACAGATACAACAAGATAAGTAAGTTCCTCCGGACTGTGCATCAGAAACTATAGTGGAGAAAGCGAACGTACAGAACTTGCATTTACTTTACGAACTACAAAGCATATTACCTCCTGGAAGCACTGTGGGGAGTCGATCACCATTCTGTGTACCTGATCACAAAGAAAACCATGGCGTAAACGGAATGCACTTCACGATGTGGGAGAGTTACAAAGGTTGCCAACGGCAGTTAAACAACTTGACATTAAGACGAGGGTCAGGTCCTTTACAAGACCATTGATGGTTATTTGTGATCTTAGACCTCGACAAAGAAGATAATGATTCTCCAATTCAAACTTTAAAAAATAACTTGATGCTTACTTTTGTGTTGAAGAAGTCTCTGACGATTGTCAAGGTTTGCCCCATGGCCCTGTGCAAAAGTACGGGAACGGCACCTTCGGTCTCGTGTTCGGCTGCAACTGCTGAAGAAGCAGCGAGGTCTAAAATTTCCTTCCAGGTCTCCATAAGACGTGCCAAATCTCTCTCAAGCTCCTCTCGACTATGACCAAGAGCCTCTGTTCGGACTGTCAACCCAAAGTTTGCAGGTTGCAACTCCATGGCTAGGCCTCTCAACCTCCTCCGCTCAGGACCAGTTATTCTACGAGAGACGCCAACTGTCCGACCGCGAGGAACAAGAACCTGCCAAGGTCGGATTAGCTGTCAGACTACGTATACATTTCTCGGGAACCACGGCTGGAAGAAGTCATCCAAGATGTAAAACAAGGCACTTAACTCAGTCTAGAGAGATGTAACAGTCGGAAGGTTAAGATGCCACAACGACAAATTCCATACTTCATATTAAATTCCGTGGCCCTCTCCTGAGAGAACGAGACTGAAAAGGAGGCATGAAAGTCTACACAAAATAACGGGAAACGTGCAAGATGTTTCTCACCCAAAAACGACCTGCTAAGCTTGGAAAAGCCGTCAATCGAGGACCCTTCTTGCCCAGAGCTTCTTTCTTTACTTGAACGATGATTTGCATACCCTCTTCAAGTTTTCGCCACTTCTTCAATTTCCTTCCAAAATTTACTGTAATGGGACCTGGACCGCTGGCATCAGATCTGATAACAGGATGACTACTCACTCCTCTGACACCTTCTTTCAAGTTGATGTCGTCAAGAATATCGTCATTGTCCACATCGACTTCATCCCCAGAATCTTCAGCAGATCCATCATCTTCCACACGGTCATCTTGAGCTTCCTCATCTCCATCAATCATATAGTCCACATCATCGCTGCTGAAGTCCTCATCATCGTCTTCTGAAACACCTTCCTCAGCCTTCCCCTCGGAGTCAAAAGTGATCGGCTCAGAGCCACTTGTCTGTATACCACTGGGGTTACAGAGGTTGGGATAGGTGTAAGGGTACTGATTCCTTGTTATGTCCAGTAGAGCCAGCTGGAAGCCACCGATATCTACGAAAACTCCAGACATTCCCGGAAGAAGCTGCCTTACAACTCCAAGATACACGTTGCCAACTTGAACCCGAGTATTGACTGGTTCAAGTAGCAACTCCACTAACTTACCATCTTCCAGTATTGCCATTCTTTGCATAGTGCATTGTGGAGAATTTATTAGAATTTCCACCTGAACGGGTGGCAGTTCTTTCTTAAGCTCCACCTCGACTGCTTCTACTGAGTCAATCTTCGCTTCCTCTTTGACTTTTTCTTCTTTCTTCCTCTGAAATTCATTTCTCTGCTCCATGATCATTGACTCAATCAGCCAGGGTTCCTCTCTAGGCAGAGCTTTCTTCCTTATCTTCCGTTTCAACCACTCATCCGTCCCTTTATTTCCGCTCAAGACCTTTTCTTCTTCACTTGCGACAGCTGCTTGGCCAGGTCCTGCTTCTTGCCTTCCTTCTACCACTACTTCCGATTTGAGATGGATACCTGTTTCAGAACTCTCAAACTGTGATTCCTCTTTTTGAACCGAGGCATCAACACTGGTTTCACTGTCAGTCTCACTAAAGAGGTCAGAGTTGTCGATCTGCTCCCACCATCGAGAACCCCAAGATAGCGAGTGAAGTTTTACTGGATAATCGGGTATCCATAAATCCCGGATCAGTTCAAGACTAGTCTCCTGCTTCTCCAAGAGAGGTATGAAGTACTGGCATTCAGGGCCGAACTTCCTGTCTACAGAGAACTCATCTGCACCTCCGGCTTCTACAAAGTACTTGTATTCCAGCATCGTTCCCTGTGGAACCTGTAAACAACGGATCAAGATAAGCAGACAATCATTCACCGACAAAGAATCACCTCCTTTAATTCGGGAGAAAAGGCCATTTCCAAGACCATGCACATGATTCCCAGATGATTCCAAAGGTTCCAACCGAAGCAATCTTGTACTCTTTCAAAGTATGATTGAGTCCAACCTGACAAGTCGTCAACGAAAAATAAAACCCCAGAATGAATTAACAGCGGATGTTTCCTCTGCAAACTGACAAGACAGAGGTCGTAATTGCGCAAACTCACCTTTATTGTGTTTTCCCACAGATTTTGACTTCCTTCATGTTGAGCTCGTAAGAGTGGCAAAGCCAAAGATAAATCCCAGCCGCCGAGCTCGGGATTCGCTCCCACCACGCACAACCGCTGATGAGGTTCCAAGTCAGCCTCCACTCTAAAGTAAACTTTACACCAAGTGATAGGGTCAAAGTCATCTTCCTGAAGAGGTAGACCTTCGTGAAGATCTTGTTCCCTATGCACCAGCTCCTCCTGACCTTCACCTGCCTCTCCTGTTTCCTTATCAGGTAAAGCTTTTTTCTTTCGTTGTCTCCTCCTCTTAGCACCTGAATTTCGTTGGGGTAAGGTGCCTTCTTCTAGAGCATCACTCGTGGTCTCTTCAGCAACGGAGGCTGAAGAGGTCCCTGATCCTGCTCCTGCAACGTCCTCATGCAACTCAACGTTTGTTGGTTTCTGGACATCCTCCATGGATAAATGTGTTGAACCCAGAGATTCTCGTTCGTTTGTCTGTTCCTTGCTGCGTGTCGAGCTGTCCAAAGGAAGGCTACTGGACAAATCCCTCGGATTGAGGTTGACATCAGAAAGGATATCTACATATTTGCCTTTCTGCGATGGTTCATCGGCTGAATTTCCATGACGGTCCGTCATGTCAATATCTTCTATGGACAACCTACTGGTGACTGGTGTCCCATTAACAACTTCAGCTTCGCTACTGCCTTCCAAAGCCGAATCGGTTGTCTCGTGGTTACTAGCTTCTGCAACTTCCTGGGACAACACACCCCTCTCTCTCCGACCTGGCCTCTTTTTCCGACTGGAGGTTTTCTGAGCACCCAGAGACTTCTTTCCTGACTTCTTTCCATCCTTGGCTTGTGAGTGTTCATGTTGCTCTCGGGCATCATTACCCACTGAAACACTATCTTCATCGGAACGGCTTTGTGCTGCCCCGGCAATCTCAGGGTCCTCGTGAGAAATTGGGGAGGAACCATCTACACTCTGTTCTTTCAGGACCTCTTCGGCCTCCACAATCTTCTTCGCCCGGGGCTTCCTCTTCGCTTTAGGTTTTACTACCCCATTTCGAGTCGCTGTCCCAGATAATTCTACATCCACGGCGAATTGAGGCTCAACAATAGAAGAATTGAGAGGCTTTGGAGAAACATCCAAGTCCAAATTGTCGATGTCGAGACCTTCGCCAATTGCATCTAAAGCCCTGAAGAAATCTTCAACGGTCTTCAGTTTTTCGTCAGCTTCAATCTCTGCTTTGGTCCTTCTGCTCCTCCTTCGTCTTTTGCCTTCGCCCTCAGGATTTACGTCCTCTCCTTTTCGAACCTCATTTGCCGGTGTGGATGCAGATGGCTTTTGTTCCTGCACTGTGATCCTCTCAATAACCTCAACTTCACCTTTGCTATCACCCTTTGCACCAACCTTGTCCTTATCATCGGACCCGCTGGATTTGCTAACTGCAGAGGGTTTCGAAGTCCGAGCAACTGCGCATAAACGACCTGCATTGTGTGTCTGCTTAGAGTTCAAGTTATTAAAATTCCTGAGAACGATCCTGCTGCTAAATTCGCCTTCTTCTCCAACACTTTCCAGAGAAACCGAGGAGATCAAATTCGCCAGCGCATGAGAAAGTGAGCAAGAGAGGGCCATGGAAACAGAAAGTCCCAACTAAGGGCCACCCTTCCAGTGAGCTGAATGCCATGCCTACTTTACCCCCGCCAGCCTGCCCAATACTCTGAATCCTTAAAAATTATAAATTTGAAAAATGGCCTCCTGAATCTGCCGTCAGAAAACCAACAGATTGCATCAGCTCAGAAAGAAAAAATCATATCCTCGCTACCACCCTCACAAAATCCCGCCGTCCAAACGACAGAAACGAGTTCCAGAATTCCTCCGTCGCAGTATCGAAAATTGGCAACTTCACAACGACATTTCGTCATTCAGAAAAATATCACCACAGCAGTGAACGAAGCTTTGCCTGAAGAACTGTATTAGAAACTCTCACCTCCCGCGATAAGTTCTAGAGCTGAAGTCAGTGGTGCACAAATTTTCTGCTTCCTTGTCCCTCGCGGTCGCCCACGTCGCATTCGATTCAAAAGAGCCTGAGAGAGACGAGAAATGCTGGCTGCGAGGAGCCTGAGGAGCACGGAGAATTGGCCATTGAAGCTCCTCGTCGAGCACGACAAAACCCACGAGCACTTTGGACTGGCTGGAGATTTAAAGGCGGACGGGCAGGATTCGAACATCGGTCGGTCCACAGCAGTCCACTGCGCAGCAGAGCGCCACGGAGAGCCTTGGACCCGCAGCGCTCGACTTCGCCTTCTCGCTCTCACCGCGGCCTTATCCGGAAGAATACCCACGACGACTCAGCTCTGGGCCGCGACGTCGCGCCCTTCAACCCCTGCGCGACCCGACCACGTTAACCTCTGCTCACCGAGTCACGAGGTTTCATCCTTGTACTGCATCCTTCTTCGTTATCCACTTGGCCCCCGTAGTCTTGACGTAATGTGACGCTTCTCCGAGGTGCGGTTGGAAACATCGTGATCTCGGAACGGAGATAGTTTTACTTTCGCTCGTGGTTGGATCCTTACGAGGCTGCCTTGTGCTCGAGTCATGGGATTTCATCGAGCTTTAAATTCCTTGCCTGTCCAAATCCTTCTTCGAGAGCTTCTTCCATTCTGCCTCGTGTTTTCGCAGCTAATCGCGAAGGAGGCTTTAAGCTTGAGACAAGGGAAAATGCTATAGATGTGCCCTGTGTTCACTTTGGACCAAACGGATTGTTTTCGTTAACCCGAGAGAAGAACCCACCACAAGCTGTGAAACCATCGTGCAGGCCAGAGTCAGGTTACACAAAAATTCGCCGATCCCACGCCCATTCAGGTCATGTCCTTTCTCTTCCCTTCGAACGAGACCCTCTTTGGTTGAGGACATGCCTTGTCTGCTGACATACCGAGAATAATAAGAGTCACGAAAATTTGGACTTGAAAAATAACATCACATCGCCTCACGTATTTTCTGGTTCCAAGCTTCATCTCGCAATAGACCGATTAAGCACCACTACTGTCGGCCAGCGATGAGCAGTTAGAATCTCCGCTTGAAGTTGCTGAGAATTAAGGAGCGTACGATACCGCATTCAAGGTGGGCCGGTGTAGGAACATGCGCTCATTGTATTGCACTTTACTAGGATGTAAAAACAGATTTCTCCAATGCGGTTTTCTGGTACCGACTACATGATTTCACTGGCTTGATGGTTCGGAGGGATGACATGACTACGAAATCTGCTAGACGTAAAGAGGCAGCTAATTCGAGAAGCAATCCATTATGAAGACAAGTAAATTGTGATTTCCACGTCAGCTGACCATCGTCTTGTCACGATCTCATCGACATAAAATTCATGTGACAAAGTAGTCGATAATTGGATTCGAATATACAACGCCGCTGACACAAGTTATACTCTCGGAAAATTTCCCATCTCCACTACCATTCGACCCAAAATCACGACTGAGTTATTGGACTCAGATCCCTTGTATAGAGCATATAAGGATACAGCAGAAAAATAATAGTTCATTTCACGAGACGCTGAAACCTCATTCCTAGAGGAATCCTCTGATTTAAAAGAATATGGACATAACTGGACCTCACATCTGAACATGGAGATCAAACCACCTACATACTTCGATTCTAACAATCTCACTAATGAGCTAATCAGCTTTATGTGGCAAGTATGTGATTGCAGTTACGAAGACTAACTATGAATCTAAAATTATCTGTGTGTTATAATGTTGAAGGTAATTGGTGCAAATAGTTACAATATGCTAAACAAGAGTGGAGACTTGCTAAAAAAATGTCTATTCTAAGGGTACAGAGCAGTAAGAGTTGACTGAAAGTGGATGAACAACACTACGAAGTCGACTAGAAAATTGGTCTCTGTCAAGAAAGAGAACACAGAAACTCTCCGGCCTTAAAGAAGTGCTCACCAATAGAAAATTGAGGTGGACTGTCTTTAGCTACAGGAACCACAGCGATGCCAGAAAGTGACTGTCCTCGGCATGAAAATTCTACTCTTAACTTTATCGGAACTTCCTTGGGCTTTTGACCATTTTCTTGACTCGATAAAGAAGAGACGAATTCAGGTGCCAAGGGAAGTTGTGCTCTTAGTCGCTGCGGACTGGCCTGCGGCTGTCAACAATGAACGGCCAGAACTTACTAGCATGTCGTGATGGACGCAATTAAAGCCACCTCATTACATTAGTAGGCACAGGCCTAGTGCTGGCTTTTCAAGACACATGCTTACCTTGCGAACATATTGTGTAAAGGTTTGATATGCATTATGAACAGCAAATGTAAGCCAGAAGAACTAACCAGTATTTGAGGGACTTGCCATCTCAACTCCCTAGAAGTCCGATCCAATGCACCTCTGAAGTACCCACGTAAAGAAGTTCAGTAACTAAAGAACAACTTGCTAAAAAGAAAAGAGCATTCCTCAACACTTAGCAAAAAGACGAAAAGGCACGATACATGACCAAAATTGGGAAGGCTATGCCAGAAAACAGCTGACGGGAATGTATAACGGCCAGTCTATAAACTCGAAAGAAAGGAATACCTCGGTGCCATCTTCAGAGTCGAAGGTGCAAACGGTAGCTTTACAATAAAAACTACATCAGACAAAATACCGGGCAGGTAGGGATTTGCCACATACTGCATGAACAGAAAGCGTATGCCCCGGAGGAATTGAAGTTAGTTGAAAAAAGGTTCTTGTGAACGATAACTTAGTCAACTTAGCCATGACAATTTCGATATTCTTACACAGACAAATTCTCCGGTACACCAAAATAAAGGATGTTTTGAAACTAGAGACCTTTCAATGCGACGAAAGCGGATCAAAGCAATAAATTGTATAAACAGAACATTAGCAGAGTGTAGAACATACTTGTATCATGAAAGAAAGAGTTAGAGGATTTTGACGGCTGACCAATCTGCACAACACAGGGCAGTTAAGAAAGAGAGACCAACGTTCTTGCTTCAGACCAAGAACGATGTGCATTGGCAACAAAAGCTTATTGGTCAATACCCCTATGGCAATGAAGTCTAAAAGTCTCTAACGAGTAAATTTGACCTAAACCCAATAATTGAGGCATCAGGGCACCACACGACCCGTATGACGACGTATTCAAATAACAAGCTCGAGAACATGTAACAGTTAACAATAACAATAACATGTGAATACATTTTGTCTATAACAACGTTTTTACCTGAGTCTAAGGGGAATGGGAGTAAACCGCGGCTGCAATCGATACTTTAAAATCGGTATGGAGGATTCGGATGGCGGAGTCCGAACATGGTATATACCGTTCCCCAAACTTCCTGCTATTGCACCTCTAACCACGGCTCTCTGCACCATCACAAGCGATTACTCAGCTCAGCTTCTGCATCGTTTCAGCATAGTAAGATAGGACAAGGATTCGGAAACTATTGTACATCGTCGCTGTTACATAGCGACGCCGTTCGTTGACTCAAGGACATGAAACACATCAGTAGAATAAGTAAGTTTGTAATGAACCAATACCTTCCTCCTTAGCTCCTCTTCCACAACCGGGCACTGAACAAAACATATTACGGCCCGAATGGACTCCGAAACTTGGAAACATGGACATAGCCTCTGTAGAGATAAAAATCTTCTTGAGACTCAAAGAGGAACCAACCTTGATACTAGCAGCACCCTCCAGGCTAAATGAGAACTCCGTGTCTTCTTTGTTTACAGAAGGAGGAATCGTCAGCAAGTGAAGAACACCTTGCAGGCCAACACGTGTGAGGGCAGCACCTTCATAATCAGCAGAAATCTCTTCTGTCAACCACAGCACTGGACCCTTACTAGCTTCGGGACCGTCCACCCCAAACACTGCACCACCTGAAATAAAGCAGCGGAGTCGTTTAGTCAGATACAACACTCATTTCTCTGTAATCTAAATCTCAAACTTGCAAGATTTGAGGTACAAAAGCTTAACCAAAGCCAATTTACATCCCAGGCCAAGTTCATTTATCATGCAGTGCAGGGTTCCTTGTGACGTGAGTGATCTCATCAAAGTAGATCGAACCTGGAGTTGCATCACCGGTTGCACTTTTAGCTTTCGCCTCTGCATCTTTATCATCTTTCTTTCCTCCGCCACCTTCCAACTCTTCTAATCCACCCAACCCAAGATCCTTCTTTTCCCCAGGTTTGGTCGTTGCACCAAATTCTGTAGGATCCAGCCCTCCTCCAAAGGCATCAGTTAACCCTTCAAAGTCTCCAAATCCTCCGTCAGGTTCGTCATATTCAAGGTCACCGTACTCCCCTTCAAATCCTTCAACACCTTTAACAGCTGTAGGTCCTTGTTGGCCGCCGGTAGGGACGGTCAGCTCTGAGAGCCCAGCAGTCACATCTTTGGGAGCTTCCTTATTCTTCTTAAATCCACCTGTAAGAAGCTCCTCCGGTTTATTTATAGCGTCACTGGCTGCAAATGGATCTTCACTGACTTCGGGTTTCTCTTCAGGCTTTTCGACTACATTTGCTCCTACAATAGCAGTAGTTTGAGCAGGGGTACCAAGCGCAGCAGCAGCTTCATCCCCAGCGGCCAAAGTCTCCTCAGGTAGCTCAAACGTTGAATTAGATAAGAGCTGTAGAATATAATAAAACAAAGTCCAGACAGCCGATAAGATAGGGTACGCAAGACATCAACGATAGAATTCTAGTGTTGATACCTTGCAAAACCTTCTTGAAATGGAATGCCAGAATCAGTTATGTTAGCTAGCAATAGAAGTATATTAGAAAGGGGAAAAAACGAATTGTCCGACGATGCGAGGACTGGGCAGTAGATGACTAGAATATCCGTTCAGAGCTTGACGCGCATGTATACATTAATGTGACAACCAACAGCAACAAGTCCGTTCCGTATGATGAAACAAAGAGATGTAAATTAACTAGACCATTTTAAAAAAAACTACAAAAATTAAGCGTGGGTGGTTTCAGTTCCTGGTGAGCTAAACAGGTAAAAGAGGAAAAGGAAAATAACAGCATAAATCATATATCTAGAAGAAACAAGTTTTGAACAAGAAGCGAAAGCTGAAAGAATTGTCCTAAGTTTTGAGGAATTTACAAACCCATCAAGAGGGCATTCAACAGCAATTCAACGCTAAACCTAAAAGTGAGTAAATGTGAAGAACACTCTGATAGCACACAGCAAACCATTCAAAACGATTCGCCTGTAACTGTATACTGGAATTTCGCAATGACTCCACAACCAGTCCGAAAAGGACATAGTTCACAAACCTCGATATTTGCGAGCCGGTCGACCGATTGTCCTTTAACTTGATTCCAGCTTTCAGCACCTCGCACTCTATTTTCAGCATCTGTTGCTGACACTACAATTTGGGCAATGCCTTCTCCATGAAAACTAGCCAGTATCGTCGCGAGTCGGGCGGCACTAACTCCTCGCAGTACAACATCGAGTGCCATGTATACCTAGATGCATGAGTCCGCAGATCTTGGTTAAACTTAACATCTCTCATAGTGGAAATAACAATCTCCACTTGATTAGGAAGAGTGCTGGAATCCGGGAACTCATATAAAAATCTAGTCCACACTACGTTAAAGTAAAGTTACATCAATCATCGCTCCAAAAAATACTTTCCATCGCCAGGTACTGACGAAAATGATAAGCATGAAACCGGCCAACACCTACCTCTGTATACTTTCGGAGAAGCTTGTCAGCTGTAACATCAATGCCCTTGCAAGCTGCCACCAACACGCTGTGGGGACAAGGAAACAGATTTGCAGGCATCAATAACCAACAAACTAAGAACCTTCACAGTAATTTATCTAATTGGCATCAGGAAGGACAAAGTGCCAGTAGGTTGTGATGACTATAATCTGCGCGTTCCACCAGGCGTGAACAAGCTGAAAAATAGTTTTGAAATAATACAGCGGAATGAACATCCCTATGCGATATTCTACGAAATTTCTAGTACGATAATCGTCTTCACGGAAAAGAGGATGAAACTACCTGACAGCTTGATTGACAGTGCTGGCGCACTCAAAAACATTGCTGCTAACATCTTGATCCGCAGTGGTGATGCCCAAGACATATATCGTGTTTACTAGTCGATATACGACCCGATATCTATGTGACCCCAGAGTAAAATTACACACAGTTAGAGGAAAGTTTTAAAACTTGAAGAAAGCCAGTATTGAAGTCATCTTGAAAAAGTGAGGGGTAAATGTTGAAGAAACTTCCGCTAAGAGTAATGGACAAGAGAAGTGAAGGAAAGATAAAAATATCAGAGGTGGCGGTCGAATCTCTCCAGTCTTAAGGAGCACAGAGCAGTGATTCAACCACGAACGTGAAAACACAATGTAGGTTTGACGTTAAAACAAACTTGGTGACAACGGCACAGAGTGGTGCTCGGCATTTTTCACCATGACTGGGAAAAACCTTCTACACACTTGGCTTTAAGTTCACAAAAGTAGGACCGAAGATAGTTTCCAAATTTCAAACCAGACCAATAGGAGAACAGAAATATGGACGGAAGGACCGAATTATTCTGAACCAATATTCATTACAAGGACGGGGTAATAATAAGTTAGGGTGTGATTCCGAATTATGTCGCCGTTTAAAATTCAAATTCAGAAAATGCTTTCACATCATGAGCCCCAGACATTTAGTATACATACTTGCTCTCCTTCCCAACCACAACTTGACCACTTGCTGTTGAAAGCCAATCGTTCCCAAGCCTGCAAGTGAGCAAGGGCACAGAATATTGTCGATAATGTTAATAATGTGTAAGCTTCTGAATTGAGCTTCTCACGACAGTTTCCAATCACAAGAAAAGCAGCCCTTGCAGAAGCTGCAGGAGCATATGAAAGAGGTGAAGTGGGCGATGGTACTTTTTGCTGACTAATGCTTTGTAGCATACCCATGCGGTTGTTGATCCAGAACATCACCCTTCCCGGCAGAAGGGTTCTCGCGAGTTGTCCTGAAGCTGTATGACGCCAACGCTGCCCTTGCTGGAGGGAACCACTCCCGCCTGGAGCCATTAAAAGATCCAGTCTTCACACATCAGTGCGCAATCGGTATCCTGTGGTTCAAGATAAAATCTGAACATAGATCTATAATCTGAGCAGACGGATCCAAAGCCTCCAGAACCCACATTTCCAGGTTGAAACACTTCTCCAAGCCAGACGTTCCTACAATGTTCATTCGTTACACCTCATTTCGATCTATAACACCCGGTGGATTTTTCAACATTGTGATAGCTCGTCCTCACAATTCCCGGATCCAAATTTCCAAACTAAGAATCGCTCGCTTAGGACATGTGAACACACACCCACATTTGAGTCTCGACGGCGAGACACAGAGGATCACAAAAGCAACACATTGATGTGCCCCACTGACAGTTCACATCAAATTTAGCGAAATTCCAAACAATGAATCCACCAGCGTCCAACGCCAACAACCAGCACACGAGTGTCGACTGCCCACTTATTCGTCTCGAGGAGGAAAAGCGATTAAATTAAGAGTGTAGATCGCACATGGAGAGGACAAGGTGAAAATTACGTTTGCAGGAGCACATCGGGCCCATTCTTGGGCTGCAAGGAGAGCGCCAAACATGCCATGAAAAGACTTTTCCACTCAGCACAAGGTTGTTTTTTTCTCCGCTTCGCTTTCTTCTAGAGTCGGAGATGGTGGAGATGAACGAGCGTCGTCCCCACGAGAGCGCGAGAGAAAGCGATCGCGAGGTCGCGAGGTGCTTGCTTGTGCCGGAGGTCGAGTTCTCGATGAGCGAGTGCAGCAGCGCTCACTGCGTGCCAAGGCATCAACGCAGACGGACGGGCGCAGCGACGTCTGCAGAAAACGGACGCAGCCGCGAACGCAAAGTTGTGCCGTGAACATTCTGCGATGATCCCTGCCAGCCTCTCCGACAGTGGTGAGCATGATCCCTTCAAATCTGTCATTAGTATCCGTTGTCTTCCTACTAAATGTTCCGCTACATAGGGCTCGAGCCTTCACATTCTAGGAGTAAATACAATAATACTCCATTCAAAATATTTCAACTATTTACTTTCTTAAATACTACATTTGAAGAAATACTGTGTGAGATAACAGCATATAATGAGGGTCTGTTGTCCTGTGCCTTCTCTCATGTTATTTTTCCAACTGGAATGTATACTGTTATTCCAAGTATCGATGATGGAAATAGTTCCGATCATCAACACTTATAAAAATTATTATATGGTGTTAAATGTTTTCTGTATGACGAGAGTAACACTCATTGAAACTTAACTTCCTTTCAAAGTAATAATGTCTACATCAAAAAGGATGAATGACTCTAGCATTGACAGATTTCTAACGCATACAAATTTAACCAATATTATATTTTCAGCTTTGATTTACATAGTTATAGTCATTTTGGCTGCTGATCTAGTAACATATGTAACCAAACCATACTACAGATTTGAAACATACATCCAAACATCATCATCTGATCATTCTCTTAAATGTTTGCTATATAATCACACACATTATATTATGTTAAAGAGTGCATTCGAAAGAAGTCATCAAACATGGAAATCTCTTCACTACCTCGTTACAGCGTTGAGTACATAGCATGCCAAAAATTACGCACAATGTTCTATTAGCAAAGTACACAAACTCTGAATCAATATTCTGTGCAAAGACGTCAACAAATATCATCCACAAAATAGATATCTTATTGCTTCAATGATAGGTTTAAATTGACATTCTGTCATCTTGAAACTACAATGCAAGTTTATGTGACATTGAGTGAAACTGTAATCGTATTTACAGTTTTTATCATAGTATCAGGGATTTGAAAGTAAACAAAATAACAAAGTGGATGAAAATATCCATCAAATCATACAGTTTGGAAGTCAAGCATGGAACTTGAGTCCAAATGACATTGCAATAAAATGTAAACTAATTGAAATCACTCTCATCATGATAACATCATCTGGACATGTGTTTTCTTGACATGTGACTAATTAGCATTATACAAATTTCTACTTCAATTTTTTTGGCATTCTCTGAAGGTTCAAAACTTTTATAGAAGATACATAACTCCAGAAGTTGAGAATGACCATAATAATGCAAATATATTATGGTCATGAAATATAAAATATTTTTGTAACCTCTAAGATCCACAATATCAACTCATTAAAAAACTAAGCAAATGCAAGTTTAAGGTAGTCTACATGACTCTCAATATGTGTATCATATATTACAGATATAAACAAATACTATGGTAAAGACAGAATTATTTTGAATGCAGTGAAGGGATATTATGTAGTAACAATCTCACATTATGTAGCTTTTCTTCCCAAGACACAAAAACAAGTGGACACGTATTTCATTGTCAATGAAAAACATTATAGATATTGGACAATAACGATATAAAATAAAACTTCAAAAAAGAAGTAGTATGTTTGGAAAAGAGATTGATGATGTATAAGATATATAAATTTTTGCAGATAAAAGTCACATCAAAAGACTGTGGACATAAGAGCTTTATAATATGTATCATTCTCCCAGAAATATATATATTACCATGAAAGAAAACTAGAGAAGGCTGACTTACTACTATGAAAACCCATACTTTATAACATGACATCTTTGAAAATCTGCTAGATGTATATGAACACTTTAACTCGTGTTATCTACAAGTTCTAAGATTGTGGTAGGCAATGGAGTTTCTTAGTGTGAATGCGTTTTGTATATTGAAACGTGATGGGATTTCTAAATTGAAAATTCGCAATGCGGGAGAACTTTGAATACGCTTTTCTCATTTTTGACATTCGCGTTACAGCAAGGTTGTGGAAAAAAGCCTTCACGAGTAACAATGAGAAGTTCATGTGGGGTCACTTCTATTGAGCTTCATGGGACCCATCGATTAAAACAACACATATTAAACCAAGGGCCAGATGTACACATTTGACCATTTCAACCCATAAGAGTGTTTATTTTCGGATCCCGAAATGAACCTTGTAATTAAGATGCATTCGCTATCCAATCTTTATAGGAAGACGAAAATTGGTACACGTTGACAGCAAATGTGTATCTTCGCATGGAACAAATTTATAATATTTGTTTATTTAACGAAGTTCATCGCACAGGAATGTTATTTGCATCATGCAGCTATTCAATAATGTTGTCTTTTGAATATAAATATTTGATTTGAGGTGGACATAAATGTCCCCGCAATAATAGATAAAATATTGTCATTGTTGGAACCAAAGCATATTACCTTGATAACAAAGGTTTGAGCAGGATATATTCGAATATGTTCGAAATTGAAAGCTTAATCGCTTCAATTTATTTATGGTGAATTTTGCATCGATATGCTGCATACCATGAAAATTGAAACATAAAAATCGAAATTACTTTATCAAAATTAATATGGGATTCATATAATGTTTATCTATATTGAAAAACTGCACGTAAAATTTGTGATTTCAATTTGTTTCATGTACATGTAAGAATTTTGTCTTCAACTTAAGAGCATGTAGAAAAATCTTCTATATTGTTTATTTATTTTGAGATTTCAATGAATCATGATGCTATAGATTTCATCTGTTGAGTATTATAGAGCCTGGTTTTGAATTATAAGGAAGTCCTTTATATACTTAAAAAGGCTATTGAAATCATTTATATGATTTATAAAGCCTGTATAAAAAAGAGAAAATTAAAATCCTATTATCTAATATTTTTGGTAATATAGATATGTCTACTTTGTTTATTCGAAAAATACTAACTATTATTAATTACATACATATAAATTTTTTTAACAACATTATAATATGATATTTGAGAAGAATAAAGCAATGAATGCAATGACTTGGTCTGTATATTTTACTTGGTATTAGCACGAAGTCTAGCCATTGTTATTTTGATATATATTAAAGAGAAATTTGGAACCAAGATTAGCACAATGAAATATAGTTGCCTTGTTGAATAAAATAGTAGAACTTGTAGTAGCATTTTGACTGTTAGAGTATATGTTATAGTGCAAGATGAGATTGGATTCAATTGAGTTTAATGATCATATCAAATTATATAAATCTTCGTACAACATTGTGTACTAACTTACAATAACCAAAGATTTCATAAATAATGAACATGATGAATGAGAAAACACTCTCCATTCTCCATGGTGACACTTTTGTGTTGACGTCACAATATGTAATAGATGCTTCACTAAACGTTGTGAAGTAATGTATATTTTGCTTTTGGCACAAAAGCAGAATGAGGTTTAGCTAAAAACTCATAAAACTATTGCAGCCATCCAACTCGTATAGTAAGTAATGAGTTGGATGTAGGCCTCGGCAAGGTAAGGTCACCTTTTAAGGTTACCCGGTAAAAGGTAAGGGTAAAAATTAGAGGCTTGGCTATAGGGTAAAATAAAGGTAAGGTAAAGGTAGAGCTAAATAGGTTACTCGGTAATTACCGGGTTGTACTCTTACCCGCAAAAAACAAAAATGTGGACCCTCTTAGAATTATTCAAAATGTAATTCCACACATTCTTCCTGAAGACGAGATCCAGTATTGCAGGTTTAAGCCTAATTGGTAACTCCAACCGCAATTACTGTTCTGCATAATCTAGTGAAAGCACAAAGTGTAGATAAGGAGTTAAAGGCTAAGCTCTTGCACATGACAGACTTCGACACAAATGATATGGAGAGTTTCCATTCCACCAAGAAATTGGATGGAGGACAAGAAGAGAATGAAGTGCTTGATGAGCTTTTTAATGTCAAATTGAATTTTGCAATGTTGTCACTTGCTTATTTCTTTCAAATTAGAAATGTACATCTACATGAAAAGTGAGAGGTTGGACCAAATGCTCGAAAAGGTGACTCATTCTCTGAAAATATGCCACTAGATATTTGTTGATGTTCGTAAATAAAATGTCAAAGTTACAAGATCTTGAGCTGGTTTCTTTGCACTTAGTACGACACTATTTGATACTTTTTACCGAAACCATTGAGATCGTTAGATTTTTAATTGGGGACCAAATTACGGCATTGAAAGCAAGGGAAACATACTTCACAAATCTTCTGTCCACAACGCTTAACTATTCTACTGAGGAAGTTTTTAGACATGTTCTCCAGACAACACACAGATACATGATGTCAGTTTGACAATTTACTAGTTTATTAAACGGGTAAATTATTATATTACCTCTACCTTTTACCCTAAAAGTCAGATTTACCGGCTAATCCTGAGGTAAGCATAACTTTTAAACCTTCAAGAATCCGTACCAGGTAATTATCTTGAGGTAGAGGTAAAGGGTAAAAATAGACATTAATGTAAAAGGTAACGTAAAGATAAAGTCCCATGCCTTATCCATTAACCTTTTACGTTACCTTGCCAAGGTCTAGTTGGATGGCTACCCAACACAAGTTTAAGTATACATGATCTTTTCACTTCCATGAACATCAAAGTTTGGAAAAACAAACATATCGCTTCTGCTCATGAAGAGCTTTATCTATGAAGACATAGTATCTTCCATATTGCCATCTCAGTCATACTATGCTTCAACAAGAATGATTGTAAACAAAGAGATCAAAATCAGATTTTGATCACTTTACTTGTTGCACTATATGATACATTGCACCCGATTGCAAGACTGGCTCTCGTTTTTTATATAACTCTTCTTGCTCCATAAGAACGATATGAATAATATTTAAGCTAAATGAAATGCAGTTGTAGAGATCACAAAACTTTAGTACATTGTAAGTTACAATTTGATGGTCTTAAAGTTTTCCTTATTTACAAAGCTTAATCTGTAGAAATCTTGGATAGGTATGTGTATGAATAAGATGGCAGGATGATTTGGATACTTTACATCTTTTCTTACATCCAAAACAGCCGGAGGTTTTCCTCCTGAAGTCTTACATGAGGATCATAAATACATAAGAGGGTCGTATTTCCTGCCTTGTTGTCCTATCTACAACCTAGATAGGACAACAATGGTCAGTCGGTTTAGTCGTTGAAGCAAAGTGTCGTAGAATAATTGACGAGTGTCCGGTTTGGTCCCTTTATTCCCAGTGGTGGTTGTATGTAATCTTAGCCGCACCTTATTAGAACTAAATGGAATGTAGAAATGTAGTATGTATGAAGAAAAGAGAAGAGAAGAAAAGAAAAGAAGTGTTGTCTTTTCACGCATAAACTATGAGTAGGTTTCCCACTGGTTCATATCGTTCGAGCTTATACAAACAAATGTTAAGACTCATCACTGATGAGTTATCAGGATCTCTTATGGAACATATTACAGAAAAAATTCGATAATACGATATGGCAGGGTGAAAATAGTACAGATGCCAACTTACTCGCATTCGTTTCCAAATTCGCAAAGCGTATGCAAAAATCGTCCGGGACCTCCAACGATATCTATTACGCACGTACGTAACCAGTTCAAAGTACTTCAGTAAGGCGTAGGAAGTGCGCAAATTACACAAGAGAATCGACCGAGTTTGACCAGCCATGTGACGAATGTGTACCATCAAAAGTCCAAGAAAGTGTGCCCTTGTGCTGCTACTCCTCGGCGCCGAAGCACATGCGCACTTCTCCCTCCGCCTTCTAGAAAATGGGTGCCCCCCACCAGCGAGCTCACGGTTACCTAAAAACTGGAGGAATGCAGGAGAAATGACCTACTGGAGAGCGGACACGTGTCGGCCGCAGCATCCCGAAAGGCAGCCCAGGATATCCATCAGTTGGAAACCACAGGGCCGGACAGACGGAGACGGAGACGGCGGCTGCGCAGAGGAGGAGGAGACAGTTCGAAGGCGGAGCAGGGGAGGAGCAGGTGACCGAGGCGGAAGGATGGGAAGGCCGCGCGGAGGAATTAAATCGCCGAGGAAGAAAATGGGCGACGGGGCCGTCAAGCCCTAGAGGGACGATCGACTCCGGTCCGCGATCGGAGTGCAGACAGCTCTCAGAGGGACTGGAAGGAGGGGAGGGGAGGGAGGACCGGCAGGGAGGAGGGGAAAGAGGGACCGCGAGAGCTGTGCGGTGTGCTGATTGTCTGTCTGCCTCTCTGTCGTGCGTGCTGCTGCTGCTCGGCTGCGCCAGAGAGCCCGCCCTCGCCCCGGGCGACTTTGAATGGGCTTTTGGACGAGCGGATCGGTGGCCTGATCGCTATAAGCATCGCCGGGGACTATCTCAGAATCGTGGACGGTGGAGAGCGGGGGATTTGCGAGCAATTTGTTGGCGTTCTTGTGGTGATCGCTCGCGTCGTTGTCCAGGAATTGGTTGCAGTTTGATGAGATTGTAGAAATGAGAGGGGGGCGCAGTTTCGCCACTTTGGTGCGCCAGATCGGTAGCTCTGTAGGGTCTGGACGATATGGCGGCCAAGTTCGCCATTTGGGATCTTACAGTCCCGCAGTGTTTGTGGACAAGAGTACCAGAGTTATCTGCCAGGGTATAACGGGCAAGAATGGAACTTTCCACACCGAGCAGGCGATCGAATATGGAACCAACATGGTACTTTTTTTCTGTTTTTTCTCACTTCTCTCTTCGGATATCTGATTACGCCAGCAGGAGGTGGCTGAGAAATTGACGATTTCAATTTTCATGGTAGTCTCTCCTGTAGCTTCAGTGTGCAGCTTGGATTTCTCTTCTGATGGATCTCAATGTAAAAATTTTACCGAGTGACGTAACCTTGTCAGTATCTTCTTGCAAAATCAGGATCGGTTGCCTTCTTCTTTGTGGTCCTCTATCATTCACAAGAAATCTGATTCGGAAATCATAACCCCTAAATCAGAGAAAAATCGCTCTTCAGGATAGAGGATCGGGTCGCTTCACTATGAAATGATCATAATCACATGTAACGTATGCGCTAATCAGTTTTCTGTTTAATAATATGAGTCCTCCGAACTATTAGAGCACTGGTCCGCATGGATCGGCTTGTAGCTGGCTGGACTGTAATTGGCCATGTACACACTGCTTTTGCGATAGAGCACCTTTTACACTGCATTTCCGCGCTCTTGGACTGAAGATACAGGTTTGCAGATTTATTTTATATCTCTCTTAAGTTCGGAGTTCCCCTTATGGACTTTAGATGTGGAAGAAGAGTTTTCGTAAATAATTAATGTGGATTATTATTGTCCAGTTCACATCTGATTATGTTGAAGGTTACTTCCCATTTGAATGATCAGAAAGCATGGCAAGTTTAAACGTGCTGGGGAGATGATATGAGATGTACTGTTCGAACAGAAATCGGCTGAATAACGATCGAAGCGTGCATAGACAATCTTACCAACTCAAAGGAGGAAAAGAGAAGCTCTGGATTGGACATCAAGTATAGTTTTACTTAAGACTTACAAGAATTACGTCAAGAGAAAGTGATGATCATACACAGATCTCTACTCGCAGTCTGGAACTGTCTGTAATGATTCGGTTCTCGATGTGGGGAAAATTTCGGAATATTTAGGTGTGGTAGATCGGATATAAAGAGGTTGTGAGTTTAGTTTAATTCTAACAGTTTTCTGACAAGTTGCTCATCTCCGGGTTTATGAACAACGAGTGCCAAGATGTCTACGCTTTTTTAGACTTTTTTACGCTTTTTTAGTTTTTTTACAATTCTAATCCGCTGTGGGTCTTCTTTCCAGGTGGGAGGTGTTACTCCCAAGAAGGGTGGAACTGAGCACTTGGGACTCCCTGTCTTCAATTCTGTCGCTGAAGCGAAACAAGAGACCAGAGCCAATGCAACTGTGATATATGTGCCCCCACCATTTGCGGCTGCAGCTATCCTTGAAGCCTTAGAGGCTGAGCTTGATCTCATCGTGTGCATTACTGAAGGAATCCCTCAACACGACATGGTCAGCCTAATCTAGTCACGCTGTTGTTTCCTTCGATGTTTGCTCATGCCTTTGAGTTCTTTGATGGTCGTTATTCGTTCGAAGGGAAGCCTTTTGGGGTTTTTTTCCTCGGCAGTACTAGTATTGCGATCTTTGAGTTTCTAGGGCTTCGGACATAGGAGCTTAACAATGGCTGATAGTCTTCCACGGTTTTGAATGTGCAGGTGAAGGTTAAGTCCGCTTTGAAGAGTCAGTCGAAGACTCGACTAATTGGCCCTAATTGTCCCGGTATTATCAAGCCCGGAGAGTGCAAGATTGGCATCATGCCCGGATACATTCACAAGCCAGGTCGTATTGGCATTGTCTCCAGATCAGGAACTCTGACGTACGAAGCGGTAAGATGATTTGTAAATCATGAGGTACATATCGTCAGTGGCTGATTTACATATCCAAATTGACGCACAGTGTCGATATCCTTACCTCCGACTTCGTTCTACAGGTTTTCCAGACGACTGCTGTTGGCTTGGGACAATCTACTTGTGTGGGTATTGGTGGTGATCCCTTCAATGGTACAAATTTTGTGGATTGCTTAGAGAAGTTCGTGAAGGATCCTCAAACTGAAGGTATGTACCATATTCCCTATGATGAAGTAAATACTCTGATGGTTCTTGTAAGTCGAAATGTCATGAGCGTTGTACTGGTGGCGCTGTAAGACGTGATTTTTAAATTGACTGAGCATTGCCCCTCGATGGGACACTTGCGACGTACAGGTATCGTCCTTATTGGAGAAATTGGAGGGACTGCAGAGGAAGAAGCGGCAGCTTTCATCACGGTGAGATCTCTACTTCAAAGTGCAGTGGCGAAGCGCGTGAGCTTGGGAGAATGTTTTCGTTATCAATTTAAGGGAACCTAGAATGTTCGTTTTCCTTTGAGTTTGTCGGAATAGAACTGCGGTACAATCTTAGGGTGACATACGAAGAACATTTCTTCTCCTGCTTATGTTTTCTCTCTCCCACCTAAAGCGTTGTGTCTTATATGATTACCGAAATCTAATTTGGCGCTTTACGAAATGATCGATGTTCATCTTTTCTCCCAATTCTCCAGCTTTACCGGGAGATTTCTAGCAGTTTTGTATTTTTCTAGTTTTTTAGTTTTCTAGCTGAACATGTTTGATCTCGTCCGCAATTTGCAGGAGAGCGGAACAGAGAAGCCCGTCGTATCATTCATTGCTGGTCTGACAGCTCCTCCCGGACGTCGGATGGGTCATGCTGGAGGTACTCTTGTCCAATCATCCATATTCGATTCGTCACGACTTATTTGCTTGTTGTGTTTCTGTAGCCTTGGTTGCGTGAAGCGACAGAAGTTTTAGTTCATATCGGCGAAGATACTTCTATTCTTCACCAGTATGGTTGCATCACAACGAGCTAAGTTTACCTACTTGTTCATGAATGCAGCAATTATCTCGGGTGGAAAGGGAACTGCACAAGACAAGATTAAAACTCTTAAAGCAGCTGGGGTAACGGTTGTTGAGTCGCCCGCAAGGATCGGCACAGCCATGTACGATGTCTTTAAGAGTCGGGGACTTCTTTGATCCCGCAAGCTGACCAATCCCACTGCTTAAAATATTGCCTCAAGGCTCAAGCCTCTGGCCTGGCGACCGTGCTTGCCAACTCATAGTGGACCTGTTGAATGATTCTCGAAAGTCAGCCGACGGGACCAAGTTGGAGAAGAACGTAATGAAGTGTCTGTTCCTGCCGGTGGCTCCTTTTGAGAGTAGAGCAATAATTTTTTTTTCCATGTCAACCAACTTCAGAGTTGTTTGATTTTGAGAACGCATTGCAGGAGATGTTCATAGAGGAACACGCTTACTCGCAAGAGTTTTGTTGTTAAGAACTGTGCTACAACTAACTTACGGAGTTCAGCGGCCTTGCTGCTGTCGAAGAACTTTTCCCAAGGTTTTTCTGTGGCATGAGGATCTGAACTCTGCAAAAAAAGGAGGATGGTCTGATTTGCTCGTATCTGTCGGGGAGAAACGTGCCCCTCATATGCATACGTCTTCCCAGGCCATTACTGAAAAGTCTTTCCGATTGGAACAAATGCTGCGTTGACCTGTCAAGGAGAGCTGCCCAATGGCGAATTTATGCCCGATTGATTTAGTTTCCTCTCTCATGTGACTTGGCCTGAACTTTACTGCTAGTTTCAATATGATGATGGATTGGTAGATGTACGTGCTCTTAAAGCTTTGTAAGTAGTCATCACTCGTAGTCACGTTCAACCAAATGCTCTTGACAAATCAAGAGACCTTGGAGTATTTGATCACGGTGTAAAACGAGGATCCAGTTTTGTTGTGGAAATGTTTTATGTGATTTCCGTTCAAGGAAAGAGTTTTTTTTTTTTCCTGTTTCTTATTTAGTCTCGCTGGGATCGTTGATTGAAGAATTGCAGTTGAGTATTTTGGTCGATTTTAACTTCTGCGTGACTTCACGCTTGTCTGCCCCGAGTAGAGAGATTCGCTGTTTATATATGCCACGAGTAACTTACAATCCCAGAACTTACATCGGATTTATATTTCCTAGGCGAGTTGCAACTGTAATTCTCAATTCTCGTTCGGTAGCAGTTCCATAGTATTCATCTCTTTGACACAAAAGTTGACCACCTGTACAGCTGGAAGCTTTTGTCCGGGCGACTCCACTTGTCTTTGTCCAGTTAAGGGACAAGAATAAATACGCCAGACACTGTACTCAGCCAAATAGCTTTGTTACGAAAAGTATAGGCAACTAGAGGCAAGAGATATTGAGTCACTCGAAATGTTCCAGACGAATATGCTGGAGGTGTGCAGCTGAAAAAAACATTATGTCAAATACACGGTCCAGTTGTAACAATTCAATTCCACGATCGAGACGATCATCTACATCTCTGCAATAAGAATCACGCCCAAAATTATGAGATGTGAACAAACACGGTTCGAAGAAAATGAAGACAAACAACTGAAGTGTGCCGACTTGCCGAAGTTTCATCCTTTGACAGCGCTCAGCACACAATAACCGTGATTGTTGCGTGGTAATAGAATACTCTGAGCGGTTTTGCAAATATATACCCTTTACTTACAATGACGGCAAGTATAGCTACTGCTCTTGACAACACTCATCCAAGCCTAGAGTCTCCAGACTTTCGAATAAAGATGTCCAAAAGGTAAAGCTGTCCACATCGTAACATGAACCGCCAGTGACATTTATGTCCGATCAGATCAGCCCATGCACTTGTAGTCAGCACTCTGCCATTTTCATGGACTCTATGTCCGAGAAAATTCATATGCCTCTCGACTTCACGACACTTTCGAAAGGGACACGAAGCAGACCGCAGAATCAGGTCGGAGTTACGCTGTCCATCAGGAACGAACCGTCAACTCCACAGCAATAAACACATCGCCCAAATTTACAACACTCTGAAGCCAACCCGTGAGTCACACCCCTCGTCTATAAGCCCAACGCCCACCAAGGCCCGCCATGTGGACTCTCTCGACAGCGAACGCAAAACGATGGTCCATGCGCATACCGGATCGTCTAGGGGATAATGCCATTCCATGCCATGCCATGCTATTTTACTCCGTCGTACGCGCGCTGCTGCAGAGCTGTCGGGGAGCGCAGTTCCAGTACAGTACCTCGTACGCCGGCCTACCACAGTCGAGAACAGAACTGCGAAGCGCAGCGAGTGGGAGACCTCGACCACCTGGCACTCGAGCGCTAGAGGAATGGGCAGTGAGGAAGTAATGATGGTGCTGATGTCTGAGGAGCCCGAGACTTGACGGACACGTGTAGAGGAGAGCGCAAGAACGAGCGTCGAGAACGACGAGCAGCAGCAGCTGCAGCAGCAGACGACGACGACGGAGGACGAGCAGCGGAGACGCGAGCGCTGCAGCCAGAGAGCAGAGAGATCAGAGAGCAGAGCTGCCCCGCCTCGCCCCGCCCCGCCCGGCCTGGCACTCTCTCTCGACATCTGCACTCTCGTCGCCGCTGGATCGCGTGTGCCATCGCCACCCTTCTTCTCTTTCTCCCCCCCTCTCTCTCTCTCTCTCTGTCTTTCTCTCCGTGCGTGTCTCGGGCATACAATCAACCCACCAGTCGAGCGAGCGAGCGAGCTTCGGAAATGGACTGAGGACGAACCAGGGATTCTGATATAGACGAAGAAACGAGGGAGCGAGGGCAGGCAGGAACGAAGGGGAGAGACGGGATAATGTTGGTGGTGGGGGACGGGTGAGGCCAGTGCTGGAGGGACTTCGGCTCGAGGAGTGTTGAGATTTGTACATATTGGATGTGTTGGATGGTGTGAGGGGAATCGATCAGGGCGAGTGGGTGAGCGATCTGGGCAGCCGGAGCATCGGCGGGAGCGGGACGCGACTGACGGAGGAGGTTTGGGTGGTGGGGGTCTGCGGGGGCAGCGAGGAGGGGCAGACATTTGGTCGTTGGTTGGCCCGCGAATGGGGATAGTGAGCCTCGGTTGGCGGAGGACGGTCGAGCAGGGGAGGTCGTAGCATGCTTCGGAGGTGAATTGCTGTAGGTAATCGGGGAGATGAATTGTGCGATTCTCGGGGGCCGATTCTAGTCGAATAGGTAGTAGAGGGGCCGAGACTGTTCAGGATGAAGTCAGGGAATGACGATCCAAGAAAGAGCGATGGCAGCCTCAACAATTTGGATCGCCGGCTTAATCAAACCCTGAAGAGTGTGCAAGGGTACGTCTTCGACCTCTGATTCCTTAGGCGATCCTTATGTCTTGCTCCGTGGTCGAGGATGACAGTCCACGGAGCCGTTGTCCGACGGCAGAGAAGCGAAACGACCCTACTTACACGCTGGACTCGATCCTTAACTGGCCTCGGGTTTCACCTCCAAATTATTCGACAACATTGCCGCTCTTCCTTCTGGAAAGTGCTTAGTTTGGGCTCCTAGGGCCCTTGGCTTCGACCGCACTTTCACACCACATGTAGTGCTGTATTCAGGTTGCCATATCGCGAGCATTACTCATTGGGAAGTTCTTGGTGGAATCTCTGGTAGCTTACGGCTTGAGGCCCATCGTGTTGGTTACGCTTTTGGGCATGTTTGAAATCTGTACTTTTAGTGTCACATTCCTTCATGAGAGTGGAGTGGCACATCCGCACGTACCAGAATTCGGGTCTTAAGCGCCTTCCTTGAAAGTTGGATTTACATGTTATCAAAGTCTAGAATCACGTCTCCTGCGTTTTTCAGAACGTTCAGGATGTCTCCGAAAGTGTTGCAGTGCATTGGACCGACTCGTGAAGAAGTTCGTATATAGCAAGACTGTTGATAAGCAAGCTGTTAGACATGAACGTGTGGTAGAAGTTTAGATCCGGTAGGATCCCCGCCCCTAGTTAAGTAAGGAAACCACCTTCTGGAATTGCCACGAAAACAACCTTGCTTTCTCTGAATGATGAGGAGAATTAGTCGTTAACTATGGGAGTTGACTGCAGATAGAAACTCCGTGAGCGATCGGTCCATGTGCAACCAACTTTCGATGAGATTTACATGAAGCACTTGCTTAAGTTCTAGGCAAGGAGGACAATGGCGGTTAAATCTCAATTTATGCGGTAAAACCCAGCGCATACCTACAGTGTGGAAAGCTTCTTGCAGCAACATTACATGGAGTGTCAGTCCATATCGTTGCTCTAGAAAATGTAGGTGAATGGTTTGTGAGATATTTTGTTTTTCAGCCAACGGCAGGTGCATTTAATTGCATCAGTGGATGGCGGTTGCCTCGAGCTGCACGGTCTGCTGGACTGGATTTTGATTTTTGAAACCAGTTGAGAGTTGCGTCGAACTCAGGTCATAGTTTTTTTTATAGGTGAACCGAATTCGGGGTGGCTCGAACTCTGGTCATAGATTTTATAGGTGAACCGAATTTCAGTGGCTTCTTCTTCCTAAAGTTATCGCATACTCCTCAAAACTGCACAAAATCAAGAAAAGGCTTAAGTGGCCCATGCAACCTTACCTGTTGGGCCAAGTGGATAGTTTTGTTAATAACTGGATTCCAGTATTCCATTTTCTACTGTTGATATGTTTCGCTACTAAGTGCTTATGCATTTTGGTTCATCTAGCGCTTTGGTTGCATCGTACATCTATGTTACCTGTTGAAGATTATCTCAGAGGTACACAGTGGGTATATTATTTCAGACTACTCAAAGTTCCCGGGAAGATTCTGCTTAGTCGTAAGGGAGCAGAGCCTGCTGCGCCAAGCGTTTCATCCCCTGCAGTCAGTCCTTACAGAAAGGATGTGGATGAGGAAGCAGGCATTAGTCCAAATGTTAGTGGTGCTGCCAGTGCATCGACAATAAAGGTAGACCCTTTGATCTCTTTAGCAACAGAAAGGGTCTGACGGTCTTCATACTGGCTATTTTTGTATGTCTGCTGAAATGGTTTGCTATCAGGATTAGTCCATCGTTTGGTTATGGAGTTGTCAAGCAGCCAGGTGTAAAGAGCTGTCAGGACACAAATGACTGTAGTCATTTAATAAGTTTGACAAAGCCTGAACATAATGAATTCGTGTGGTATGAGCGTGTTATATCAGCATGCACATCTGTTTGATGAGAACATGCATTGTGCCCGGACTAGAGGACATTGCTTCTCATGTTATTAATCTGTCCCGCGCACTCCCTTTTCATGTATGTTTTTCATGTGCAGGCAGATGCATCGAGGAGTAATGGAAGTGATACCAGTGAAGGAGTTGCAGAGAACGAGCGACCTTCATCAAGCCCTTTCGGGCATTCTAGTAGTAGCAAAGGGAGCTCAACAGACACCTCCAGGCCATCCACCGGGGGTCGTGCTACGGACAGTGCTAGAGTTGCCAGATTCAAGAAAGAGTTGGCATCTCCAGCTGTAAATTTAGGTAAGTCCCACGAATCGAATTGCCTAATGAACTTCTTAATGTCTGCAAATCGATCAAAAGATGACACTTGGATCAAGTGCTCTATTACCTTTGTGTTCTGTGGGAAGTTGCTGTATGGATGTGCCTGTCGCTTATATTGTGGTTCTTTGTTGCTTGCAGATGCTCTGCGAGAACTTGCATGGAGTGGTGTACCTCCAGACATGCGTCCGATTGTATGGCGGCTTTTGGTGGTAAGATTGTTTTCAGCTTGAAGCCTCTGCTTGAGTTGAAATTCTTATGAGAGTGTTCCTTCATTATACCCAATGAAATTTTCCTCTTTCGCTCCACCATGTCTCATAATACCTATCTACATGTAATGTGCACACGTTCGAAGTCTTCAAAAGATGTAAATGAAAAGGATGAATTTTAGAGCAACCCCATCCATGATGATTCGGAACTGCACTGCAGTACGTAACCTTCAAGGTTTTTGTTCGTTTGTCCTACGATCTTCATATAATTATGTGTAATTGTCTTCAGATTTTGAAATATGCTCTCATTTGAATGCATGCTCAATACTTCTTCATTTGGCTTAGGATAGATATTTTGCTTACCTATTCGTCAGTTCATGAATAAGAATTTGAGAAGTTAAGTCACACAGCTTTTGATTGTTCATCAGTAAAGATCAATGAACCTTATCGATTACATCAGCTTTAATACATCTTAGATGTAGTGATACTAATTTGCTGCAAATATCAGGTCCTGTGTAATAGCGTTTCCGCTAGAGGATTATGATCCTATGCTTGTTCAAGTTGTTGCTTGGACATTTGTAACAACGGCATTTTGCTTTTTTTTGTGAAGGGCTATGCGCCACCTAATGCGGACAGAAGAGAAGTTGTTCTTGAGAGGAAGCGGCAAGAGTATATCGATTGCATACCTCAATATTACGACATATCTGATGCAGATAGAACTGAAGATGAGCGCACTATGCTACGACAGGTACTTCTGGCAGTCTCGGAACTACTGCTAAATACAGTAAATACTTTCGAAAATTCTAAAGTCATAGGGTTATGAGCTCTTTGACCTTAAGAAATACATGTGTTTGTTTTTCAATCTCATCTGTGTATTTGCATCCCATCTTATGTGAAGATTATGTACTCCCGATTGACCTAGAGGATCATGTTTGTAATTGAAAGTGAACTCACATTCATTTTGAACACACGTTTTCTGGGCGCCTTCGGCGCCGGAGCGCAAAAAATAGATATTTTTTACTTGCTTCTTCTCTCGACCTTTTTTCGCTTGCGAATGAAGTGAAAGGACTCTAGTACTCAAGTCTTTAGGAATTTCTCGCATACAGCCAAATTTAGCCCTTGCCATTCACTTGCATTTAAGCGAACTCTGATTGTATGGTAACCTCTTTTGTGTTTGTATTCAATTTCTTTCTTGTTAGATTTATGACTGCCATAAAATATTGAATTCTCTATGTCGTTCATGGAACTGAATCTCACCTTTTGTTTTCAGACTCAATATCGTCTTTTCTATCGCTTTATTTTGTATAGATATCAGTGGACGCACCTAGAACGGTGCCTGATGTGACCTTTTTCCAGCACCCAGAGATGCAGACGTCGTTGATCCGAGTATTGTACATCTGGTAAGATGTCTGTATAAGACGAATAGTCGCTGGGTTCTTGAGTTGAAGTTTTTTAATAGTGATCCCGAATCGAATGGGAAATGAGGTTTTGATGGTCGGGAGTTTTAACTGAAAATTTTGGTGATAGTTCAAATATTTGATTGTCCTTAGACAAACTCATTGCGTGGAAATACGACTGACGTAGCGTCTCGTGCATGTTCAGGAGGCTCCCGAGGTTCTATTTGGGACTTAAGATGCTCGTCAAAGTTTTGTGTTGGGCTTCTTCTCACAATGCATTTGCATTAACTTTCTTGTTGCCTCTGCCAGGGCCATCCGTCACCCGGCAAGTGGCTACGTACAAGGAATCAATGACCTAGCGACTCCATTCATTGTTGTATTTCTCTCAGAGTATTTGGAAGGGGACATGGAAAACTGGGATATCACGAAGCTTACTCCTGAGATAGTCAACAATTACGAGGCCGATTGTTATTGGTGTTTATCTAAGCTACTAGATGGAGTTCAAGATCACTACACTTTTGCTCAGCCTGGCATACAGCGGCTAGTTTTCAAGCTCAAGGAACTCGTGCGACGAATAGATGGTATCTCCTCTATCCCATGACAGAACTTTGTTCACCACATGCGTAACCCAACTTTGAATGTTTGAGCTAGATATCCTCTCGCCGTTTTGCTGAGTAGGACGTCCTCTTGATACGCCCGTTTTTGAGTTCGAAGCATAAGCAGTTACTCTTAGGCACTGACAGTGAGAGAACAAACTTAATTTTTAGTAAGAGGTGGGTGGTTGATTGAAATGCCTTCTCTACCCTCCATGAAGATTGGGAATGACAGTTAAGGCTGAGATGTTCTCACATGTCGAAAAAGAAAGAAGTGTCGTTGAGGATATTACCGTCTTCAAAAATGTTATCTAACTTTTACGTGCATCGCATCTTGCAGAACCTGTTTCGACGCATATCGAGGAGCAGGGATTAGAATTTTTACAGTTCGCCTTCCGCTGGTTCAATTGTCTGCTTATACGAGAGGTATGTTGTTCATTACTGAGTTGAAGAATGTGGTGTGACGAGAGGGCTGGATGAAGAATGTCAAAAACAAAATTCGTGAAATGAAGTTTCGCTTTCTTGTTCTTTTTCTTAAGAAACTGTACTTTGTTCACAAGTTCACTGGTCCACCTAGGTAGAAGCTGGGAGTCAAACTGAGACTTCCTCTTTCATCTTGCGCAGATACCCTTCCCGCTAGTGGGCCGGCTGTGGGATACATATTTATCTGAGGGAGATGCCTTTCCTGAGTACCTTGTTTACGTCTGTGCAAGCTTTTTACTAACAGTAAGTTCACATCATTGCGATCTGACTCTTTCTTTGTGAATATTCTTGCTATTGTGGTTGATATCCAGGGGTTGGAATTAGTGTTGGCGATGTCCTTCAGTAAATGTTGTGCGTATGTTTGGTACTCAGGTTCTTCATTGATGGATCTGAATCAATTTGTATCGTGTGGTGTGTTGGCACTTGCAGTGGTCGGACCAATTGCAACAGTTGGATTTCCAGGAGATGGTCTTGTTTATTCAGCATCTGCCGACCAAAAACTGGACGCATCAAGAACTGGAGATGGTGTTATCGCGAGCCTTTATGTGGCGTGTGATGTTCCAACAAGCTCCCAGTCACCTGAGTTCTGGCTAGTAATCTGGACTTGCTCTATTTTTAGTTCTAGCATTCTTAGGCGTCAGATTTGACGAGGTTCGGGAGATGGGTTAAATTGGTTTACTGTGGATGTTCATTTTTTGTTGGAAGACCAGATTAATAAGCCAACCTTGTTGTACATTTAGATCATCCTGTGTATAGCCTTCTAGGCGAGGGTGGGGTTCGCATGTTTTTTCCAGCTGCCTGTAGGAAACAAATTCTTATGAGAGGCCTCTTATTGCAGATTGTATGTGATACGAAGCTACCTCCTTTCTTGGATCATAAATCTACTTTCTCTTAACCAAAAGCTTGGACGTTTGTGTTTCTTCTAGCGATTGACCTGTCTTCTGCCTATCTGGCCAACAGTGCTTCTTACCGTTGATGATGGAAGGAGTTCGTCACTGTGACAAGTACTATTTGTTACCAGAGCATATGGGTATTTGAGCATAATCATCATTGGTTAAGATCACCATGTGCATTTAAATCAGAGTTTCGAGTGAAATGGCACTCCATATTTCCAGTTGTGTCGAAATTCTTGCATGCGATTGTGGGAGGGAAGCAATGTATCTTTCGGAGAAAATCTTCTGCTATTTCTCTTTCGTGATCTCGCAGTTTTTCCTCCCGCTAAAATGTCCATTGCTTGCATAAATGCAAAATCTATGGATTTTGTGTGACTTGTGGATTCTTTCTTTCTCCATTTCTCCATCTCTCATTCTTTCTTTCTCCAGGATTCTTTGGACATTATGTAAATGTGCAAAGTGTGCCTAAGTAATTGTATACGAGATATAGATCTTCTCCTTGACTAGTAACACCGTACATGCTGTAAATTAAATGTCGAAGTTTCACGGACTTCTTTCACAATGCAGTATGCTGATTTAACTGGTAATATGAGTGTTCTACAACGCTTGCATAGAGAGCTTACATCTTCCAATTTAGTTCACAGGAAAGCGTGGAAAGATGAGTGATTGTGTTATTACACAAACCTGGCGATGGGATAATGTATATGCAAGTTTGGTAAGCTTAGCTTTATCCTAGTCTTAGGATAACAATGTGGTACATGACAATCATTTTTAGTACTTAAGCATTTAAAATTTTTAAGTTGTTTTTTTCACGAAGAAAAGTTTTTTTCAAAAACATGAATGTAAAACTTTATCTTTACAATCTTTAACCATTGAGATTTTATTTATAAATTAGGTGTTCAAAACCTGTGAGCATGAAATTGTGGATCTCTTAATTTGATTAACACAGCGCAACTTCGATACGAAAGAGACTCGAAATTCTAAAGTTGTCGTTTACACATTCTCCATTAACAATCAAGTCAATATCACCTGTTCTCCTGTATTTGATGATTTATTCATAAACAATGATGTATATATCCAATTAACCATGGACACTACATCTATACAATGCACAGCATCTATGATATAGATATGTGCAAGCGTTACAAATCCTGGAAATATTAATATACTAAACTTATCAAGGAAGTACTTTGATTCAAGTGATTAATTCATCTTAAATGAATTAAAATGCAATGAAACCTTAACATCATATTATTGAATTGTAACGAGAAAGACTTTTTTCTTTTTTTTTTCTGAATTTATTAAAGAAATGACACAAGACTAATTCCAATATGTGAGATAGTGGCTCTATCAGTTTGTATGATTGAATCTTTCCAAAGCAAACTTTGCCTCATCTTCTCATAATCAAAATAATAATTTGTGACATCATAAGCATCAATAAAAAATCAGTCAATTTTTTTACTGCATAGTTTATCTTTGAAAAGATCATCTAAGGATAAGTGTTAAAAAATGTGAATTATCATTCACATTATAGAATTAAATTTTTAATACGTCATTCCTTTAACTGGTTTCAAAAAAAATTCAAAACATTAAGCATATTCTTTAACAATCATGTTTTGACAAAAAAATTAGTTCTTTGAACTTTTTTCTCGATAATTAAATTTTACGCTTGATAAATTTGAATATCAAATTAAACAGATCTTAAGCTCAAAAAAAGCTTAATAAAATATTTTGTCTTTTAAAAACAGAGCTTAAGCTCAAACTACTTTTAAAATATTCAAAACAGATTGAAATAATTTTTAAATATCTTTGAACAAAACAAAAAAACTTTAATCTAATCTCAAGTCAAATCAATTCATTAAAAATACTCAAAATCTTGACCAAGTTAAATTTAAAAGTGAATTAAAAAACACTTTATTTCAATTTTATTCATGTTAGAATTAATAAAGAATTTATTGCACAAATAATCTTTAAAAGTAAAAAATATCTACAAATATTTCTATATTAACATGGAAATATTCTTTAAAATATATCTAGTAAGGAGATAATTTGTCTTGTAAATACTTTTGAATTATTTTTTAACATTATTTGTCAAGATATTTTTTCAAAGAAGATTTTACAAATACGAAACTTGAGTGAAGAGTTCAAAAATGTTGGATTATATAAAATGACTATGAACAAATATGTTGCATAAAAGGATTTATGAATCTTTGACTTTGAAATAAGTTCAATATCTCATGATCAAATATCTATTGGTTTGCAAATCTGTTCTTATAATGCACTCCTACTAAAAAATGAAATAAATAATTCAAAAAATACCTTTAATTTCTATTTGGTCAATTAAAATTAATCTTGAAAAAAATATCATGTTTAAGATTATTTTCTGTTAAATTTCTTTACGCTACAAAAATTAAATGTATGTACTTTACAATCGTCATGAAGCATAAAAGACATTATTCAAAAAAATTATCTTAGAAAGTAATTTTTAAAATAATAAATGATTTAAAAAATAAAATTTGTGATCGTAAAAAAATTTCAATTTAGGTTCAGCATGCTGATAAGTAATTAATTTGTAGAAAGTGGCATCATCTTTTGATTTAAAAACTTACTGTGATGATTTATTATGATTGTGAGTAATAAAGCGGAAGTAAATAAAATTAAATGACAATATAATAAGTCAAACTGTACCGCGTATGTATTGATGATCAGTAAAAGTGTAATGCTTTGGTATAAAAGTTACTCGTTAAATATCAAGTTTAGGCGAGGGTTCTTAGCTAAACTTAGAAAGGTGGAGGTTATCTCAAACAAGAATTAACCTCGACAATCTCCCCCCTAACTCATGTTAAGGGAACGCTAAGCTCTTTATATTATATTATTATTTCGTGGGAAGTTCTAGAAAGAAACCTAACATAATGCTCATAATTAGAACTAAACCATAGTCATAACAAGATAGAGTAATAATATTAAAAAATTAACTAAAAGATACTTGCTAGTATAGACAAAACTGTAACCTATATAATTGCTACATAAAAATTTATAGAAAAAAATCTAACATAAGACTAATCTTGTTAACCAAAGTTAACTAGAATTTAGCCGTAACCATAATAGGATATAGTAATTATAAAAAAAGATAATAGAATATACCATGCTAGCAAACTCTACATATGCTTTCCATGCATAACTTGCATAGTAGCACAATATCATCTAAAAGATTTTGGTCAACGTATCAATTATATTGAATTTACTGTATATCTTGAGTAGCTCAATAGTTTTATCAAAAATTGCTTGTCACATAAAATGATACCTATAGTGGATGTGTTTCACTCTACTTTCAATAACCTAGTTAGCAGTACAATGTAGAACACTCTGGTTGTCACAATGAAGATTGATCATGCCTTGTATCAATTTCATCTTCATGATAACCATGTTTAAAAAAATAGCTTACTTGGCTTTTTTTGCTTCCGCCACATATTAAGTTTCTATTGTAGATTGAGCCTTATAATTCTAGAAGGTATATCTATAACTAATGATTCTAACATCAAGTGTAAACACATACCCTATTGTAGATCTTCTTTTGTGTATATCGTGTACGTAGACAACATCAACAGAGATTTGACATTGTTTAATAAATCATCTAATTATAAGCCATAATATACACTACTTTTAAATATCTTAGAGTCTATTTCATAACTTCTTAGTGAATGTTCCCTGAATTCAACATGGATTTGCTCACCTTACACATTGCTAGAACAATACTTGTAGGTGCACACCATCAAATACATGAGTCTCTTGATAGCTTGTTCATAGGAAACACAAGCCATCCTTGTCTTATACATGACTCAATGGCATGGATAAGACATTGAACAGCAAAAAGTCTAAAATGTGCTACAAAAAGAATCCATATTCTATTACAACGCTGTCAAATATAAGACCAACATATTATTCTAATTTAATCATACCATTTTTTTCAAAAATTTTGTGGATATCTTCTTTGAGTTCACCATATTCTTCATCTTAAATACATATTTTTACTGACTCATGCATTTATCAAGATTGAATTGGTTTTTTACCAAGATGATCATGTCTTCAACGTAGATTACTAGAATAATAAGATTGAAAGTCTTATCATTCAACTTCTTCATGTAGATATTAGTATCATACATATTACGTAAATATTGTCATGTCTTCATGAATTCATTTAAACGCGTGTTCCACAACCTAGTAGCTTGTTTTAATCCATACAATGATTTCAAAAATCTACAAACCAATCTTTTTTTGACCATTAAACTCAAAGCCAACAGGATGTCTCATCTATAACTTTTGCTCTAAATATCTATAGAAATAGTTGTAACCATGTCTTTATGATCCATAACAAGACTAAATATCACGGTTAGTGCATACATCAAAAAAATTCTATCATACTTTGCTAAAGGTGAAAAAACTTCGATTCAAGTTATTTCACACCTTTCTTTTATGTGAAATCTCTAGCCACAATTTAACTTTAAATATTTTCATCTTGTCAACTGCTAAATTTTCTTTCAGCTTGAACATCCACTTGAAATCAATTAACACATGATCATTATGAAGTTCAATTTGTTTCCAACACTTGATATCGATTAGCAATTCCATCTTTTACTTCATATCAGCATTCTATTCAAGCTTATTAATTAAAGCTTGAACTTACTGCATGAAGAAGATTTTGCTTCTTCATACACGTACTCTCTATCAATATCACGATATTTGAAAATAGATGAGTTGGTCCAGACATCATACTTGAATCCAACATTGAATGTTCATGCCCAAAGTCATCCATGTTCATGGATCATAGATGAAGATGCATGTATAGTGTATTTGAATGGTCAAAGTTTTAAATGTATACAAACTCATGTCCATCACTATTGCTTGAGATATAGACACGTTAATATTTGATAACTCAAATCTCAACTTAGACTTTAAGAGTTAGATAATACAATACAAAGTACAATACATGTTCAAGTCTAGTATCTTGAAATAAAGCTTGCAAGTGTTTGCCTCATAGAGAAAATTGCAAAAATTTCTTCCGCTAGACTGAAATAGTCAACAAAAAACACAATAAGACATGAAACTGCTTTGTGAATTGCATACACAAATTAAATTAATCTATATCTAAAGATCACTCTATGAACATGTAAGTACATCAAACCAATTTATGAAAATCTAGAAGATACATGAGTAGCTTTTGCATATTGAATTAGACTTGATATGACCACTTTGAAGCACACTTAACTTTGTATTGTTACTTCTTTAGTATGAAAGCAACATATTTTGCAATAAATTGTGATTTCTTTTATTTTTTAGGTGCACAATCCCCAAGATATCCATTCACATTAATTATCAGTGAGTGGGTATAAGGTTGTCTTCAAACTTGACAGTATTTCAAATCCAATTCACAAACAGAAAACATTGTCACTTGAGCATCGCTAGTATTAAATGCTATGTTAGAAGTTATCAAAAATGATAAAACATAGCAATCTAAGGAAGTTGTCATTCACAAGAATCACTATAGTCTAAATTTTAGACCGTCATGTTGTCATGTCAGAGATGAATTATCAAAACAAGCCAAATAAAAATCCAGATATTCCATGTCAAGTATCAAAATAACAAAATGATATGCTTCAATAAGTTTTAATTTTGAAGTAATAACGTCAAGTAGATTAAATCTGTGAAAATTTTCATACTCCAGAAACACAGTAGTCTTAGTTCTAGACTATCATATTGTCATGTTATGGATGAATTATTATAAGAGATCAAATTCGAGTCCAAATATTCCCTCGTCAAGTATCAAAATAACCAGCTGATATTTGCCAATAAATTCTACTCTGAAGTAATAATGTCAAAAAAGGTTTAAAAATTGAAAAAAAACCATTAATTTAGCATTATGAAATACAAATTTCTTTCTGAAAATACATTATTTTCTTCAAGAAATAATTTATCCTTCTCTTAAATTTCATCATTGAATTATATGTTAGATTACTAGTAGACAATGTATGTAAGTTATAAAATTTATTTACCTTGCCAAAATATCAAGAAGATTAGTTGATATAAAATTCTAAATCTTTACAAGATTAAATAAGATTTTTGAAACAATTCGTTTGAATCATTTAAGAAGAAGACTAAATCAATTCTTGGAAGCAATAGTTCAAAATCGTTTCATATCTAGTTGCATTAAAAAATTTAGAAATTATAAATTATTGAAATGGCTGATAACTTTGAAGTAATGTATAGTTTTCAATATACATAGGAAATAAAAATCAGCCACATGAATATGATTATCAAATATGAACTCAACAACTACCATGACACTTTATATAATATTATTTGAAGTTTTTGATATTTTCCCCCCTACAATGTTTAGAATTTTATAGTCAGTTTTTTATCTCATCAAATATGTTGAATTTATATATATTGTAAAATTTGACAAGAATTTAACGTCTTAAATATTTCAATAAATAATATTTTTATAATTATTTAATAATTTTAACCTAATAATCTAATTTTATTTCAATTTTTGAAACATTAAATTATCCAGTAAATATTGATTTTATTTTCTTCAATATTTGTTATCTGTTTTTGAAATTATTTTCCCAACTTGATTATTCTTCTGAAATAACTTGATATGCTGAAATAACTTGATATTTTGTAGAGACATTACATCAATAATGTAGTTATTTAATACATTTGTATTATTATTCACAAAATAAATCAAAATTTATAATTAAAAAATAATAATAACTAATTTAACATTTAACTTGTAAATTGCAATGACGGTATGGTCAAGGAATTTTATGCTGATTTCTTCTAAAAATTGTTCACCTAACATGTTACCAATTATATATTTCCAAATTAATTGTTTCAAACAAGTTATCAAATTTTAATTATAAGTAGTCCATTTATTGATTTGTTACCATTTACAATTTGACTTGACATTTTTTGCGTGCCTTTGTTCTGGAAGCAAGATAAATTCTTGCATCTATTTTTTTCCAGTATTTTGTTTAAATATTATCGGCTACTTTGATTATTATCACTTTAAGAAACTCAAATTATTGTTTTATATGGAAATTATACATCATCATAAGTGGTTATTTTAATTCCAATATTTTATGATAATTTATGTCTAAAAATTCATGTTTCTTTCTTTTAATTGTCATAAACTTGGTCATTAATTTTTGAAGATCTTTCATTCTCGTTTAATTTTTATATGTTTAACGTTTTAAAATTCATAAATATTTGTGGTTGCGTGGGAAAGATAAGTATTATAACATAAGTGAATCTTTTTTGACTATGTCACATGACCTTTACAAAACTTTATATGTTTTAATGATTGGGTTTGTTTTAGTGTGATAAGAATCTAATTTGATGACCTAAATTGGAGATCTTTACATTGTTGAAACAAGTTCATGGATATATATTTTATTTTAGAATAAATTTATATTAAAATATGAATTACATTGTAGGAGGATGATCTTTCAAATATTTGAAGAAGGATAATAAATAACATGGTCAACTTTTTTTTTATTTCAGCACTTTTTGGCTTTCTTGAGTTTTACACTCATGATAAAACAGAGGTTAAAATTTTTTGTAAAATTATATTGAATTTGAGAACAATTTTTTTAATTTCTTTAATATATAAGAAAGTATAATTGAAGAACTTTGGATGAGTTCTTATGAAAATCAGTTAAAGCGTAAAGTGTAGTGTCAAATTTTCCCAAGTGTATTACACTTTCTGACATTTTTTGGAGTTTCAACGAACGATTAAATCATAAGGCGAAAGAAAAAAGGTAAAATGATGATAATATTAATATGACGAACGTTTTACAACCTGAGTTTGCATTAACGAAATTCTTCCCTATTGTTGTATTTCGATGTGTCAATCTCCTTGTTGATATTAAACGGGTGAAAATGGCTACAGGTGTACTGTTAGCCCTCTCTGAAAACATAAATGCTCTGCGTGGTCCAGACAAAATTTCTCCTACAGTGGAGATATCTGGCAGTATATGCATTGTGTATATAGAAATGGTGCGAGAAAGGAAGAAAAATGAACAAATCTGTCCAGTCAGACGCAATTTGTGGGCAAGCTGTTATTATTGTGACTCGTGGATTTTAATTTCTTCTTATTTCGTTGCCACGCAGGTAAAGATTAAATATCTGAAAGATATGTTATGGATCCGTACAAAATAACTGTATACTTGTCCAGGGCGAAGGGCATAGTCGAAGCGGGGGACAGCATGGAGAATTAGCCAATAAGACGGAAGAAAATCCAGCCCGATTTAGACGTGCCGCTTAGAAGTCCTGCTACAGAACAATAATTTACCGTCGCACCACGTACCGGATCTTCACAGTTGGACTCGGAGTTACCCAGTAACCGGTACAATACCGGCAACTTCAAATTTGGTCGGTAACTTCCCGTCAACTGTACAGCTGTCGTATTAGGAAGGCGTGCCCCGCGGTTCGAAAAAGTTCAGTCGGTAACGTCGGCACGGAGAAGACCGGCAGGTTCTCAGCACCGCAAGGACGGGATCGCGGGTGGGAATCTTCCGGCTACAGCCAGTGAGGGGCGGACAAGTGGACAGAGCACCCCTTTTTCACCGTCTTCCGAGGAAAATCTGAGCAAGCCGTGACCGGACGCCCCCTTGGTTGAGCTCGCCGGCGGGGGAAGGCAGGCAGGGGGGCGCAGGCCTGCATGGCAAGGGCAGAGCGGGTGCGCCTCCTCCTCGTCCTGTAGTTACTAGGGCAAATTATATAATGCGGTGAACGCGAAGAGTGAGGCTGTTGTGTTGTGATGTGTCCAATGCCCTAAAGAGAGAGAGAGAGAGAGAGAGAGGGAGGGAGGGAGAGGCAGAGCGGAAGAAGCCGGCTCGGCTCTTTCTGTTGCGAGACCCGTCAGCTCTTCTTCGCGTGGAATGGAGGGAGCGAGGGAGGGAGGGGTGGTGGTGGGAGAAGAAGCGAAAGCTTTTTCGTGATCGAAACAACAAACGGGCGAACGGGACGAGAGATTGGAGAGATTTGCGAGACGGGGGTGTTCGTAATAGGAGCGAAGCGTCCGTTGGCGCGAAAAGGGCACGCGAGAGCGATGAGCGAGCGCGAGGCATTCTTTCGCGCGACGTGGGGAGTTGGAGCGAGATTGGTCGATGCATTGAGTGGGTCGGTGATTCTGCACAGGTAGCGCGAGTTGGGAGGGGACGAGGACGCGGCCACCTGCGGGGCGAGAGCGAGCGGGCGGGCGGCCGTCGTGGATTCAAACCTCGTGCGTTGGCGCGCGGGGGTCATGCGAGGAAGAGGCCGAGCCGCGAGGAGTTGGCTTCTCGGAGATCTGCGGGGAATCCGATGGAGTGATTTTCGCAAGAACGATGAGGCGGAGAGGCGGAGGCGGAGGCGAAATTGAGCAAAGAAGATGTGGATGAGGACGCGGGCAGGTCGTGGAGATGAGTGGAGGGGAAAAGGTAGGAGGCAAGCCCTTCGAGTGGAAAAAATCGGGAGAGAATACGAGCAATAGCCCAAGTTACAGCGGTTCAGAGCAGGGCTCCGAGTTTGATTTGCCTCGCGCCGGTGCGGGCCCCACCAACGATGGTAGTGCTGTCGGTAAGAAATCGGAGCACGGTGGAGGTGGGCGAGCGGGGGATAATCGCGAGGTAAGTGGCAGGAGCCAACATTCCCAGCAGCTTAAGTATTATGGACGGCGTAATCGCGCCAAGCAGGCTGTGTCCGTGCAGGTCCCCGAAGTTAATGACATAGAAGTGGAAGGGGCCGGTCTTGTTGGATGTCTGGCTGTTGATTTGACAGAACAGCTGGAATCGGGCATTGATCCGACCCCTGAACAGAGTATCGTTAAGCGGAATGGAAGCGGTGGTATGGCATCAGGTAAAGGGACCTCACGACTTGAAAGAGCTGGGAGCTCACGAGAAGTCGAAATGGGGGAAGGACTTTTCGAAAGTTCGAAAAACAAAGACATTCTGGAAGCAGTTGCAGCAGTTGATACAGGGACGACTGTAGAGATTTTAAGGACAGCCGAAATTGTATCGGAGGATAATTTGGACAAGACAGGTCAAGAGGACAATAGGAAGAATGGCATTCGGAACGATCGCCGGGGGGATGGGAGGGGCGACCCTGCGGTACAATCGCTTGAAGGTCAGGAAGCCTTCGAAGCCAGCTTGGCCACACCCGATGCGAGGTCCGACTTTGATGTAGCTGCAGGAGCTGTCGAGAAAGTGTTCGATGATCGCTCAATTGGGAAGGATAGCACAAGTAGCTCTTCAGGATTTTTGACAGGTGAACAGGGTACTCCCGATGCTGATGACACTGAGTTTGATTACGCGGGCACCAAGTTTTCTGGATATTCTGATTCCGACGGGAAGGCATTTCCTGAGGAAGTAGGGCTGGATCTTTCATCTTCGCCCCCTTCGACAAGTTTAAGTCTTCCTAGTAATGGAGAACCCGATAGAATCAGGAAGAAAGGAACAGGGCGTAATTCTTCCAGGTCTCGTCGAGCTCGCGCCCAGTCTTCTAAGGAAGGGGATGATCAGAGTGGAGGCGAAACTTCTAAAGGTTCCGAGGACCAGGAGAGCTCGGTACTCAAAGGCATGCCTCTTGAATGGCGGTTGGCTTTGGAACGCCGCCAGTACGAAGAGTCCGTGCTTGCTAAAGCCGAAGATGTGTGGGCTAAGCAAGAGGTATTGAGTCATTATTCATTGCACGACTAATGAACTCTCACTACGAAAGAAAAAGCGTCAAAAGCAAGGAATGGGCATCTCTCTAGTCTGGTGAAGTAGGGCTATGCAGATATATCCTGTGATAGCGTTAAAACCGTTTCTTCAGGTTTAGAACCAGATATCACAATTCAGCATTGTGTTTTTAAGGTTGCGTGTTTTTGAACGTGTTCAGATTTTGGATAACACCAAGAAAATACCGTCCAAGGGCAAAGAACCAGCTCGCTGCAAGACGCACTGGGACTTCGTGCTAGAAGAAATGACTTGGTTAGCTAAGGTGAGAACATCTAACAGGAAGACAGTCTTGTGTTTAAATGAATTCTCTTCAAATGCCTTGGCCCTTACCCTCATCTAGTCTTTGATATGGAGGTCTTCAAGATGTTACGTTATCTTAACTTTTGAAATAAAAGTGTAATTTCTAAAGTGTATATGTCCCGCGAGTTTTAATGCTCTGCTACTCTCATGATGAGTCTAGAACTTTTGTAAGTCACTCTTGTGCTCAGTTTTGTGTTTACGAAATGATATATTTCTTGCGATTGGTTTTGCGCTAATTGATTTGGCTTGTTTTAGGGATGACTGAATTTTTTTTTTTGGATAGAGAAATGGACAATATTCAAGTACTGGCGTCTTAGAGTAGCAGTATGTGTGCTAGCAAAGACCCAGTAGCTTTGTGAATATATTTTTATTTAATAACCGTTTCTAGATACCGTGGACAACCCGTGTATGACTTTACTTTTTGATCAGACAGTAAAGTTCTAAGAATCATGCAACGCTCCTCATTATCTCCGAGTGGGTTTCAAACGGTCATTTGGGTCAGTTTGTGTTCATCAGCATCTCAGCGTAGCCACCCAGTCCTGCCCATGTCAACGCCAAGACTTTTCTCCTTAAATTATGCTCTTCTTGCAGTCTATCACTCTGGTGGGAGATGCGTTCTATAGAACAAAGTTCTTGGACGGAAGTTCCACTTCGTCATTTGTAGGCAGAAGTTGAAGCAATAGTTGTTGATCACTTTCCAGTTGGACTTCCTGTATTGGTTCTCAACAAATGATGTGTCAAGGTAACCAAGATAGTGGTTTTGTCGCCTTAGTTTAAATGACAAGCACATGAACGTGACAGGCGCCAACCATCTGCCGATGGTGAACTGGAATTTGGCAGGATTTTGAGAGGGAAAGGAAGTGGAAGCTCAGCCAGGCTAAGAAAGTAGCGATCAGGGTGAGCAGAAGTAAACTTGATGTCGAAGCTAAGGGTCTCCGACGACAAAAGGTGGGTTCACATAACTTTCGGGTTCAATTCTTCTTCTGGTTCATTATATAGAGTTTATTATCATGTACTGGGAAGTTTCGCTTGTTTTCAGTGTTTATTGAGTGTATGGCTGGCGATGATTTTTCAGTTAATCTTTGGGTTCTAAAGTCAGAGTGAGTTGTTGCCAATATATCAGGAGGAGGAGCAGAAGACTCGGAGGGTGGCCAGCAATATCGCTAAAGATGTGAAGAAATTTTGGATGAAAGTTGAGAAGCTGGTGAGTTTATCAGCTCGTCGCCATTGTTACTCTTGAAAGAGCTGAGACTTTCACAGTAATCCAAGCTTCTGCGGTGTTGTTGCTTAACATGTTTTCTCGAAGTCATCGATCTAGGCCGTACTTATTCCGGAATGAAAATTTCAGTGATCAGTTTGCCATATTTCTCATATATGTCTGTAGGGAATGTACCTGCCTCCACATTTCCCCTTTATGTTCAACAACACTGCAAATTATCTGTTAAGTACCACCTTTGAAAGGTGCTGCTACTGTTGGGGAATATGCTATTGTTCCAGCAGCGTAGAAGTGTGTTATACAGAGTGTCTTCAAAGTTGGAGCTCAATGCGCTTTACTGGAGCCACACATTCTGTGTTCATGTTCTCTGTTTCTCAGTTGAGGGGACGGCTGTTCCTTAAGTTGGTCTAATAAACTGCAACATTTTTGACGAGTGCCACTGTACAACGTATTGCCTGTGAAGGTGATGTACAAGCATCAATTAGAGCTTGAGGAGCGAAGGAAGAAGGCACTCGACAAACATCTGGACTTCCTTCTTGGCCAGACTGAGAGGTGGGTTAGTTGTTTAGTCTGCTAGACCTGCGAAGTCTATGAATAAATATTTGCCGTGGAGACATATCATCGATCTCTCGACCCATACCGAAACGCTTTTTTGTAGGTTTTGACTAATTTCCATGAACAGGTATTCAACTATGCTGGCAGAGAACTTGGGGGGAGAAATTACCACACCCTTGTTATCGAAAGCTCCTCATCCAGTGCACGTTCCTACTGGAGTTATGTCTGAGGGTGGAGAGTTTTCGAGTGTCGGGAAAGAAATCGTTGTCAGGAGTGACGCCTTAGGAAGTTCGGTGAAGCCTCCTGTTGTTCAAAGTGAGACTCCTGCTGTGGTCCTCGAGCATCCTGCTGAAGGGAAGATAACTTTTGGAGTGGAGTCAGTTGATGCAAGCGGTGCTAATCTTCAAAAGGATATTTTGAAGTCAGACACAGATATTGTTGACGAAGACTTCAATATGGAAAACGAAGAGGAGGAGGTCAGTTGCTTGACGCTGTCGACGCACTGAATGGCTTCTGTGTTTGTTGTGAATCGTTTCGTACCTATCAGCTCGTCGAAGAAATATCTCCATATTTTTGATTTAAGCTCAGCCTCGTTTTGAGCCTCCCTGATTTATTATATGATTATATATCAAGATTTTCATGTGGAGATTGTGTGGGCATCTACTGATCTTCAACGCGTTTGGAAACTTTGTTTGACTTGGACGTAGGCACTTAGCTGTTTCATTCTCTAAGTACTTGTGTATGTCAGCTTTTCGTGTGGAAGTTACTTTTAGTATGTCTACAAGCAAACGCTGTCTTTGACCAAATTGCTCTTACCTTTTGAAAGTTCTTGGACTGGTCAGAGTTATTTTTTGAACATTTCGCTGACTGTCAGTTAAGGCACCTCGCTGTAGTATGATAAAAGTCAGGTGTATTTGGGTTATATGGATGTTTCTTTCAGTATGATAATGATCAAATGCATGCATCAAAACATCTGACTCTACAAGATGAAAAATATAGTTTCCGTTATTGACTGGATCCCATCACGAGGATTCTTACAAAGCTCTTGCTCGACAGGACGATGACGAAGCAACAATAGAAGCCGAGGAAGCTCTGGTTACGGAAGAGGAACAGAGGGAGGAGCTTAGTGCCCTTCAAAGAGAAGGAGAGCTTCCTCTTGAAGAGCTGATGAAACTTTATAGACGGAATGGAGGTACATGTCTCGAAATAGTGTCATATCCTTTCCATATCAAAATGCTAGGTTTTTCAATTTGGTTCATCTTACGTATGATACAACCGTGTATTAACTATATTCAGCGTATTTATCTTGCAGATGAATCAGACCTTACAGATGACTCTGAAGATGAGGAAGAAGATGAAGACAGCGACGATCATGAACAGCTTAACAAGGAAGAAAGTGAGATTGAGTTCGGGAATCATGCGGGGCATTCTTCTGGCCCGCAAGACGTCAACTTGGCATCGAGTTCCAACAAGGCTAAAGTAGAAGTTCTCCTTGAAAATGGAAACCCTGTCGACGAGCGGTCTCAAGTTCACGCCAACAGCCGGAAGATAGAAATTTCACCGGTGACCTTAATCCTCAATAACACTCCGTCTACAGCTGGCAATGCAGCGGCTAAAGTCCACTCGACATCAGAAGTTTACATGGAAGTCTTACCAAATGAAGAAAATACTAGCTCCGTACCAAGAGAAGAGGACTTAGCTTTGAAGAAGAGAATACTTAATGGTGACGTCTCGGGCGGAGCACTTTTGGAAGAACCAAAGGATTCATTAGCTGTGAGTAGGCCTGATCAATCATTGTCTCCTGCCCAACCCCTTTTTCTGTATTGAAGATGTTTTGGAGTAGCAACAGAGAGAGCCTGTGAATCCCGGTCCCTTGGGTGTTTAGCCCTTGCGGTTGAAGTCGTGTGATAAAAAAAGTTTTGTATTCGCAAGTGTTGTGTTCTGTTTTTCATTTCCTGATTGAGATGTAGAGTTTCCCCAGTATCCCGTCATTTCGTGTTTTACAGCAGTACTGCTGGCAAATCTTATTCGAGAGGCTCGGTCTTTCCTGTTTTTTTACCTCCGCGTCCAGTAAATAATGGCAGATCACTGGACGAACTCTGGCTCTTTTCGCCCTACTTGGTGGTCGGGGGTGGATTGTACTACGTGGTTTTCTTTGGTGGCTGACACTCATCTAGCGCTTGCTGTGCACTGTCACCATGAAAATCACTATCTATTGTGTTTTTTTTGGGATTGAACACAATAACGAAGGCGATTGGTTCTTACCAGCACTACGTAAGCCATGGTAGGCTCATTGGAGCATTTTATCCTGCTATGTGTAAATTGTTCTGTATTCCTCCCTGGTTAGGTGCAGAAATTTTGTGTCCAACCACGGTAACTTCTCTGAGGCGTTGTCTTTCACACGCTAGTGGGTGTTGTGGTAATAACTCAAGTTGTAGGTGCATGTTCCGTTGTTGCCTATGTTCTTGCTTGTACTTATATCGTGGGTTTGCTAGATTATACCATAATGAACATGAATCAAGCTCGGTCGCTTTCATAACTCCCTATGGATTTGTAAAGCGTGGCAGCTATTTTTGTAGCGGTTTCCACTATATACAACGATTGGATTATTTCATAGAATTCTGTTGTTTTAACTTTGCAATGTTTGCTGAGACTGTGACCTCTTCAAACCAATTCTTGAGTATCAAACCCCCATGTTGGATGGACTCGGTTGGTTAAAGCCACTTCGAAAGGTTGCATAGATAAGAAGCCAACTAAAGCCGCTGTACAAGTCAACCCTTTAGTTACGATTTTTTAAATTGACAGGACCCCTTGAAACTACAATATGTGCTAAGAATGGGAATAAATTTCCTGTTTATTCGATGCGTAGTGCATCATTTTTTCAAGTTTATCTTTGTATTTTTCTGAACACAAACAGCCGGAGAGTACGCGGCCGTTAAGAAAGAATTGACATACAAATTATGCATGTTACTACGTTTAACTGGTTTGTACATGAGTTAAATATAATCTATTTGGTTCAAATCAGTCAAATGCTTGGGACCTAAGGAACGTAATTTGTTACTGCTTGTACTCTATCACCATTGGTATAGGTAGAATGAGTGGTCCGTCTTAGTAAGTATAGCTATGTTGTCTATTGCAGGCAGTATGATTTGAGATGAAGCCTATACAAAGTGTGGTCATGCGTCGTACAAATTCGCCATTTGCTCGCAGTTTGATTGAGGTCAGACATGTCTTCTGCAGGATGATAGGGAGTACATCCCTGCTGCTTTGGTAGACGGATCTGATGAGGTAAAGCTTCAAAGCTTCAGCAGCGGCAGCTTTTACTCATGAGTTGCAATGCAGACACCTATTTGCGGTATTTTGCCATGTTTTAATTTTCCTAAAAGAGATAAACTCGAAATGTGTTACACTCTTTAGGCCTCTCTTGGCCTATGTGGTTGTGTTTTCTCGCTTTCAGAGCTGATGGAAAAGAAAATTAGCTCCAATCACTCACGCTGCACAGGGTTCCTAGCTCGAGCTTTCATCACAATTCATAGATATATACTTGAATAGTTTGAAAGTAACCTTTTTGTGCCCTACCGCGCTGTGGACTAGGTAGTTTTGTTACAAGCTATGATAAATTTTGCAGGATGATGAAACGACTCTGGAAGAAGAAGAGTCTCTGGCGAGAGGAGAAGCCGAGGGTAATGCTGACGAGGTAAAAATATGCTCACTGTCGTGTTCCAACAGGCTATTTCGTAAAGAAATATGGTACTGGATCTTTGTTATTAATTATTTCAACCGGTTTGGTTACACGTCTTTCTTCGGTTTTACCTTTGACTTGAGCAAATCAAGTGTTGAGTCTTCCAGAGTTTTACAACATGCTAAAAAAAACTGTTTATTAGCCCCTGGGATGGTGCTATTACATGTACTGATCAAGATTTTTACTGGGTACTGATAGATTGATCGTCTCAAAAGAGAGAGTGAGATGTCGATTGAGGAGCTTTTGGCGCAGTATCGATCGGTACCTCCCCTGAACCTCTCTTAAACCATGATTTCTTCAGATTCATGACCGTCTCGACGAACGCTGTCCGCATGACAATCTTTCCGTTATTTGTGGGCAGATTGTGTATTATGAAACTTTTGGTCACATCGTCCAACCTTTGGTTGTTGTTTTTGTGTGATGGTAGCTTAAGTTCCTCTATCATGGACATTGGACAACTGATATGGAACTCGGTATTACAGATGGCGGATGGGTCCGAGGCGGACGAAGATAGTGAGGACATTGAGGATGATTTTGTCGAAGATAGACAAGATCGGACTAGTGAAGCTGGCACAAGTGGTTCAAGTGAAGACGACGGAGAGGATGGATATAAGTATTTAGCTGAGAATTCTGCTGAGGCTAAAGAAAGAATGGGAGAGCCGAGTACTAGTGGTCGTGATCAATGGTCATTAGTATCGTCATCTTATGGGAGGAAACCCAAGAAGAAGTCGATCGATGTGTCTGAGACGATCGAAGAGAGGAAGAGAGGAAGATTGGAAAAGTGGACCACGGAAACCCCTGGAAGGGCATCTAGAGGAGAAGATGAAATAGAATACAAGCAAGCCAAGATGCAGGTTGATCCGCAGCTTGCTAGTTCTGAGAATGGAAGCCTCGGGAAGACATGGGATCCCAGAGGAAGCTCGGGCGTCTCTCTGCTGTTGGGAGCTGATGAAGTGGTCGACCAAGCGACCGCCGAAGCACTAGCAAGGGTGTCTGCAGCTGCAAAGAGAAGAGGAGAACGGATGCTGAAGAGGGCACTTAGAGAAGAGGAACCTCATGTGCTCGGGGAATCAGGTGAGGAGAACTTGGTTGAAGGCAAAACTACTGACTCGATTGTGAGAGTGGACAATGTTGATGGAGCCACTCCACTTATCGAAGACGTCAAGATGACCACGAATGAAGTTGAGGAACCTAATGTCCAGGGGCGGGAGGTTGGTGAGGGAATACGAGTGGAACCTAGCACAGATGGAACCTCTGAACTCATTGCCAGCGATCCTACTGCAACCGGGGAGGAGAAAACCAGTGAGGACAAACTGGCTGATGCAGCTGCGGCAGCTCAGTCTGCGCAACCCACTGGTTACACCTTCTCCACTACCAAAGTTCGCACAAAATTGCCTTTTCTTCTGAAGCATTCACTCCGGGAATATCAGCACATAGGATTGGACTGGCTGGTCACGATGTATGAGAAACGCCTGAATGGAATCCTCGCCGATGAGATGGGTTTAGGGAAAACCATCATGACTATATCACTGTTAGCTCATCTAGCATGTGATAGAGGAATTTGGGGTCCTCACCTCATCGTTGTTCCCACCAGCGTTATGTTAAACTGGGAAACAGAGTTCATGAAGTGGTGTCCAGCCTTCAAGATTCTGACGTACTTCGGTAGTGCCAAGGAGCGAAAGTTGAAGAGGCAGGGGTGGTCTAAGCCAAACAATTTTCATGTGTGTATCACGACATACAGACTCGTGATCCAGGACGCCAAGGCTTTCAAAAGGAAGAAGTGGAAGTACCTGATTCTGGATGAGGCCCATCTTATCAAAAATTGGAAGTCTCAGAGATGGCAGACTTTGCTGAATTTCAACTCTAAACGGAGAATCCTACTCACGGGAACGCCTCTACAGAATGACCTTATGGAGCTGTGGTCTCTCATGCACTTTTTAATGCCTCATGTTTTCCAATCTCATCAAGAGTTTCGAGACTGGTTCAGCAACCCCATCACTGGGATGGTGGAAGGTCAGGAACTACTGAATAAGGAGGTGGTTGACAGACTGCACAATGTGTTGAGGCCGTTTCTGCTGCGACGTTTGAAGAAGGATGTGGAGAAACAACTTCCTCAAAAGTACGAGCATGTAATCCATTGCCGGCTGTCGAAAAGACAGCGTAATCTGTACGAAGATTTCATGGCTAGCTCAGATACTCAGGCTACTCTCTCAAGTGGAAACTTTCTGGGGCTTATCAATGTCTTGATGCAGCTTAGAAAGGTTTGCAACCATCCTGATTTGTTTGAAGGTCGGCCTATCGTATCTTCATTCGACATGGTTGGTCTGGAGCTTCATCTCAGTTCACCGGTGGCCACTGCCCTGCAGTATGGGCCATTTCTTTCTGTGAATCTGAAAGAAATGAATCTTCTCGTAAGCCAACTGGATCTCGAGATGACTACTTGGGAGTGTGAGGAGGCCTCAGAGTTATGTACTCCAGGGACTCTGATTGAGGAACTATCAAGCACTGGCGAGGACAGCTGGCACACCAAGCAGGGAAAGGAGCAGTTGACTGGTGACGGCCGAGGAATCATTGAGGAAATTCAAGCTGTTATCAGAGCGGAAAGAGCGAGGCAAAAGAAGGAGAAGGCTCATGCACTGATTTGGCTCAACATGTTGCGGTGCAAGAAGAATGTGCTGTATGGATCCGATCTTAGAAAGTGTGTGTCTGTGGAAGATCCTGTCCATGATGTTCATAAAGTCAAGGCTGATCCACGCCGCTTTCTGGAATTTTCATCGGTACTTGCCGATATTGTACATTTGCCCCTGACACGTCTCCAAATGTCCATGAGTTTGGTGGAGTCGTTTGTTTTTGCTATACCGGCTGCCAGAGCTCCAACGCCGGTCCCCTGGTGCAGTCACCCACCGTCTCCCTCTGGACTCCTTTTACCGTGGATGGAAGGAAGTCTGCATGAAACGATCAGTGCCTCATTGGAGCCCTTGAGGCCTGTTTTCGTCCGAAGGCAGTTGTTTTTCCCAGATAGGAGGCTTTTGCAGTTTGACTGTGGCAAGCTGCAAGAGTTGGCGGTCCTTCTGCGACGCTTAAAATCTGAGGGTCATAGGGCACTCATATTTACTCAGATGACTAGAATGTTAGATGTTCTAGAAAGCTTCATTAATTTGTATGGTTATACATACATGCGGCTTGACGGCTCTACTAAACCTGAACAGCGGCAGATTCTTATGCAACGTTTCAACACAAATCCCAAAATCTTTCTTTTCATCTTGTCAACCAGAAGTGGAGGTGTGGGTATCAATCTGGTTGGTGCTGACACTGTCATATTCTACGACAGTGACTGGAATCCTGCGATGGATCAACAAGCTCAGGATAGATGCCATCGTATTGGCCAGACCAGGGAAGTTCACATCTATAGGTTAGTAAGTGAAAGCACCATTGAAGAGAACATACTTAAGAAGGCAAATCAGAAGCGGCTGCTTGATGATCTTGTCATACAAAGTGGTAGTTACAACACGGAATTTTTCAAGAAGCTTGATCCGATGGAGCTCTTTTCTGGAATGAAGGGCGTTAAGGTTGGAGGCGGAAGTAAAATTTCTGGTTTGATACAGACTAGTGAATCTGAAGGTGTGCCTGCCGTGAAACAGTCCGAGGTTTCAAGTGCGGATGTAGAGGCTGCTTTGAAGAACGCCGAAGACGAGGCAGATTACATGGCCATGAAGAGAGTCGAGCAAGAGGAGGCTGCTGAAAATCAGGAGTTCACAGAAGAGGGATTTGTTGGCAATATGGAGGATGAAGAACTTGTGGATGATGTTGAGGAAGGTAAACTAGCGGTTGCGAAGAATCAGTCCGAGGGAGTGCTGAAGGAGACCCTTGATAGCAAGCTGACAACTCCGGATGATGCACCTCAGATTTGCTCGACTCTAATTCCTGCTGATGCAGAAGAAGAGATGGATATGTTGGCCGATGTGAAGCAGATGGCAGCGGCAGCGGCAGCCGCAGGTCGCGGGAGCATCTCGTTTGAGGATCAGCTGCAGCCTGTCGAACGTTATGCCATGCGGTTCCTGGAGCTCTGGGATCCCCGAGTGGACAAGGCTTCTGAAGCCGCTCAAGTACTTTTTGAGGAAAAAGAATGGGAACTGGATCAGCTGGAGAAGCTGAAAGAAGAGCAAGAGGCAGAGATTGATGAAGACAACGAACCTCTTTTCTATGAGAGTACGTAATCACGAGTTCTCCTGACTGTTGGAAGAAACTTTCTGATGTGGTTTCTAGTGTCAACCACCGTAGTATCTCCTGAAAGTGAATATTCGGAGGTTTTCATTTTTAACTGGTGTTGGGTGAATACACTGAGGTTTATAGATGAGCGTCTCAGGCTGTTGATTTGAATGGTTCAGCAAGACTTTCCGTCCCCTTGATTGAATTCAAGGACGTTCACGAAGGCTATTTGTTTGAACTGGCTGTTGAACTAAAATTTGGGAACGATGGCATGTATGGCCCACTGTCAAAAGCAATATTCGGTACCAGACCTGCCCTGCTTCTGAACTAATTAATTTTTTTATCCTACTGCGTAGGTTGGGACACCACATTCGCCAACGAGGCATATCGACAGCAGGTGGAAGTCTTAGCTCAACAGCAGGTATGTTTTCTATGTAATGAATACGCAGTCGGTTTCTCTTGCTCTCTTCTTTCGATTCATCTTTTAAGCTGGGCTGCAGGGTTTCCTAATTCCTTTGACAACGGGCAAGTCTAACCTTAACTTTGGTCACTTAACATTAAACAACCACCCAATAAGATAACACCAAGCAACTTCTCAATTAAGAGCTGAAGCCTGTAAGAACAGAAGGTATAAATGAATTTGTGAGGCTCCTTAGTTTTGGAAGAAACTGAGAGAACTGGATACATTGAACTCAATATCAATAAATTTCAGTTCAACTTACTACAGATAGATGCCGCCGATGACTTAAAGAGTAAGCTGGTTTATTCTCATTGCTCCTTCTATGCTATTTAAGTGATGAGTGCTATCATTGTAATATGAAGTTCCCACTGATGTTACACGTAACGTCTTCGTGAATAGGAAAACCAGAGGCAGCTTGAGTGGGAAGCCATGGAAGAGGAAATGAGAGACGCTGACAGGTGCAGCCTCTTCTTTGCTTGCTTGATGAGCATGAATTTTTACGAGCGTAAATAGTCCTGGTTATTGTATCTTGAGTAGAGTAATTTCGTTTTGGGCTCAAGTGTTGTTTTCATGTTGAAACTTGTAGAGTAGTAGCAGAGCTCTTGCTAGAGGTCGCACAAATGTATCTACCTGAAACTTTAAATAACTGATAAAGCGTAGGAAGCGTCTAAAATACTTCGAGATCGCTGAATGATGGCTTGTCTTTTTCCTATCAGAGCGGTTGCCGAAGCTGCCTCAGCTGTAGTTGGTGCTGAACATTTCAAGGTGAAGTCAAAATCCTTGAAGAAACTGAAGAAAACCAAATTCAAATCTCTGAAGAAAGGATCCCTTACCTCCGATGACGCTGCTCTCGTCAAGAGAAACATTCACAGAGATGAGAGCTACAGCAATCCACAGTTTGAATTGTCCTCGTTGCCTTCTCGCAGTCCTTCACAGCGCAAACGCAAGGCTCCGAAATTATTGGAAGAAGAAATGTTGACAGAAATACACGTGAAGAAGTCCAAGAAGGACACTTCCAAAGACAGGTTTTCTGGAGATAAAATTATTCTTTCTAGAAGGCTTTCCGAGTTCGACCTATCAGTGGGAGGAAGTGATGATGATACTCGTGACTCTGACGTCATCTCTACACAGGCGAAGTTTCCAACCTCTAATGGCACGAAGAAGAAGTCTGGGGGAAAAATTTCAATTATGGCAGTTCCTCTTAAGAAGGGTCCTCTTATCATGTTAGAGAAAGAGCGTAAGAAGGATGCTACTCGAATGCAAGAGCATGTGCCTCCTGCAGATCCGTGGACTCCTGCTGAGGATGCTATCCTCTGTGCAGTCGTGCATGAGTACGGAGGAAACTGGCAATTGGCTAGTGATGCTTTAGCAGGGATATCTGATGGTAGCATATACAGGGGTAGGCATCGACATCCGGTGCATTGCAGGGAGAGATTTAGGCAGCTGCTTGCTCAAAATGCTACCGCTGCCGGAGATCCAAGTAGTGATAAGAATGCGCTCAGTGTTCCTCCAAGTGCCCACATGAAAGTAACAGAGGTATGTCACAAAGTTCTGCAGGTCACGGTCTAGCCTCTAATAGTGGAAGAATTGTATTAGCTCTTTAGAGAAGGTTTCTTGATTTCGGAAGTAGCCTCATTTGTCTTATTGTGAATGGTATGTTGCGGTGGTTGTCACATTTGTCGAGCTGTAGACTTGTAGCTCTTCTTTGCAGCTTACCGCTGGGAAGATTACACTGCTGTTGACGTCCGTTTTTACTCTCGGCTCCTTCAGGAACATACAAAGCGATTGCTGGACGTTGTTCTTCAACTACCAGACAATGAGCCTCTTCTTCAGCGCCACTTCGCAGCTATTTTAGCCGCTGTGCAGAATAATTGGACCCGTGATCAGGCTCGATCAGATCAGATGAGTCTAGGGAGAAGTAAAGGTGTACAAATCCGTGAGGGCGGGGACTTCATTCCTGTTCCATGTTTCAGTCACCCAGAGTCATCATCCTATGTGATTTCTGCCAAGCGAGCCTTCTGCAGTGCGGAACCTTTAGTCCGTGAAGCCCTGGCATCTGTTGGTCTTGACGAAGAGACAACGGAGGGATCTAAGGACGTGGTAGCCTCAAGAAGCGAAATGCAGGACGAGCAAGTGCCAGTGGAAATCCAGTCCGATGATGGGGAGGAGAATATCATGGACTACTTGGATTCCGATGCGACTTCCTCCCTCACCACATCTGATCAGGGCTTGGATATGCAATTATCGCAATATCCAAGTTTGATACTTTCTGAAGAACTTTTTGGGTTTACAACAACTGCAACTCCCATTAGAGTCCCCGCGAACGTCCTACGAGATGTTGCTGAGAGTACCGCAGAGCAGCGCTTCAGGTATTACAAAAGTTCTCTTGATAACTTGTGCTTCGTCCGTTTTACTCTGTATTCGTGGGAGAAGGATGAAGGTATCTTGGGGTACATGACTTCCGGAGGGAAAGTGGTGTTACATGGTGCTACTAAAGTTTATGATGCTCCAAAGCCGAGCAACCAATCGGTGTCTGCCTGGCTGTTTTGTAATATCTGGAGGTTTGCATGGCCAGTACACTTTGATGCAACTGGCACAAAATTGTAGCACTCTGCGTTATGCCTACTTACACTTTTAACCCTTTGTTCTTCCGATCCTGATGTACTGCTTCTGAACTAGCGTACTACACGGAGTGTGGGAGCAATAATTGTTATGCCATCATTTGCCAGTTATTTTATGTGATTTACTCCGTCAACCTCGCGGTCTATGGGAAACAATCGAATGCATTTTCTAGAGTGTGACACATATCGTTGACTGCTTTCACTTTAACATCCAAGGATAATTGCTAGCACATCCCAGTAGGTGACCTACATATATCACTTTTTAGATGTGGAGCTTGTTTTGTAAATTTCGTACTTGGAAAATTATGTGTTTGACATGGGTTTAACACAAGCGAAATGACGTCCTTGTTGCAAAGTTGAATTATTCGGCTTTGTAGTTCCTCGATTTTCTTAGTCTGGAATAACTGAAGTTAAAGATGTTTCTCGTGCAAGTCAGTTCTGAAAGCAACATTGGATATTTTCCTAAGCTATCACTGAAAAATCATAACTGTCTCGTCTTGGAGGAGACGAGTTATTGGCAACCGTCGGTTGCTCAATCAAATCGTCGAATTGACATCTGGAGTTCCTGATGAATAATATGTTAAAACTGTTATTAACGTAGTGTGCTGACAATCACAGGTCGGCCACGAACTCTGGTTGGGGGCCAGGAGTGTACGAATGGGCGGGAGCTGCTCTTTCTGGTCTTGGTTGTGTGAGCATGCCTTCTAAAGCAAAGTCGAAGAAGCGCCCTGCCCAAGCAGATGCCGGCAAATCCTCCAAGCCGAAGCAGCCACGGATTCCAAAGGTCAGTAAGAAGGTGCCGGCTGACAACAGTGTGCCACTTCCGGCAGAAGATCCTGGTGCAATCAAGGGTTCTCCGGCCCTTGTTGGTGGTGCTCAAAACTCTGGGAGTTTGCCTCCTCAGCCGAGCCTGAATGAAGATGTACCGGCTGATAAGGAAGCTAATTCTGGGGAATCGATGCAAATTCGCCCAACCGGACAGAATGATCCAGGAGACAAGGTTCCGGAGAAGAAAACCCCTGTCAAGGGGATCACATCTGGGGGAGTTTCATCCAAGAAGGAACGAAAGAGAGCAGGTTCTGTGACTGCCAATTCAGTTGGTGTAGTTTCTCCTATAGGTATGTCGAAGGGAAAAGCTGTCAAATTGAAGATTGCTGATTCCGTTTTTGGCGCTGCAGTGAAGAAGCCTACAGGGGGTCCATCGACCATCGACGTCGTGGATGATACTGACGTGGTCCGTGTCGTCCCGAGAAGCTTTCGCGAGGTTAGTCCACTTGCTGACGTTGAAACTTTATCTCCTGATATTGGTTCTGCATTCGACGATCTGAGTGAGTCAGGAAGTGACGATGAAGTTGTCATTACTGGAGTTTCTCTTCCACCTGCTGGCCGATCGGACCTGGGCTCGCAGGTTCCTTCCTCAGTCAAGAAGCCGAAACCTCAAGCCAAGAATGATCGAGGCCCTTTGACTTACATGCCAGTAGAGCGGTTGCAGTCTGACAAGTCAGGTAATTCTAGGATCAAAGACGGTGGGTCGCTAGGACCCAAAGGCACAAAACAGAAATTATGGCCTGAGAACTCAAACTTCTCCCGGTTTCCTCAAAATATTCAGTTGGAAGTTCCTGTATCTGTCTCTGGCTGGGTTCCTAAAGCTAGTGGAGATACATTAGGAATATCGCAAAGTTCTAGGGCAGAAGTTTTACCTGTAGCTGTAATACCAGTCATTGCGAACAAGATCTCCAGCAGTCCACAAAGGAGCAAAAAGGGCGCCGGACGTCCTTCCGTTGCTTCGACATCAGGCATAGAGCATGTATCTCCAGCCAGCTCTCGCCCTGTTCAAGAGTCACCACCATTTGTTCCGTGGGCGCCCCCTGTCGGCATTTGGCCCACGTCAGCTTCTCCGTTCCAGAGTATAAGCACGCCTCCCGATCCCAGAAGTAGAAATTCGTCAGATCTATTGAAAAGGTCACCCGTTAACATGCCCAATGTGCCATCCCTTGGTCATCTCAAAGTACCACCCTTTGGTCATCTCAGACGTAATCTTTATGAAGCCAGCACAGTTGGTCATGGTGCTGGACAGAGCTCGTCTAAAGCCAGCCTTCCTTTTACAAGTTCCAATCTTCCTGCAGCACCTGACAATTATGTGATTGTGAAAGCTGCAAGTAGCAATTTTCTTCAACATGAGTCTGAAGAGGATCCTTTGAATACTATCCCATCATTGCGAGTAAAACTAGGTCAGGTACCAGCCCCTTATTCTGTCGGTTCTATCCAAGACAGGTCTTCTAATCTGGATTCTTTGGAAGACAGTCAGTTTAGGTCACCCTTGACTTGCGCTAGCTCTGGCTTTGTTCAACCCCGACAGTCCCCCTCCAAAAGACCGTCGTTGTTCAATTCATCTCCCCGCTTCAGTCACACTGAATTAGAGGCTTCCTATCTGAACTCGCCACAGTCTGTAGCTAGTCAACGGGAGTCGAGTAGTGGTCCAGATTTGTGCCTGTCATTGGGTCGCTCAGCCACAGTTAGAAAGTCTCCAGGAAGCTCCAACCATGAGTCTGCACCACCAAACTCTTGACTATGCCCTTCCCTCGATGGATACTGGTTTGGGTGTTGTGTTGGACCCTCCTATCAATTTTGGCTTTTCCTTGTGCGAAAGAGTGCATTCCAAGCCTGTAAAATGTCTATTATTCATTTTTCTCAAAGAGCTGAAACCTCGAAATTATGCCATTCAATCTTGTCAACAACCGTAATCTTTTGGTGGATCTCTGGATTTTGCCAGTGATTGTTTGGCTGTGACTTGACAATCTCACTCATCTCACATGGATAAGACTAATTCTACCTTGTGGGTTTACTTCTGCTGACAAGCATGATCTTCCAGGATGCGCAGTGTATTTTTTTACAAACATGGCGCATGCAATGAACGATGAATACCTGAGTGGAAATGATGCTTGTGCTGAAGACTTTTGGTAGTCTTGGCACATTGTGGAATCTGCTTGCGAGTCTATTATGCCAATGGACCCACTGGGCGTTGTAAAGGCCTTTTCTTGTATTTGTTGAATTCCCTTTGTTCCCTATTTTCGCCCTCAGTACTGAAACTAGCTTATCTCGAAGTTATGACCTGAGAGTTGTAACGAAGACAAGAAAAGGTTATGTGGAACGTTCGCATGTTATCATTTTGTGTTTTGTGAAGGCTAACACACCCACATATACGAAACATGTTGAGGAGAGGTAGTTGACCTACGTCGAACAAGGTCACTAATAACGTTTGATCAAAGGTCTTTGGATGAAGTATGCAGAGGATAGTCAGTGCTCATTACCCTGTTCTCTAGGACGGGAGAGGTGTCCAAAAAATTATCCTCACTCACAGGAGCACGGTTGCACTGTCGAGTAAAAACCGGCCAAAAGCCGGCCTCATGAAAACATCTCAGTGGTAGGCTAGACGCAATACACCTCGTTAATAAGTACTGAAGGGCCACAATACGCTTGACAAGTAGGCTCTAGCGATGTACACGAAGAAATGCCTTGGGTGTCAAGAATTTGGAAAAGAAAATAAGTTCGTTCGTTACCTACAGATCTGCCAACTACTTCAAAGGTACAGCCAAGTACAGAATAATGTAGCGCCTTGGATGAGAAAAGTTGAATGAAGTTCCTTGACCGGACTTGAAGTAACTATACTTAATATCTAATGACTATTCTCTTCTGATGAAGTTTCGCGAAAATACGTGATTTGTTCTACTGTCAGGATGTAATACTCACACTGTGTTTATGGGCTGCCAATTCTAGCCATTGCATTGAATGCAACTACACACTGGCGAAAAACCTATGTGGTCCTCCAATGACGCTGCGAGCTAAAATCTCGGCATGTTAGAGCAAGAAATCATTTGAGGAGGCGTACCCTGCTCCACATGAAAACAGTCTACTTCCAAAGATTACAAATTCCTGAGCTTTATGGAAAACTTACATCATTCGTCCAATGGGATACCCATACATATGTGTATATGGGTTCTATATAGAAGTGTTGGATATATTTAATACACTTTGTCGCCTACTGTACTTGTGGTGTCTGCCTTTGCTCCTAGACAGTTTTGAGACAATCGTCGAAACTTTCTGTCCCTGATGACCAGTGATGGCAAACTGAGCCATGGGTCCAATTGAAGGCCAAGAAGAAAATTGCGGTTATTCAATTAAACCCGCAGTTATTGAAATTTATGGCGGATTTCACGAACAGCGATCCCGACCAAATAAGATTCCTACGAGTTTGGATAAATGGCCGTGATTAATCGGATTAATCACGGCCAGAAATGCTTCAATTTAACAGGGCCGTAGGCTAGACGCTTGCTTATTATAGCATGCATTGGTACAAAGAAAATTTTTTTAAAAATCCTGATGAGATGAAAAATTTTAGATCGATCTAGGGTCATTTGTAATGGCGCTTTGTTATTTCTAAGGCTCTGATGACTGTTTAGTGACCCAACACGATACTCTAATTGAGCAAGAATACCTCGCGAGGAACTATTCCTTGTTCTTCCATCATCTTGAAGAAATTGTGGATGTGGAAAGTATTTCTGAAACTGCAGGGCATCGAATATTAGTCCTATCACAGTCCAACCCGCGGACGTCGCGCACAGTCAATGAACGGCGAATCTAATAGGGTCCGACGGCGAATCTAATCTACTTGTGTCCCAAACTCCACTAGCAAACTAGCAAATCATGTCAATAATTGACTTGAAGAAGTTAATATACATGCGATCTATGTTACAGATATTGAGTTATGATTTAGTTGTATCTTCCCATGTGAAAGTGGCACAGATATTCTATGAGATAACATAACATCTAAAAATTAACAAGAGTCCTTTATACGAACTTGCTGTTCTTTTTTTTATATTGTGCCAGGTGGGTCCCACCTCCTTCCCATTACTTTCAGGTCACTTCAAGAGTTTGACGTTTGGTCAGCATCAGCAGTATTAAGAATGAACAGCGGCGCTGTGCTGAGTGAGACAATCTATATTTGAATTCGGAAAATGGAGATTAAAGTTGTTAGTCCTTTGAGCTAATCAAAGAAATTGGTTAAAATATCTTGTGATGGACCAGTTTAGAGAATTCGCATCTACACCTTGATTGAAGGCATTAGCCTTCCTACCTGGGACTGCTAACTCTATTCACTTCGAAGTCAAACAATAGCTTTAGGAGCTTAGGTTTCTTTGAGAGTGAAGCCCCAAATGGGGGTCATCCCTCATGCACAGGAAAAGAAATCCCCTCCATGATGTGGAGTGCTACATCGCCTTTCAAATATGGACAGCAATTGTCTAAAATGACCTCATGGAGATGGCGGCGCCCAAACTATTCGTAGGATTCCTCAGCTTCAATTCAAGTTCAAAGCAGTCCCAAGTTTGCGCTCTATTTGGTTCATGGAGACTTTTCAATCTGAAGCTCTGTCATCCGATTTGAGTGGCAGCACAAATGAGATGGACCTTTTTAGACCAACAACTGCTTATAATTCCCAAGTTGAGTAACCAATTGAAATCTTCGCTTCGCCTGTGGCGTACTATATGTATATACATATGTTACTGTATATTTCATCCTTTACAATTTCTACTTGGAAAATAGGTGATCTTTGCCTTACGTTTTATCATTTTTACCAGTTTTTTTTTTTTAAACTTTCTATTTGAATTGGTTCATTATAAGCTTAGTCAATTTCGTTTTTCAGCAACTTTTCTTCTGAGTGAGATTCCAGTAGCAATGATCACTGCTTATAATTCCCAAGTTGAGTAACCAATCAAAATCTTCGCTTCGCTTGTGGCGTACTATCTATATACATATGTTACTGTATCTATTATTCTTTCTCAATTTCTACTTGGAATGTTTTCAGCGATTTTCACCTGAGTGAGATTCCAGTAGCATTGGTCACTCTATTGCCCCGAACTCTTCTATATAAGCAGATCAGTGTGTTGAGTTTAGACCATGGCCCACCGAGATAAAGCGGAGGACTGCAGTGGAGGTAAACTGGTACACAGTTAAAGGGAAACCTTAGAATAAAATTTAGACGCAAAACTTTGAAGAATTGCGCAATTGAAGCCTAAACCCTAAAGTTGGACATCCGCCTGAGCAGACATGTTCTACTGATTTAAGCTAAAATTCGCGAAACTGCATTCCAAGTAGAGCGCTAAGAAGTAACATTTGTGTTTACAAGTTGTGGATGACTCTTTGGCTACTAAGTAGAAGAAATACAATGGGTTCTGATGAAATATGGTGAAGGTCATGGTTTCTTGTTATAACATTCAAGAATGCATGCACATACTCTTGTATTTACCATTTATTCACTCTCTATGCTATTTAATGATTGAATTTCACGTCAGAAGATATCAATTGATCACATGCCCATTTGATTGCAGGGCCGCATCAGATACACGTTGAAGAATAGACGGAGGTTCATAACCGAGATTCTGAAACGTGACCAGTCTGGTCAGAATTTGAGAAACATCAATGAGATAATCCGAGAAGACATTTTGATAGACAGCATTTATGAGGAGCGGCGGCGATCTCAAAAATCATCACCGCATCTTTGGATTAGATGGTGACTCCCTGAGCTTGTGGAGGTTTCGTTTAGAGGGAGACTTGTAGCGTTCAGTGAGTCCTAGGCTAATGATGTTTGACGTTAGTCATGTGTCATTACAGTAGTTAAAACATACTTTCCTTGAAGGAAGAATGTTCCTATTACTTTCCAATAATAGTTCGTAGACTTTGTTTCCGGTTTTCTATTTCGGTTCTGGACTGGGGTTCATTGAGACATACTTGACTTTCATTCGTCATATGCATGGCGATCCTCTGACCAGGGAAGATTTTATGCTCTCATTTTGTTTGTGAGGTTTATGACTTATACCCAAACTTATGCATTATTTTATTTTCGACTAAATATATGTATTTGTTTAAGTTTTACGTTTTTTCGTTCCATTATAATTCAGTATATTTAAATTTGCAACTTGTGAATTTGCATATGAAAAGTTTTTTTCTTTCGTATGTTTTTGTTAATGTATCATGATTCAGTAGTTCATATCGATTTCACTACCTTTGAGAATTTACATTGATGAATATTAGAAATATAAAATACCTCAAATTTTGTGAGTCGAATGGTAATTTTTTAAACAAGATCCTTAGTAATCACTTGTCCAAGCAATATGAATATGAGCAAGAGAGCAGGAACTGGCTTCGGAACAAGAACATATATGCACAGAAACTCGACGTTCACTGGCCCAGGTATCCAATGTGGGTCAAAAACTCCAGAAACTTAAGGAGGAGACTAACAAGTATCAACAACAGCGACAAGAACCTGAATAATGCAAGAAATTCTTGAGAAACTTTTCGATCCAGGAGGTTTTGGTAGAATTCCATCTCCTAAATATATGCCCTAAATCCGAGGTTCAAAACTTATCATGCACCCAGAGCAGCACAATAGGAATTTCCCCAATTTATATAGGAATAGTGGCTGAGACCGTATTGACTTCCAACCATAAATGTCTTGCAGTTCGGGCTTTATAAGATAAAGTTGCGGCCCAAAAAGCCCTCATACATAAACTAGCTGTACAACTTGCAGCTTTGAGAAAGAAACGAAGGTTCTCAAACCTCCACCCGCTGAAATCATGACAACTGAAGGCCGTCATGAGACCCGAAAACAGACACAGATCCTCCACAATTGTACAGAGAAACTGAGTGCAAAAATTCTCGAGCTTGAAAAGGAACTGCGTGAAGTCAAGAAAGAGAGCGATGACATGCTCTCGAATACACTCATGACCTCACGTGCATTTCAGGTGTAATTCAGATGCAATCTCCAAGAATTGGAAAAACTGGGAGTCCAAGAAAGGACCGAGCAGCCACGAGTACGATAGTTTGAAACTAGCGATCGATAAACAAGCAATCACTGTGGCGGGATGATTCGCTCTGGCATGCTCGAGCAGTGTGATCGATAAACAAGCAATCACAAATCATTTTAAGTGTAGAGCGGCAATTGTAACGTGCCGTGATGCAACGGACGCAGTAAATGAAAATGGCATGGTCAGTGGAGGATCGCTCAATGATAACACTGAAATGCCTTCATCCGCAGAGAGTCTGCGGATGAGGTCCACTTACTAAGAAAATCTGAATTCAACGTTGAACATCCACACGACTTAGAGAGTGGATATAAGACATTCCAGGAACAGACTCCAGAGACCGATGTGGTTTGTCCAGCTATCCATGTTGTGCAGATAGAGTCTGGTCTTTGTGTCTCAGCTGAGAGATCCGCACGTTCAATGGGGGAAGGAGCGATGGCCTTTGGATCTGATATTGGACGTAACTCAGAAGGCCTGAGCCAGAAAGGTGTGAATACAGATCCCACATCAAACCTGGTGGAAGATATAATAGCACAAAGTCTCTCGAATGAATGTCGAGGTTCCGGCCTTGGATGTAGATTGATCCGAGGGAGCTGCAGATCAACCCGAGAAAGACGTGAATGTTGTTACAGATGGAATTCTTGACGTAGAGATGGTGTCTTCAGCGCCATCTATTGACATTGTGCACTCTGCCGTAAATGGTTCAAGCGAAAGCAGCGAACGAGGTTCAAATGAGGACCTTGTCCCTAGATCGATGGAAGCGGTGAAAGACACTGGTTCTGAAGGAGCATGTGAAATGGAGCATGCCAGAGCGAATCATCCCGCCACAGTTCCAGATTCAGTCCAGGAAATCGGTGAACCACTAGATGCCCCTTCTCAGGAACATGTAAATTTGCAGGTTTCTGGTTTGAAAGCTGTACAGAAAGCGGAGACCATCCAAACTCCCACATCAGTGTCACCAGTACTCTAACCCGGAACGTAGAGGCAACTGTGGTTTCGTCCGATCTATCTGTTGACAAGATGGGTTCTGATTTTGGTGATAGAGGTCCACCTGTTTTGATGGAGAAGCTTTCCCCTGCATTTTTAGAGGAGGTGAAGGGCACTGAATCTGGCATGGAAGTTGATAATGGAAAGCCAGTGAGACTGACGTTGTCACGATCTGCAGTCCAAATCCCTGAATGAGTGATATGATATCACTCATTCGGGGATGGTTCACTTTTCATGGTTCACTATTAATACACTTCCTGAGATGGGATATCACTGATATCCCATCTCAGGAAGTGTATTTTGCTCATCAAGATTGAACGAGTAAGTGGCGTGATCCTAATTCAACCTGCTGATACATCTCATTGGACCTTGTTAAGGTAAACCAAAAGTGGCTGTTATTGAGGGTAAGTAGAGAGATCTGAAACCGAAAAAGTCCTGCATGGGTTTTGGAACGGCTTCAGCTTCTCCCTCCTTGTATTACTCTGCTTATCCAAAATGACCAGCCAGGTCGACATTTTTCGGAAACTCTGCAATCTCTAGGCACGTTTAGCTGATATTGATACTCAGGATTCTGTGAAGGTGATTGGATTGCAGTCTGATCCAAGTTGGAAAATGAGGACATCAACAGACATCAGCACTGTAGAAGGAGCTGCTCAAGTACAGCGTGAAGCCCAGGTCTGTACAAAAGCTATAGACTCGGAGCTTCTTGTTAGAAGTATGGTCACCAAGGCTGACATGAATGTCGAGGTAGCCTGTAAGCAGTTAGCTGGTTGTTGCTTATCAAACCAAGCATCACTGACTTGCTAAGTGCAGACAACCCAGATTCTGATAGGATAGTGAGTTCTCCATCTGATCTCAGAATGAACCTGGCGATATCAACGATGAGATATCTCTCGATGACCATCCAAGAGATCAGGTCTTCGCCCGAATCAGTCGCGATATGAAGGACATTGGGGAAGGTCGACGTTTTGACCTTGAAGAGTCTGAAAGATGTCAAGATTCCATGTCCGTTGAAAAGGCACCTTATCCTAGTATTTCATATGGAAAGGTAGAAAACAAACCAGAAGGGTACAAGGGTGTACAATCTGGGTCTCCCCTTCATGATTCTTCTGGTAGTTTCTTTAGATTGGTCTTGACCAATCTGTAGATACTTCTGCACTGCCAGAAGCTATATCAAGCTTGCCATAGTAGGGCAGTCAAAGTGATCGTGAGACTAGTCATAGTCCTCAACCATCATTCTCTTCAAAATTGATCGGTGAATCAGGCAAGAAAGAACCGTCCTATGATCAGAAGATGGAGTTGCCCATCATCATCGAACATCCCACAAAAGTCTCGACCATGGTGATCAGCGTCCGAGGTTATGAGATTAAGCTTTGTGTATGTCGTGGTAACGGAAGTGAAAGGACTCTTTTTGTCTTCAAAGTCAAATACAGAGAAGGTGATCATTTCGAACACCAACTTTTGACAGTTGTGGAGGCTGCGTTTATGAACAATTACTATGAACTTGGGAAGATGAAGGTGAGCATTCTCGCTGTTAAAAATAAGCTTTGGATTTGCGACAAATTGAACTTATTTACATGAACATCATTCGAATACTCTCTCTTTGTAGTCTTTGGAGGTATCACATCAAAGTTTCTGACTTGGTATTCAAATCAGATTCTAGTATATTTATTCGTGTGGTATTGCGGTTGTGCAGCTGTACAATGAGGAATCAGGGCTGAGATTTACACCAGATGGACTACAACTTATTCTTCTAGATTGTTTCAAGTTACGTGACTCCAGATATGCTCTATATAGCTATCTTCTAGTAGATGTTTGAAGAGAATTTTCCAGTTTCAGATCATTCTTGTGTCTCGAAACAAGGAATATTTTACTTGAAATCTCAACACATGAGAAACAGTTTTGGATATCAATGCTGCCAGCAAGCATTTTCTGATGCCTTAGTATAGAGCAACACTTCAGGTTTTGCATAGTGAACTCTTTCCATTTTAATGCATAACGGTGTATTATGAGTTGATATGTGACTAGTTCCTTTCTTCTATGCAACCTACTGAATTTTGCGTGCCCTTCTAAATTTTAAGCCGTACCGGAGGGAGCGTCATTGGCCGATTGTCAGTTTCCTGCAGTTTGCCTCTGACATGTCTCCCAATGTCAATGAGTTTGGTGGAGTCGTTTGTTTTTGCTATACAGGCTGCCAGAGCTCCAACGCCGGTCCACTGGTGCAGTCAACGCCGTCTTCCTCTGGACTCCTTTTACCGTGGATTTTCACCCTACTCATGACACATCTTTGCAATTTAAAAAATGAAGAGAGTTTAGTAATTATCGATCAGTTTGCAACACTCATGGTGCCCAAAAACAACAAACACTAAGATTCTCATAATACGAAACTGCACTTGTGCAAATCATTGGCAGCCTAAAGTCTTCCACTGTCGGCTGCATCTACAGGCATTTTGGCACAGGAAGCTTTGTCAAAAAAATGAAATATTGTTTTTTTCTTTGTAAATCAAGATCAAAAGGCATGGATGGCAATCGCAAACCTGCTACCATATTATCACTCTCAGCTAACAAAGTTTAGGGACATAAACTATAAAGATGGAGGAAATCTTGGAGGGACGTCAACAAAGACTACATAGAGCAAAATTCACGCAATGCACGTTCACAAACTTGCTTTAGCGCTTTCGATTCCAGAGGTACAGAAACTGTACAGACAGTGAAGTGAAATGAAGTCTAAGATAGTGTGGGTGTTGCATATATATGTCAAGGAAGCAATGTGCCGTTTACTTGTAAAGTTCTGTAAGAACTTTACAAGTAAAAATAAAAGAAACAAGGTAAAAGAACAGTTATGCGTTTTTTCTGCTGTAAACCTTCGCACCTCTTTCTGATCCAAACTTAGCTTAACACTGTCACAACAATGAATACATCGGGAAAAAAGTGCCCTGCAATAATTTAGAAAGCGCACGGTTTTGCAAGGGTCAATACGACATGTTGATTCCAGAAAGAAGTTTTCATGATTTGTAGATGCAGTTTTTTTTAACCCTGTATGTTACCTCAAGAAATCTCCCCACACACAATTATAATTCGGTGTAGGTTGTAAACCAATTACACTTTTCCATTATCCGTGTATGAATAAAGGAATGACAGGAAATGATTAGGTTTTGTTTGAGATGTACCGGAACACTGGAACGAACTTTTCTGCGGATGGATGCAATATTCCAAGAACCTATCCCCTCAGAGCATGTAAGCCTTCCACGTGGAAGGAACGAAACCCAGTACAATAACAGGAACTGTCCCCCAACGCAGTCCAGACAACACTGCGGTTGCCGTTATGATGTCACCAACGGAGCACGTGTCAAGAAGAGAGGACGTTATCGGCATCATCGGTTTCTGAACGACAGTGCTCGGAACGGAACGTTCCACAAACGTCCCGAAGACGAACTCGCTTCGTCCGTCCGGCGTTCCAGTCTTCAACTGATCTTCCGGCAAATATAATATAATATCGGCCGACATTCTTCATCTTCAAGTTCTCATGATTTTCTCGTTCTCGGCATATGAAACCCGGCGAAAATCGGGAGAACACAGCCCGGCCGGGAAACCTTGCCCCGGCTCATGTGTCACGAGTTTGCACCACAGCATGCTCCACTGCATGCTCATGAATCACGCACGACTCCAACTTTTTTCTGATTGCAGCACATCACTCGTTGCAGTTATGGAGGTTTTGCACCTCTAAAATCGAGCGTTGCAGTCATTCAAAACACGTCAACGCAATGACCGACCGGGATATTTATCTCAAACAGAAGAAATACTATTTTCACTAACAACAGATACTACCTCTCTTCGTCTACTTGCCCTCGAAACTTCGAAAGTTGTTGGTATGACACGTCTCCTCTGAGTGACAAACACTCTCTTAGGTTGAAACCTGGACAGGAACTCAATGGACTGATTGGCCGTGCCGGATCTCAAAGAGTTCTACTCGTAACAACTTTGGTGCTATATAAACTCTTTCTCAGTTTGTCCTCACGTCTTCAGACTGAAAAGTAATTTCTCAAATCCGACTCCGGTGGGAACCTCTCTGGCCTCCCATATCTGATAGTAATCATTAGAAACATAAAATATATCCTCACTCACATATCTGTATATAATAATCAACCTACGACTCAACAGAACGAAATTCAAATACTTTAAAAACCTTTGAGCTAGAGGAAAATTACTCAGAAGGAATGTCGACAACCACTCCTAGCCTACTTTCCCGAACAATTCGCTTTGAAATGCATTTAGAAAGGGGACTGCATTGGAGTGGGGAGTTGGACTCAGCCATATTTTATATGCTGAATCATACATCTCATTGCTATGGGTTCTGTTCATTTGTTTGTTTTCCTCGTTCAGGTATTCTGAATGTTTCCTCGCTATCCACTTTCATAGGTGGAAATGAAACCGTGTAGTTTATCCCGGAACTAGCACTTTCCTTCCATATTCCTTTGATGGAGAGAATCGACTCTCATGATTCCGGCAGATCAACAGACAAACGCACACATGAAGGACAAGAGCAGCTCATGGAGCTGCATTGAATCTGAAGTCTGTCCGTCTTCTGTCTGTCCAGTCCACGGGTCCATCTCCATCTCCGCTCATCATCTGTGGTTGCTCGCTCGGCGGGATCGAATCTCAGGAGTAGTACGTGTCCTCCCCTTCCCCTTCCCCTCGGCCCTCCAGCTGCACAATGTGCCACAGCCTCAATCGAGGGGCAGTTTGTGTATTCGCCCTGAGATTCCTTCGTGCCTCCTGCACAGAACGACCTCTCCGCCTCCTCATCCGCTCGCCCGCTCACCCACAAGTTTGTTAGTTGAGCTTTGAATCCTCGTGGACTTGTGAATTCTCGTGGACTCGATTCGACGGTTCGTCGATCTTGCATTTCTGCCTTCCGAGGTGAGCTTCTTTCGGAATCTGTTGGAATTTGCTGAATTGTCAAGTCATCAGAGTAGATTGGGCTGATATTATAAAAGATTGAGATTCCTGTCCTCGTAGTGGGCTGATTTACATTCTAGAATCATCAACACTCGTCGATCGGAGGGGCTGAAAAGTGCTCGCCTTGCCGGCGAGCTCTGGGACACTGGGCTCATTGTTTGACAATTTAGTCGCGGGATTGAGAACGATGGATGGCTGCACTTGCGGCTCTCGTGCGCTCTCTTCTTGCGTGTTGACGAACTCTTTGGTCTGGAGAGTGAATTCGAGTCCCGAAGATGGGAATGTGTCTTTTTGGTGAATGAGTTGTGCTCCATCCCGTTGATCTGGATTGCCTCTCCTTGCGGCAGATCCACCTTTCGTTTTCTTGGCGTTGCTTTCTGTCGATGCACAGGTAAAAATTGTGACAACATCGATTTTTTCAAAATTGATAATCAGATTCAGCTCTCCATCATTAAGGCGCTGTCATGATTTCTCCGATTCGCTTCAGTTTAAGCTCGTGTGGGGTCTCCTCCATCTCTCGTCCTGTGTTCCGTCGAGTTGTGTATTCAATGCACAGCCGGAGTACGTGATTTTGCTTCACATGACGTCGTCCATTGTTTTTTTATTCGTCATATATCATTGGACTGGATGGTATTGGACCGCATGAAAATCCTCTGCGCTCGTTGGTTGCTTAGACCCCAGGGGAGCAGTGAATTTCGACATAGCTGTCAGTTCCTCCGCAGTCGATGGATTGTCCGACTACTACTGCTTCCCTCGTTGAAGAAACGGCTTTTCTTGCCGCCTGGAAGAGAGTGTGAATGCATGGAGGTGTCAGCTGGCCGGAGTAGAATGCTCAGTCCCAGACCAGGGCAGACGAAATTGCGGAGCTGGGCAAGCAGCTGCCTCACAGGGCTCGTGCTAGCCTCATCGGAAGCTTCCGTTTATTCCTTTCATGGCCAGTCTGTTAGAGAGGAACGGCCAGGTTTGGGTCATTGTCTGTCAGACTGGTTGCTCGAAGATGGCAAGCACGCATTATCTCATCTCGTCTCGTGTTGCTCCTTCAGGAATTATCGAAGGTCAAGGCGTCATGGCGTCTAATGGGAGTGCTTCCTCTCACATTACCTTAAACAATGGGCGTCAAATGCCAGTAGTCGGCTTGGGGACCTGGCAAGCTGCGCCTGGTGTCGTTGGAGCTGCTGTGGACGCTGCAGTCAGGGTGAGTCGGCTGCCATGTTCACGTTCTCGCGCATATTGTGACGCTGAATTTGTGATGTGATTGCACATCTCATCCAACTAATGCTCAGTTCACGTCGTTTCCATACAGAAAGTTTTCCTTCATACAGAAATTCTTTTCATGTTCTGGTCTGCATGATTTGCCGAGGACACTCGCAGTTTGTTCCACGTTTCTCGAGTTTCTTTCGAACGAATCTGTTCATGCTTTGTATTGTTTAAAAGTTTGCAGTTTTTTCTGCCCCAGATGAGCAGAAACAAGTGTGGTATAATTTCAGATTTAGATTTCCATGGCTGGTCATGATCCTCATCAATAACTTCAACGGATTTTATCACTTGTGAAATGCGAGTACAATTCTTTTGTGACCACCTCGTAGCCAACGATTCACCAACCGTGCTTTACGATTAACGTGCAGGGTGGATATCGCCACATCGATTGCGCTTACGCTTACTTCAACGAGAAGGAGGTATGAGCTGAACCGTTTATCAGTTCATGAACTACACTCATATCATTGTTGACCCCGCGTAGCTCTTCTCTTCTCGTCTCACCTCCTCACGACGAAAAAGGGAAGATGAATGTCAGCTCAAAGCTCGATCACATGTATTGTCTCGGCAGGTCGGTGACGCTTTACAGAAGCTGTTCAAAGAAGGCGTTGTGAAGAGAGAAGATTTGTGGATCACCTCTAAGCTCTGGTTTGTTCTACGAGCCCTTCACTTCAGCTTAAGAGAGAATTGTGGACATGAGCTTTTCTTAACCTCTCAGCTTGTTCCTTGCTGTCTGACGGCCAAGGGATTAACTAGTGGATTACTACACTTCGTACAGGAATGATCATCATGGACCCGAGGAGCCCTTTAAATGTCTGGAGACGACACTCACTAACTTGCAGTTGGAGTATCTGGATCTTTACTTGGTCTGTATATCGACCGATATTCATGACGAGCAATTTGAGTTTGGCTTTCAATGTACACTTACTCTCTGATGCCTTTTCTCTAAGTTCACCCCCCCAGTTCAGATGACTGCTTTTCGATGGATCGTACTGACGTCGATGGTGCATTTTTTCCTCATCTCCAGATTCATTGGCCAGTGCCTTTGAACAAAGGCTACACCTGGCCATTACAGCCACATATGTTTGATACGACTAGATCCATCAAAGAAGACACTAAAGAAACGTGGCAAGCAATGGAAAAGATTGCGGAATCTGGTAAGGCACGATCGATTGGCGTCAGCAACTTCTCCGCCAAGAAGTTGGAGGATATGATGGAGTACGCAAAGGTGGTCCCTGCAGTGAACCAGGTCGAATGCCATCCGATGTGGCGCCAGGACAAGCTCCGAGCTTACATGAAAACCCACAACATTCACCTCTCTGTATGGACTCTCGTGCTAGCTCATCTGTAACCCTTGCATTTGGTGGTTCTATCTCTCTCAGCAATCGTGTTCGCGTCATCTCTCTGAGCTCATGCTAATGTTGCTAACATGCCCATCATGCGTTTTGATGGCAGGCCTATTCACCCCTCGGTACGTGGGGAACATCAGGAGTGAAGATAAATCTTCTAGATCATCCACTTCTGACAAAGATTGGTGAGAAGTACGGTAGAACTCCTGCACAAGTGTCACTCCGGTGGGGAGTTCAGATGGGAAACAGCGTTTTGCCTAAGAGTACCAAAGCCGAGCGCGTGAAAGAAAACCTCCAGGTTTCTGACTTCTCTCTGTCAGATGAAGATATGTCGGAGCTGGAGAAGTTAGAGCAGGTAAGTGGATGGCACAACACACTTGTATTTGTAAGTTCTTAACTTTTGTTCTCGTAGTCCTTCTTGTAGCTGGGCTGTTGCTGATTGAAATTCCGCAATGGATGCAGACGAGGTTCCTGCAAGGCACGTTTTGGGTAAACGATTCAGGAAGCTTTTACAAGAAAGCTGAGGACCTTTGGGATGGTGAGGGTATATGATCCAATCAAAAAGAGGAGCGACTTTGTTAGTAACCAGGAATAGCAATTGTAATAGAAAGTAGATCAGGCAAGTGATTCTTATTTTCCTGGTTGAAGTTCGTATCTCTCCTTAGTTTAGCTCTTAAGTTGCCTAGGTTCAGAGTTGAGAAGGTCCTTGTTTAAGTTTCACAGCTACCAAGTCCGTGCAGTGTAAATGCATCGATACAGTTTTGACTCTCCTTATGATACAGCAGCTTTTTGCATCACTGCTCATCACTGTCCTCTTTTGGTACCGTCTTGAGATTCTCTCAGTGATGGTCGCATCCATCGGCGGAAGTCGCAGCTTTTGTTTCTCGATAAACGTCGGACCTGTCTTGCCTGCCAACTCGATTTCATGTGTTCTGTCTCATATGTATCGTGTCGCCCCCAAAGTTGCCTGCCAATGCCGAGGAAGCTAACCATAACCTGACATTGAGTTCATCAATGCAAAGACCGTCGTTCCAGATTGAGAACCTTGTAAATGTATCAGGGAAAATGCCAGTGGAATTGTAAATACTTAGCAAAAAGCAGAGACAGACTGTTCATATTTCAAGCTTCTTTGTCAACTCGAGCAAATCAAACAACTCAAACGAGAGTTATAGACTCTAGTGTATGATCCGGAGTTACAGAATAGAGGACAAAATCGGAGGACTCCTTAACCTGGTAAGAAGTGAGAGCTTCTCAAGAGAAAGATAGAACAGATTATCGAAGGTACGCGAAGTTACATATTCCTCCGGACAATCGGATCCGTTACTTGAAGGTGAAGTCAATACACTAAGACCGGAGGAAATACAAGTTTCAAGTCCGCACACTTGAATCCATTGCTGGAAGAGAAATTTAGTGTTCCTAAAGCCACTAATAGTACACACGGACTGGGAGAAATGTATGCCCATCTCCACGAAGCCTGGAATCTTAACTGGTGACAAGCATTGGATTCAGAACATCTAGTGGCAATCATAAACATTCAGTGACAGTGACCTTTTCTTTTCCGATATCTTAACTGATGACAAGCATTGGATTCAGAACATCTAGTGGCAATCATAAACATTCAGTGATAGTGGCCTTTTCTTTTCTGATAGTGGTTATCCTCCTTGCTATCCTACTTTAGATCGTTTCTGCAAGGACGGGTATTGAGAATCAAAACAGGAGAGTGACCAAGAGGTTTAACCTTCGGACAATATTCCGATTAGCCAATTTTCCTCGATAGGATTTCAAATAGTCCTTATGATGTAGCCCTTCCACATAGCACAAGAAGTTGGGAGCATGTACATGGGGTAACGATCGAAGAGCCAAAGATACACTCCTCATCGTGGACCACGTATGTACACATTCACGTCGAAGAGTGCCTTCCCATGAAGCCTGTGTCCATAACATGTAATCAATCATAATGACGAATAATGAGTATATTTACTGAGCATAAGTGAAACATGTACGCCGTTTGTGAATCCCCCTGAGGATACGTAAAATAAAAATAAAAAAATCTATTATCTCTTCCTAGCTACTAGCGACCCTTAATCAGCACAGCGAGCCTAAAACAAGGATGGATTGCTGCTGCTTGCTAGCGGTTCAACAACGCTTTAGCCAATGGTAGTTGACCAAAATCGTTTTCTCCTGAAATTGCACCATCTGCTTATTGAACTTGGGAAAATTTACTCTTGATCCTGGCGACCATAACTTTAAAGCGGTCAAAGTCGTTCAGGGCAGCCGAGCTTCTTTTGGACGATGAACTTTCGGGCCATAGGCCAAAGGGCTATGTCCGACTTGTTGGGGACACCTGTGGCATGAATATCAGCATCCTTCACTTCTTTCTCAAGAGATTGCGGGACAAATCACATAGATATTGTCGTACGCCAATACGTGTACCAATAGATATGGTCATCCTGAGCGTAACAAAGAGGTAGCGAAAAAAAACTGTGTCAGCCTGATCTGCTGCCATTGTAGAGCTATTTTTTTCTCATAGTGCGTCAATCTTTTATCGATAGTTGCTCACCTTCTACTCCATCCTTGAAACTGTTGTTGCAAACAGCTTGGAAGCTTTCCTACTTATAAGCCGATCTCCATCACTTTCCTTCCTTGAAAATGCAACTGTACATCGTTTTGCTCACCGTCTATCTTGTCTCTTCGTCTTTTGCTTCCCATATGCAGACGACTTCCGTTTCTGAAAAAATAGTTGATCCTTTCTACTTCCAAATGCTCGACTGTTTGCCTCCAGGCGTAGTATGAGTTCTTAAGTATGAATAAGTAAAAAGCACAGAACGCGTGCAATTCTCTGATCAGCTTCAATGTGATCGTTGTATAGATTTTATCATCAAGCCTTAATCTGATATGTGAGATTCCAAAAACATACTAAGAGAGTGAGTGGCCAGTGGTGCCCTTTGGATGGGTTTTTTTTGTACTTCCACGCAAGTCATCGTCTAGTCAAGCAGCTTATCTTTTCATTCAGCGTCTTTGTAATAACCCACTAAAGGCTAAAACTGCAATATAGTGGTAGAAAGGTCGAACCCACAGGGACAAAGGAACACACAGGGTACAAAGTGTCACATTTAACAGACTATTGAGGAGTTTGAATTCTCAGGCGACTGTCACTCCCAGAAATACTGCAAGTGTCCACTCGGAGCGCGCTCGGAGGTCGCACAGTGCAGCGTAACACACACACACACACACACACCTGAAACTACAGAAACACAACCCAGAGATCCGTTAGGACCTCTACTCAAGATTTCAGGGGGAAGTCTCTCAAGAGTACACTCAGCGAAGCTGCGGGTAGTGACTTCCAACTCCGGCTTTTACAACACTTCCACTAGCTTGCTGCTAGTGTAGGAAACCCGGTTTGGACTGCCTACTTCGGATCGAAGTCACTCATACGCGGTGAACAACACTCTCAACTCACAAAACGCGCAGAGAACACAGGTCCGCACTGAAGGACTCACTGAGAAACATTCCAGTAACACAACAACAGTCTATTGAAGAGTTTGAATTCTCAGGCACTTGTCATTCCCAGAAATACTACAGGGGTTACCCTCAAGGCACCTGCTGCAGCGTAACCTGAATTTGCAACCAAGGCTTACTCGAAGTAACAAAACTTCACTTTGGCATTCAGGGGAAAAATCCCAAAGGAGTACAATCAGGAACAGACACTCGAAGGTGTAGGGGCGAAACTATTCAAGTATCTAACTAGTCACTGGCTCTGAGCATCGGCAATCACCCGCAGGTGTAGATCCGAACTACTCAAGTCTCTAACCAATGTACTAGCTCTGAACATTCGGCCGAAGACCTTCAGCTACAAAATGCGGAACGCTAAGTTGTAACTCCTCATGCGTGGTGACAGAACTCAAGGGCACAAACACGCAAAGGAAATGGGTTCCTGATCTGCACTTCTGAAATTGGGAAAGAACCCCAGGCAAAACGCCTGGAACTATTTTATACCTTCTAAGTCCTACTAGCACTACCCTACACGCCTGCACGGAACCACGCTACACTACACTCCGCGGAACCTGTGCTACGTCTCCTGCGCGACGGACTGCCGCGCACTAACTCCCTACCCTGCCAGTCTTCTGCTCGACTGCGCAGTCCCAATCGCTGCAACGCCGCGGACACCTCCACTTCGAGGGCGGACATGGTATCCTGCGCCTTCGACAGAAAAGCATCGAGCTTCTTTGCTACCTTCCGCCGACTCCTACTGTCGCCTGACAACAACCCGGCTGCGCGAAGTTCAAACTCACGCAGTGTGAGTTTCTCCTGCGCCGCCACTTCCCAGTGGGCATAGCCCTTGAGACAGTGGGCGACACGCCTCGCCGTCTCCACCTTTGTGCGATCCGCCTCCTTCCTGCGATCCTCTTCAATTACCACTAATTGCGATTCGGCCTCAGCACGTTGCGCTCTCAATTCGCCACACTCTGACTGTAGCCTGCGGATTACCTCCTCATCCGCCTGCCGTGCGAGCTGACACTGTTCTAACAACCGCGTCTGTCGCACGAGCTCCTCTGACAAAATCCGATTCTGGGCCTGCTCAGAAATTAGTGCTTCTGTGACCTTCACCTGCTCCTTGGTGAGCTCTTCCAGTTTCCCATCCCTCACCTTCTCGGAGTACTTGTAGAATTTCTGATTGAGTTTATACTGACCCCACAAGCATTCATGCTTCTCCTTCAATTCCCTCAACTCCTGGTCCACTCTAGCTAGTAGCTTGCTGGTGTGGACTTTAGTGCGAGTCCGCCTACGCACTAACTCGATGTAGGATCCCGGCTGAAGTGGGTCGGCGTATTTATCGACTTTGCGATCCAAGTACCTCAGTAACGGAATCACCTGCTCAGAGAGCGCCGCCGCCGGCGCTCCAACAATTTCCTCCTCCTCCTCCTCGGTGTCCCCTGCTCCTGACATTTCTTCGGTGGAGCCTCCGTCGTCATCATCCGAGTGGAGAATTTCAGTCGCCATTGATTGCGTTGGCGACTGACCCGAGTGGGGCTGCACGTCGTCGACGTGTGCTGCCTGCGAAGGCACGGCTGCAGCCTCGCTGCTCTTCGCCAAAATGTCTAAGGCGGTAGGCGAATGTGCCCGTGCTGCATCCCCGCCGCCCGCTTGTTAATCGTCTACCGTATCCTCCCTACCGCCGACGTCCGCCGCCGAAGGCGATCGAGCGGAGGGTGGCTGCGCGGGGTTTGATTGCGCATCGCGCACCGAAAATTCATCCCGCGGACAGTCACTCCGCTCCTCCGCCAGTTGCTGCTCCCTTGATCGGCCCGCGGGAGCTGTGCTTGGTCTGTGCGCAAGCGCAAATGCCGGCGCCTTGTCCGCCGCAGGCGTAGCGCCGCGGACATCCATCGCCAAAGGCGACATGGTCGGGGGCCGCTCGCCCGATGTCCCTTGGCCCTGAGGCCCTACCGCCGAAGGCGCATCTACCGGCGGATTACCCGCCGATGGTGTGGCCTCCGCACACTCCCTGCTCGTATCTCCTCGGCTCGAAGGCCCTGGCGCCGAAGGCGCAAATCGCGGCGCGTGGTGCGCCGGAGGGTCTGGCCCCGAAGGCCGGTGTCTCGTAGGCGGCTCTTCCGCCGGCTCCTTCCCCTTCCTACGTTGGAACGGGGGTGATTCCTGCCTGTGCACAGGCGGCACGTGTGGAGGTGACCTGTGCACAGGCGACCTGTGCACAGGCGGACTGCTCCTTCCCACGCGTAAGCGTAGATCTACGTCCGCTTGTGATCGTCTGTCCGCGGAGGCTCGTCCGTCCGCGGAGTCTCGTCTGTGCGCAAACGGAACACCTGTCCGCAACGCACGTGGTAACTCCGGAGGCCCTTGGCCCGTAGGCGGCCTCTCGCCCGTCGAGGCTGCAGCGTGGTCCGTTGCTCCTGCGGACGTCCGCGCTTCCTCATGCTTCTCTGGCGACGCACTTCCTTTCTCCGTCGCAATCGTCGCTGTGTCCGCACTGTTGGCTGGTAACACCAGTCTGCGTGCCTTCTGCTTCGGCCGGCTGTATGACTCGTACAACGGCCGCGGTCGAATGGGAGCAGAGGGTTCTTGATGCTGCTCCTCTTCGGACTCTTCTCTCCATCGCCGCTTCCGCGGCACTCGTGCTGCAGGAGTGTTTCTCCCTTCGTCCCTCCGCCTTGATGGAGTAGAAGTCGGTGACTCCTCTGCATCAGTGTCGACCTCATTCTCCCGCACATACTTCCCGGGATGGTCGACGGACAACGGCGGAAAACGCTCAAGCTCCGCCGCTGTCAAACAATTCCGCTGCCGATAAAAATTGATGAGGAAAGGAGAGAGATGGTTTAGAGTTCCCCCCTTCTCCTCAAAAGCGTGCTGTCGCATCACCCTGTGCAGGATGCTCGCCCAGTGAATTGGAGTTCCCTCGATGACGCACTCCACAAAAGAGACCTGCCACAATGTGATGTAGCAGGCGCGGTGTGGCTGCAGTAATTGCATCAGCGCCGCGGACAAAGTCCGGCGAAATCGATCCTTGTAATCACGGGTCCTGTACCCATTCTTGGTAGACCTCCCGGTCTTGAACAGCTCCACAAATTGCGCCTCTTCCTGCTTGGTCACCTTGATGCTCTCACTGTCGAAGAGGAGATGCCCTGGCATGCTTCACATCTTCCCAATGCCTGCGCCCAATCTTGGACTGTCCACCGATCAACATGTGGACGCAATCCGCGCGAGGGTGGTCCCTGTGGCTCTAGCCACTCGCGCACCATATCCGCACAGATGTAGTTCCATCCCCATAGCAAGAAATCGAGCTTTCTTGCTATCAAGCGCTCCTCGAAAGCGCGCAGCCCGTTCTGTGGTAGACGAAGCGGCAGCATCCGCAATCTGCCCGGTCTCGTCATTGCGTTCCTGGAGTTCGCTCGCCCGCTCATTCTACTTCCGCACCGCTCGAGCTCCTTTCTCTCTCGGCAAACTCTAATCGCCCTCAATTCCAAATCACGCGCACTCACTTCTCCCTCAATCACCAAGAAATCCTCTGTGCGGCGACGTCGAGAATGCTTAGCAGCCAGCAGATGGACGCGCGCAGCTCGCACAAGAGAGTGGAATCGCGAATTCAAGAATGGGACGCTCTCCGCCGCCCGGTCGAAGGTCATGGTCGGCTCTTGCTCGTGGAGAACGTCTCACTTGATGGCCGCGCCGGCTCTACGCTGGAACGGTCTCCGCTCTCACGCGCGGCTTCACGCTCCGCCGTCGCCGATTAAACTCTCACGCTCGAATTGGCGGATTTGAACTCCGCGAGCGTACTACCCCGCGGACATGGGAGCGCAGCGCCGAAGGCGAGTTTTCCGCCTTGCGCGGTACACTTGTTCGTACCGCTCCTCAGCCAATCCCCTTCTGCCTCGACGCGTGTGTCCGTATGTCGGACAAAAGTTCAACTCCTGCCTGTGCGCAGGCAGACTCCTCGGCGGATTCTCCGCCGGCGCGGAACTTCATCCTCCTGTGCACAAGCGCTCGCCTGTGCGCAGGCGAATTCCGTCCGCGGCGACGCGCTGGCGCGGAAGGCGTTGACCGTGGTCAGCCGTCTCCGTCCAGACTGTCCGTTCCTTGTCTCTTCGTCGGCGCTTCCGCCGCCGCAACTCCGTCCGTCCAAGAGCGCATCCACCCGTCCCGTCCGCATGGTCCGTACGGATTTGATTATTCTGGCGGCTCCTTGCTCGTCCGCGGCGCTGTGCTGGCGCAGAAGGCGTCGTACACTTTCTACCTCACAAGGCGCATTTCTAGGGCCCAAGGCGGATTTCCCGCCGACGCCGAAGCGCTTGTGCACAGGTGACCTCCTGTGCGTAGGCGGACTTCGCGCCTCCTCAAACCCTACTTCGCATGTGCACAGGCGAACTTCCTTCGTCCGTGCATAGGGCAAAACTTGATCCCCCTTCCGCGTAGGCGGAATTCCCGCCGGTGGCGAACTCCTTCCGCCGGAGGCGAACGTCTACGTATCTTCCAATAGTGATGACTCCCTAAGTCCTCATCCGTTCCAAGCGTTCTTGGACTCGTTGGAATCAGTGCGTCGAGCTCTTTCCAACGAGACCCTAACTCGGTCAAGGCGCCCGAGGGTTGACCTAAATATGAAGGATTTCCCTACCGCCGCGGACGCAACTTCCGAAGGCGGGTTTTGCGCCTTGCGCCGTAGGGATCCTAACTGCAGAGCTCGCAGGGTGGGTGGTGCCCATCCTTACTGCTGCACCCCAAATCCTAGATTCTACAAGATCCCTCGAGAATCCCCGCGATCTTCCGGATTCACTCTGTTTTGATGCACCGAAGGCTATTTACATTGCTGCCAGGGTACAGTTTTTTCCAAAAATGTTTTAATTTCCTCAAAATTACCAAAAGTGGGGTACCACAGTCTTGACTGGATTTAGGGCTGAGTGAATTATCATCGGTCGCGAAGAGCACCCTAAGTACAGAAAGCTGAGCTGAATATAGAACTACAAACTTCTCCCTGAAATCCAGATTTGATCTCGGGATCGAATCGGTGCATTTATTGAACTCAACTCCAGAAACTTCAGATGAAAGCCAACACGTAGTTCAAAGTCCCGTGACTCCTCACGAACCCCCGAACTCTAATGGGGCAAAGTTCGAGCTTCAACAGTCAGGGTTTTCAACCATGTAAGATGAAAGAAGTACATCATCACCATATCTGTCTTCTCTTTTTCCCAATCACAGGCCCTAGAGTCCGCCATTTTATGATTAGAGAATTCGAATCCTGCAACGACAACCACAGACGATTCCACGTTTCGTCAGAGATCTGGACCCGAATCATCCGCCTGATCCAAAAGTCTTCGCCAGTGCTCAGAAGCTACATCTTCGGCAGCGCAGGAGTCCGAGGAAAGAGCAGATCCAGACCGCTGCAGATTCGACCCGGACAGAAATCTAGAGAGAACTGGCAGACTGAGTGCGTCCCTCTGGCAGCCACTGGACTCGAATGAGCTGCTGGACCCTGATACAGTGATCCTGCATCCCACCTTATATATGTGCGTCGCCTGTGCTACGTGCTCAGAGCGAGGGAGCTGATCCCTGCCCCTGGGTCTGGACGAGCGAGGGCTTGCACGCCTGGGTCAGGTCCTCCCTCCCTGTCTCCCGCCCCGCCTACTAAACTCGAAGCATGAGGTGTTTCATCTCGTGTGCCATGTCTATGCCCATACACATGGCACACGGACCTAAACGTTCTTAAATTTTAGAAAGTTGAATTAAGCATCATTGTCGATTATTAAAAAATTGTGTCGATTTAAATCTATTCTAGAATTTGAATTTTTTTTCACTCTCGAACAATATGCCTTGAGCAGGTGGGCTCACATTCGTCATGATTCCCTATGTAAATCTGTAGATTTCCGAACCCTAGATACGGAGGCCATTTTTATTATAAATTGATAGACGCATCATGACATTAAGACTAATCATTCCTCGCAGTGGTGAGTTCATAAGGTCGAGCCTAAGGTCCGGAACATCTCCGGTAGCCTCCGACGCACCAACTGTTTCCAAGATGAGCAGTGAATTACAGGAATTCGTGCTATTGTTCAAGAATCCATAGCGAAATATGCTATAGAACATCTTGAAATATCGGTCTGAATTTTCTGTTCGTAGAGCGGTTCCTGGACCCAAGTCTACAAGATTTCATTGCCAAGAAGTCTGAGGTCCAAGGCCTCTTTTTGATGAGTAGTTAATGAGAACTAGATCTGGCCTCAAAAGTACTCTATTAGATCATTCCAAACTCATTGCGATCTTCGATCCAGCCAAAATCCTTCATGTGTTTCATAAACCGTTCAATTTCGCTGCTAAACTGATAAAGGTATTGAGAAGAGAGTACAGTCTAAGCTTATCATAAAATTTAACCATTCTTTTCAGATCAGTGCTCCTCAATATGGAAGCCAACCCCGCATTAGATAAAAAGCAGTCACCCAATTAGGCTCTTGATTCTGATCATCGACATGGATGCTTCTCCAATTCTCTCTACAAATAGGCTCAATGTTTTAATTTGCTTGCTTTATTGACGTCGGTAGAATGAACGCATTGCACACAGGTTTCAAAAAATCTTTTCAACATTTTAAAGAAAAACCAATTTGATATATTTGCTCAGTTATTCTATCACACACCGTGTCAAAATTTGATCCACTCTTGTTTATTATGACTCCAGGATTGTTAATGTACAAAATTCATCTCTCAATTAGATGTTCAAAACTTTTGAATATCCTTTCACTTTTAATTTCGCGCAGCCGTATGGTCACCTCGTTTCACACCTAGACTAGACTACCGGTAGACTTGATATATCGGGCACAGCAGAATCAGTCTACAGAACAATACATCATTTTAAAAACCTGGACGAGTCCAACTGTCCTGTCCGGCTAGCTATGGATATTCAAGTGTATCGGAGTATTTAGCTGGATTGAACAGGTGAAATTCAAGACCCATAATTGTCCAGTGGCAAACATCCCCCTACGGAAACATCAGCCCAGACTTGAGATAAACTGGGAAAGCCTGATGCAGGTGAATCACACCAGTGAGGACGAAGTGACAGACGATACTCGAGGGGCTGGAATCCGCAGCCGCCACTTGCAGAGACTGATGCAGCTGCATCTCCCAAAGTCCATAATATTTCTGAACTGAGGTATCGCTCTCAAAGGCGTAACACTCCACTGTAAAGACTTCATCGACCCCTACCTCTATGACGATAGTACTAGTCTGCGCAAGAGCTGTATGCTCACAAACTAGGATAGCCAGGACACCCAGCACTAGGGATATTTTCATGGTGGTGTTGCACATTAGAGAACACAATGCTTGTATACGAAGTCCTTCGTTGCCCGACTTGGGATCGACAGGTCGGACTCTCATATCACAGCAGGGGTTGGTTGCCTGCCCAGCCTGTGACTGAATATACCATCAAGAAGTTACAGTTAGATTTAAGTAGCAGAAGTATTTCATGCTATGAATCGGGGGTAAGCATATCAATTTATGATTCTAAGACCAGCTCATGCTAAAGAATTTGTCCCACTGTATCACTGAGACCACCCATGATGAAGCAAGATGAAATACAAATTTGAGCAAGGATTTTTTTGCCCTGGAAGCATGTTCAAACCTGTGTTTCAGAAGTCAAGAGAAGTACAAAACCTAGATCTGCAGTGGAAGACTCGTCGTGCTTGCTGCGGTCATCCGCTGCAGATCTATAGTCGCCAATTTGCTAAGAAAATCCTTTGAAGGCGCATACAAACGACGCTGGCAGGGATTTGAACTCTAAGATACGAAAACTGCAAGAGGAGAGGCTCTCCTGGAGGTTTGGCTTAGCGTGGATGTAAATTTGACGTCGTTGGATCGGTTGACATCGGAGGGCGACAGCTATCCCCTAGATCATCCTCGTTGATATGGGAAAAGAACATGGAAAGAAGTACACAAAACATATTAATAAGAGAATATTATAGTGAGTCGGAGAACATCGAGAACATTCTCTTTGGACACCGTAAGCTTGCTTGCAGCCAATCAGAATTAGCCGCAAGTTCGCTGTGCTTTTTGCAAGAATGTCCTTTTGTGACTAATGAATGCTTGATCTGACATGACAATGATCTCTTTCACAGCTGTAAGAACTTCATTTGTTCTCGACTGAACTGCCTACAAGTCTCTTTTGGGTTTTATGACTTCAAACTTTTGCGATTGTAACACCTCGAGCTCTGACGTGTTCCCGTTGGACCCTCTGTTCTCGAACCTTTCTGCTTTGCTTGCACTTCTAACTCTTTTCACAATGGAAAGTAAAAGCTCCTGGCCTGGACTGCGTTCGTTCATCTGACCGCCATAACCAGGATGACAAATTATATTTCTGTTGCAGCTATTAACGAAAGAAACCGAAAACCAACTCACACCATTACAGGCTCTCCTTGGAGTGACTAGTTGGCTGCACATCTGGAACGGAGATCGCTTTTAGTCTCTCACGGTCAAATCTGAGCAGATCGGTGACTTTTAATTAGATCGTAATTCTCGTTTAATGTTTGTTTACATCCTCCGGAGTAAGCTTCGATTCCTTTCTTTATCTTAATAAAATCTCGAAATGTGCATTTCGGCTAGAGTGAAATGAGATATTAAATAAAAGCGTTATATTGGAAAGTCTGTCCCAGGAGGTTGAACTCCTGTCAGACTTTTTCAATTAAGCGTCGGGGCCTTCCTGATGGATGCGGGTGAGCTATTAAATAGTCTTCGAGAAGTAACCCGCATGAGGTTTGACTGCACGCCCTATCATAAGACGATATTCTTTTAATGTTTATTTGTGGGTTTCGTCCGTTGATGTGCTTACCTCAAAGTCCTTCTTATCAACGTCCAATATCCAACGTCTTATACGATTTTGGCGAGTCGAGTGGTACTCACATACTCTTTGTACGTGCAAGAGAACACTATTAATCGTTCGTATATCTTTCATGAAGTATATTCTAATATAGTACTGTTTACACTACGGAAAGTGGTCATGGTTTACACAAGAATCAGATATGAATTTTGAGAATAGTTTTCAATGTCTCTCAACATGGATGGATGACTTAAGACAATTTTGATTGAAAGTGAATGTTCGTTTTGAATTTGTTGGGGTTTGAATTTTCTCTTTTGATGTCCATTTTCCTTCACCACCACGTGTGAAAGAGCATGTACATTGTCGAAGGCGGGTCTTAAATAAGTTTTCTTTGAGTCCTTTCAGTCCCTGTTCGATTTGGATGTGGATTAAGTGTCCGTTTGAAGGTTGGTTGCATCCAGCTTTGACAGATCTCACCGCAAAACTTCCAACAGTTCAAACAAAGGTGAAATTACTTCTTCAAAAAGATTATGTTTGGCCAGACAAGGATGTCTTGTATTTAATCTAATCTACACTATCCTCCTACGATATGAAAGAATTCTTCACGTTCGCATGATATTCACACTTGAAATCGTAAATGCCCTTCCTGATTGAAGGATTTCTAGACTACTTTTGTCCTTGATTCACGAGTCTACGGAACTTGCGTTATCGTCTAAGAAGCATAACATCAAATAGGAAATATAAGGATTCAGAAGCACATATTAGCCTACTCGGTTCCCTGCCCGGAGCCATGGGCAGACTTCAACCGAGTGTGAGTTTTCAACCTTTCCACACACCAGTTAGTAAGCCAACATACAAATAGAAGTCCTAAGAGTTGCTGTGATTTGAGTTCTCATCATAATTAGAATATCATATGAAGTTGTATCAAAATGTCATATGTTTGGATGTTCATATGTGCGAAAATCTTCCAGATTCTTATTTTACTATGACTTTGTGATTCACATTGGAGAAATGACATACCTTTGAAAAACACGTCTACTAAATCTTCCAATCTCAAATGTTAAGAAATGACCAAATTTTGTAAATAAAGTAGAGATTTATTATTTTTTTAAAAAATTATGCAACTTTTGAGGTCCGTGGCCTTGAGAAATAGGACATTAGCCTCACGATTAGACACTCTTTACGTGTATGTTATTGTCTTAGCATATGAGAACACAAGGAATCCTTCACGAGTTCAATTCGCCCAATGAAGTTCCACAATGTTTTTGTGTATCATGTATCACTTTCATCATGATATCGTTTTTACCTCCTCAAAATGATGCGCGAAGAATACTTTCTCTTCACCGGCACTTAGATCTTTAGATCAGTTTATTCAGAAAAATTCTGTATGATGCCACGCCCTTGGACGTAGTAAACACAGTGTTACTTCGATTTTTCTAGACAAGGATTTCCTTGATCGAAAGCAATTGGACTGGAGTCAGTTTTCACCAGTAACTTTTGTGTAATCGTGGCGATGGACATGGTTGGTTGAAAACAATTTGTTGCTTTTGCTGAAATACCGAATTACAAATTCATTCGCTATGTAAACTATCATTGCGTACTTCATATTCTACAGAAAATTCGATAGGCAGTTGATACTGAGAGAAAAAGACCATGTTTACATTTATAAATTATCATATTCTGGAAGAGAAAGAGACAAGTGTAAACAAATCTCAATTTCATTGGTACCTTAAATTTGGGCCCACATCCCAAGCCTTATTGAAGACCAATATGATCATTACAAATTGCCTGAGTGAAAAGGTCTCCGCACAATAATTGGGGAGGCTTGCTAACTAAAGTGTCTCTTGGAAAATTTACTCGATGCTTAGACTTCATGGTGATCACACTATTGGTGCCAAGCTAGGCATGCAATGACGTATAATTTCCTTTCATGTGTTCAACAGAATGCCAGACTTGTACCAACGTCAGCCTTTGAAGGAATTTCTGGCAACTCAGCTGGCACCACAGAATCAAACAGGCCACTTGTACCATTCTGAGCAATATATCTTGCTCTCAACGCAGATACTTGTGCATGACATTGCACAAAAGCGTATACTAAGAATTTGACGTTTTGCAATAATTATGAAACTTGGCAGAACTCAAACGTTTCTTGACAATTTGCGTGAGAGATTGAACGGCATGTACTATATGTACGTGAGATTCTTGCTATAATCCGAAACATCTTGTCTAGGAATGAGATGGTTTCTCATTTTAGAGAAGTCTAGAAAACTTTCAATCTTGGTCAGTCTATCTGTCTTCAAGATTTGAGCTGAAGATTCAATTTTTCCTTTTGCAATCAATCAGATAGAAATGTTGAGCTTCGAGCAGAAAGTTTGGAGGACCAGAATGGAGAAAATGAGTGCTTCCATCATCGTTCATTTGTTTCTCTTCATGTCCATTGTAACCATGCACATCCTTTTCAGATCTCTGAGGATTCCAGACAGAGGGCCTTATGTGATTTTCTGGGTGTTCTATGCCTTGTCCCTGATCTTGGCATGTGATTTTCTATGGAACAACCGTCACTCAGAATTGCGCTTGGCATTCTAGGCTGTCGAACCAGCTAGACCTGCGTTCGATGTTGGTCACACAGGTGCGTGATCTCACACTGATGTTGATAGTTGATTGTGAAGATATACGTGGTTCTTATGATCTATGGATATCTTGTGGAAAAGTGCACTGTTTTCTCCCGAGTCCGCTATACAAGAGAGTCCATTTGAAGCTCAGGAGGCTAGCGAGGCTCGAGAGTCTCCTTCACGACGTAAGTTGGGTCCCGGTGCTCCATAGGAATCACCGTGAAACTAGTGAAACTTTCGCACCACTTCAAGTTCAAGATTTGATTGTCGACTAGCATAACAATGTGCGCCTCACATTGATCATCATGGGATGATCCATCACAAGGGTGGGATAACCTCAATTTTCTTTCTGAATGCAGTTGCTTTTTCACCCTTTCGCCATCTGAGTGACCGCTCTCGCTACGCAGTAGAGTTCCAGCCACTGTGAAGGGAAATGCAGAGGCCCGATAAGCTCGAATAGAATGTAGACTGGCGCGGGCTTTGATTGACTTTGGAGACAACTCAGCAGCTGGGAAAGAGTCTAGCAACTCCGGAAGGCGAAGAAATTGATGTTCCTAACAAGAGAAAAGACATAGTCGGTCTAGGATTTTCTGACTTCCAGAATTTCCAAGCCCGTCGCGTTCACGAATAGTTTCACCAGCAAAACTGTAGTCAGAATTCATGTATTTAGCGAACCAGATTTCTTGTGGTCCATCCTTCTCCAGATCGTACAAGGTTCGCGTCATGTACAACCGTGATCCCTTTTGAGCTTCTGTGCTGTTTTTCAACTCTCCTCTGAGATTACATATCAAAACGCTAAATGATGCGTGTCCTGAAGAACACTTGTAACATGAGCATGAAAGGAGCTCTTGTAACATGTTCTTCGAATTGACTCGAGTAAAGTCGAAGACAATGTTACAAGAGCTCCTTTCATGCATCTTCTCTCTTCTGGTTTATGACTGATCCGAACGCTTCAAAATCGTAAGGGTTTGATAGATATGTTCCATGTCGTAGTGATGTGCTGAAAGAACTGCTTTCTGTTGATAAAGACCATATTCTCACACAATAACAATTTTAGCACTACTGCCACATGTATTCCAGATCTATCGGAATGTGTTGTCTGTCCATCGTCGACTACCAAGCCGCAATCGATCCAGAGCTCCAAGATCACTAATTCGCAAATTACATCTCATAACATTTGGAGTCAGTTTGAGGTATCATGAGACGATGGAATTGCGTTCTATAAATTCACTTGTTCAGATTTGTCAGATGTTTGAAGATGAGCAAAGGGAGACATGAGCTCTTCTCTTTGATTAGAACCTAAATTGGACAGAAGAAGAAAAAAATAAAATAACACCTTCAGAATTGAAAACGCTTCTGAACGCTTTTGTTAATGTTAATGGATCGTGATTATAGCACAAGATTACTCCATCACATATATATATATATATATATATACAATATGGTTTTGTAAGTACATGAACAAATAATTCTTCTCACAAAACACATACTATAAAAGATGTCAAGGGTCTTACAAGTAGTTGTAATGCACAACAGTAATGTAAGTAAATTTGAAGTGCCCTTGTTCCCGTCGGCCATATAAAATACTTTGAAATTGATGGATGAACTCCATAATAGATTGATGGAGTGCAATGTATACAATGCCTGTGGAGGTAAGTACAAAATTTATCACATATTATCGACTGCAGGTACATTGACGACGCATGAACAAAATTGGAGGATATGGTCAGCCCCGCATTGACATTGCAAGGACTTGAGCGTCATGAACCTCAGTCCATGCTCAACTACACAGTGTCATGCATTGACTCTAACGTACTCGCCGCAAAAGCTACTAGCTCGTCAAAAATCTTCAGTTTCTGACACCGATTGCTCTTCCTTAGAGCAAATTCAGATTTCTCTACTTTACTTGCAGGGATCAGCTGCTGGATTCTGCTCTTCTCTCTGAAAGTAGGAGCGCATGTTTCTATCTTCAAAGCTTCCACCTTGCGTTTCATCTTCGAGGCTTCAAGTTTGCGCTGTGGACAGTCAGAAGTCTTAACCAGCTCTTTCCGATTCTTCAACCTGGAAGCTGGTTGCACGTCTGGTTCGCAACTCCCTCTGAGCTTTTGTGAGGCGAGAATATCCTCGAGCCTCCTCTGTTTCCGTCCTGGGCACAGGAATACTGCGCGCGCTTGCTTCAGCGAATCGTCCAAGCTTTTATTAGTAATATGAGAATTGGAAGGATCATCGTGCCCACTTTGGAATAGGTCCTGCACTCGTCTGACTCGTTTTGTGGACGTGGAAGCCCCACTTCCGCTCTCATCACCTAATAAATCAGAGGCAGCATTGCTCTCATTGTCCAAAAACTCTTCGATGGCCTGTCTGTATTTGCCTCGAGTGCTTTCATGACTGAGCTTGTCCTTCAGAAAGGTCTTCGTGCTCGGAGTAATGGGCATAACTTCGTTGTTGCGGCAAAACCGCACTTCTTTAGTCCCGAAGCAACTCACAAAGGTTGTGTCGGGAATGGTGAACAGCCCAAAGTCTTCTGCCTTGCGCACTCGAGCGGGCCATGCTGGATTATCCTTCAACCTCACCACAACCAAGTCTTGCTCTCTGAACTCATGATGCTGATTATCGTAATCCTCATGACCTTCAAGGCTCTTATAGTCGAAAACTCTCCCGCAACTTCTGAGATCGAGGCCCTTCACGGGACTCGTTTGAACCGCCTTGGACTGCTGATCCGGCCTCATACTCTCCTCGAGGATAATCCACCTCACTGCAACAAGATTGATCTCCACGAGTTTTAGGTTGTGCAATCACGAAACACGAACTGCAAACACATCTCATAAGTTCACTAAACCCACAGCTGATGAAGAACATCTGCCAGTGCCAGAAATGCTACAAGGTCAAAGTCGTTGATTTCATCCTCTCCCATATAATCTGCAGTCGGCGTTAGGGTACAATATTATACCCCACCACCTCAAAGCTGACGGTTTCCTGCCTATGATCCAGGTCGGATCAACTCGTCTGATACTTTCCAGGTTAACTCCGAAGAAGAGGACACCTCTGAAGTTGGCTACGGACTTGAGTTTAACCGGTTAATATTCTTGAGGTTTTATGGTTTTTTAAGCATGGCTTGTAGAGAAAAGTCCGATGCTAATGGGAAACCTGTTGATGATTGGGCAATTTTCAAATCAACTCTTAATCGCAATCATTTCTAGTTGAAGTTGACACGGATGCCGGTTTGAGGGTACATTTCACAGAGGCAAATATGATTATGTGATCCTATGTACTTTTCGAAGTTTTACATAATCCTGGTTTTGTTTGACCTTATTCACCCTCTAATTATAACAAAGAAATAAAAGCTGTCAGATATCGTTACAGCGTGCTTATTCTAATCGTACATGTTGTACTTACAATCTGATACATGCCTATGCCCTTAATAAGATCGCTATTGTTCATGAATTCATTTTCTACTATAGTGAAACAATTATTATGTTGAATAGAGTTGATATTGGCTCAACGTTATCATCTGGATCTGCTGGTTTTTGCCTTAAATCTGAGTTACTGTATAAGTATTTCATGCTACGGTATCTACGACAACTCGCGAGAAACATCTTTCATTGTTGGCTACTTAGTGACAGGGAAAGTCATATATGCGGGGAAATTGGAGCAGTCCCCTTTTAGATCGTGCGAAGACATATTAACTCGTAATGACTTAAAAATTTTAAGTGATGAAAACCGCCGAAAACTCTATCTTTAAATCAGTCAATTGCTTCTTGGGTTTCTCCATTCATTTGAAGTGTAATCTGAAATTTGATATAACTAAGTATATACGTGGGCTGTTCAGACACATCCAGATTCAAGACCATCAATGCATAGCTTTTCCAATATTAGTGAAACATGATAAATGTTATCTTTCTTATTTTTGAAAAAAATAAGAAATATGTTGTTGAGATAATAGAAAAGAAATCTAACTAAACACGTCGTTTATCAAGTGTAGGAAGATGACATGTAAGTTGGGAAGATAAATAAACATGACATTGTATTTAAAATGTCGATGTTTAGTTTGAAACGCCAATAATTTAATATTCCTTAATAGGTACTAGCTTGTACGATACCATTAATCTTGGTGTGTATCTTTGTTTCATCAAGTTGATAAAAAAGGTGGCTATGAAGACGTTGATTGTGACATTGTTTAATCCATGGTAGATTACGCACGTCGAAAGAAAGATGTCTTTCTTCTTGAAAAATTATATAGGAGCTCTTGCAGTTGATTTGGAATGTGAAATAAGATTCTTTCGCAATGCAACAAGCTTGTTTTGAAAGATGTAAGAGATTGAATTAAAAGAAGATTGTGCACATTCTTGAAGTTTGATGCTACTATCATGAGGCAATGCTGAAAAAATTTATCACCGTTATTTTTCTCACACATGTCTTGATATTTCTCATATTCTGCTAGAAACTTGATTGGTGTTTAAAATGTCAAAATTGCATAAAGTACAAATATATTTCCATTTTTGTGAGCTCTTATTAAAAATTGGATAATGACCATCAATGAGATTTTGATCTTGGATCCTCGGACTTGGTAAAGATACTGATTTATTTCTAGGATTTGAAGTAATAGGAATAATTTTAGAATGTCAAAATGAAAAACTATGATTTTGGTTTTTTTTTTCAATTTTTATCCAAATTGATCATCTCTAATAAAGAGAGATCTTTGACGGGCGTAATAGAGGAAAAACTTATGATCTTGATTACAATAGTCCTTTGATGCTCTTTAAAAATTATGGGTAAGAATTTAGTTTTTTGAAAAACATTTCATAAAATCAAAACTCTATTGATGACTGCATCTACTACCACAGGATATGTTTTAGGATTTATTGGAAAATTATGAGGTTTTACAATATTTCTATGAATAATCAAGCAAAGTTATCAAAATCTAACAAATACTTGTATTCTATGCTATGTAGATAAAATTAAATTTTTAACTGGATATTAAAACAGCAAGAATTTTTTGACAATAAGATAATAACTGAAGTCATATAACTCTTCGTAGCCGCATAACTGCATGATCAATAATGTGGTTGGCCGTAGTCATTTTTTTACTTGATTTTCCATGTCTTGGCTCAAAAGTGCTTAAGGTTTATCAAAATTTGTGCGGCTATAGTTCTTGAGGTTTCATAAGGCAGTTGTTTAGATTGTGATTCTTGACTCCATAATATAGACACAAATTATCCTTATGACATCATTTTTTCTATTCTTCATTTAACTTACTAACTCTTGAAGTGTACAATTGCATGGGCTATGTGGTCAAAACGCTTAAAGATGTTTGACAGGTCAAAGCTGTGTAATCCGTTTGATATGATCTAAAGCAATTTTGCTCTTGTTGTTGCTCAAACAACCGTTTGATGTAGTTGATCGCTTGAACAATAACTTTCAATAGAGTACTTAGTTTGGGCAAATTAGCAACAAGGTTTTGACATCGTTGCGGAGTCATCATCAAAACATGATCATGAGAGCTATATTGTTTTGATTGAGGTTATATGCAAGTTATTGAAATTTTGCAATGTTGCTAAAGCTATATGCAATTGTTATCTTAGTGTTTGAAGTTTTGTTGTTGCTATAGAGACTCAATCTATTTTTTTAAACGTTATGTTCAAAAAATTGATTCAAGTCATGCTAGAAGTGGAAATTTTGTTTTCAATAATAACAAAAATCAAGATTACATGATTTAGGTGAACAGTGATTTCATTAGTCTGACTTATGTTTCTTCTATTGAAAATATGTGTTGTTGGAGACCGAAGACTAATGATTGACAAGATCTTATAGTTTTGTATGATCTTCGTCAAATTTCTCTAGCAAGCTTATTCAAGATTCATTCGGCACATGTGGAATTAGATCGGCTGCAAAAAATGGAACAAGTACTATAGAGTAAACAACTCGGAGCTATTTCATGACATTTTGTAGTCAGATATTTTCTTATTGCAGCTATTCCAGCATGACAATCACGTTGTGCATTTAGAAGTTGAAAAATGAAACGTTAGAACTGAGAAGATTTCTCACTCAAGATTTAAAATAACACTCAAAGTGAAAAAACTAAAAATAATATTGATAATTAAAAGAATGGATACAAATGTTGTCGACAAAGTGAGAAAAAATATACCTCACTTTGTATATAATACTAGGACGCTACTAGGATATCCAAAGTTGGAAAGAGATATCGCCACCAACACTTTATGTAACATAACATTTTCCTTCTTCAGCCGTGCTTCTTTTTACTTAGAAGAAATATTTGATTCAATGTTATCATAATGAATGACATCACAATACAAAACAAAAGACTGTTCAATCTTTTTTTGAATCTTGTGGAAAGACTTAGTTTAAAAATACAAGAGACTAGAGGTGAAAAGGTGAAGCTCACTGGTTAATTTTCTTGCACAAATCAAGAAATGAAAATGATTGTCACCCTCCTCTTATCTTTCACCAGCAAAGTAGATAACATTTGCAAATCATAGATTGAATTCCACAATCTTTGTATCATCAATTTACTCCCCACTTTGCCACGTGAACTTGATTTGTCGAAGATGGAATAAGTCTCATCATATTTTCCAATTCATTTTTCAAGTAAATATGCTCTAGTCTTAAAAATTTCCACAAGCACACTTTGTTTAGGATCACAATTTTTTAAATAGATCACTAGGAAGTCAAATCCAATATTTGCTTGAAATATTCTAGTTACTTGCAGTTACTACTATCTAGGGTAGCTCATTTCTTAATGATTTGACATTCAAAAGGATATCGACAATAATTATATCGGTCGTAGCATCCAAATTTTATCAACTGAGACATAAGTTTATTTCACTCTAATTGTATTATGCTTTTTGGACCCAAAGACAAGTACTACAAAAGATACTTAATGCACAATGCGATTTGTTCAAACAGATACACAATTAACTTACTAGAGATGCTGTTAAATAAGTCGGGAATCCATGCAATACTACAAGAGATGACCATCACCCTGGATAAAGAATACAAGAAAGAATTAAAAAATCATGTAAGCGTTTAATTTTGAACTCTAAAACGAATTTGTTCTCAAATTGAATAAAACATGTAAAGAATTTTCACAAATATAAAGAATTAAGAGTCTCTTCTTTTCAAAGATAATGAAAGCGAGCAAGAAGTTCTATCATGTTACTAAATGCGGCAAAATGAACAGTTATGTTGTTTGCTGATAAACTTCATGTATCATTTTTGGTTAATCCAGCGATATTTAAATATCATGTTAATGTATCATATTTAACATAAAACTTGAGTTTTGCCATTTTATATGAACCATTCATGACAAGCATGCGTACAACTTTGTGTCTTTTCAATGTGGTATTATGTATTGTTGAAACATTGTCGTGTGTGAAATCTTCCAAGCAGATATTTTCACTCTTGGTGTCAAATACACACTCATTTAAGACTATTAAATGACAAAACTTAAATTTATTGAATTTTTCATATACTAAATATGGTAAATTCGTCTTAAAATTTATAAGTTTCACTTGGATGTCTGCCAGAATCTTGGAGCAGCGTAGTTATAACCTACAAACTTTGTAGGTTATTGATTTTTAAATGTTTTCAGGACTGGTACTTGAAACAAGTCTTTTTAATGTAACTCGTGTAATTCAGTTCCACATACGACAAGTTATTTTATATTGAAGATAAGCGGACTGAGAATCAGGAGATCATTGAACACTGGTTTGATAAATTCATATCTTGATGCATGATCAGTGAAAGATATTTCTGGTTCTTCCATTTTAATTTTTATTTACATTTCTATAACTTACCATCATTGCTGAAATAAATTTCATCGTATAGCCTAAAACGAGTCAGTTTAGCTCGTCAGAGTTTTGAAGGTATTGTCAGGACAGAAACTTGTGGTCAGGGGTCAGGCGAATATTTGAAAATTAACTCTAAATATATTGAAACTTGAGTTCCAGAAACTCAAAGATGGATGAAAGTAATTGGCCGAATATTTGTTATACACATATTTGTTAATGAATCGGGAAAACATCACAAAAATGGCAAGTACCATATTCAAATTATCAAGTTGATACAATTGCTTTGAAATCCAATAAATTATGTGAATAGATAGATCGAATCGGTTTTGCTAAAACAATTGTGGCTTGCTAGAGCTGTGTAGCCAGGAGAAAGCCCTCACATTGTCACGAGGTAAAGCGGACAACGCAGTTAAGCCCTTGTCGGCAAGTGCTGCATACTGCGTACATAACCTGCCTTCAACTGCGACTCGGACGGTGGATTCACGACCTCGGCAGTCACGAGGATTTCTCGTCTCTCTGACTCGAAAGTGAGAGCTTGAGCTCGAGCAAAGGGACGAGGCGAGAGGAGGGGACAGGAGGGGGATGCAGCTGTGCGAGAATTGTTTGCAAGAATGCAAACAATTGTTGCGAGGCCCGGGACTCTGATGTTCGCGAGCACCCGGTTGGTCTTGAATCGCCGGTCTTTCGGTTGGTCCAGAACGTCGCTGGTGGGTGGTGCTGGTGCTGGGACGAAGAGTGTCGGCAGAGCAGGAGCAGTGGCTGTATGGATGGGGCGAGAAGTGCAAGATTGCGGAATGCGGAGGAATGGTGTCGCATGTGCGATGGGCAGGAGCGACGCTGAGACTCTGGTCGCGGTTTCGGACCTCGGGTTTTGCAAGCCCTCGTCTCTCGTTGTGGTTTCTTTCTACAAGTTTGCCGACTTGCCTGATTATGCGGACATGAGAACGCCTTTGCGCGAGCTCTGCGAAGCACATGTGAGGTGCCTCTCTTGCAATAACCTTACGGGAAATTCTATCGTTGGTCAATGATTTCTTATCGTTTGGTGAATTTTGTGGATTGGAATCATGAGGTGTTTTAATTTCTGCCGCCACATGGGATCTATAGTTCTTTCCTCCGACGTTTCTCCGACGTTCCTTCTCGTGCATTGGCCTGAGCACCGGGAAAACCTGTTAAATTTGGCTCGCAATTTCCTCAGCGTTTTTAAAGTTATCGTCCCTTGGAAATGCCTTCAGGTGTTCTTTAGCGTTTACTTCTCAATGTTCTGCCTCGATTTTTGTATTATTTGTTTTAGGCTTCCTTCACTTTTTCAAGGTCTATGGACAGGTCTTTGAGCCTTCTAAGCAAAGTGCCTCTGACAGATTGAGATCTCTCATATGTCTCTGTTTGTTGTCTTTGCCTCTGGCAGCGGGTTTCCGGTGGAATCATTCTGGCTCCCGAAGGTATTAATGGTAGCATATGTGGTACTCGAGAGTCGCTGGACAAGGTTTTCGCTTTCTTAGAATCTGATGAACGATTCAAGAATCTTCGTAAGACTGAGGCTCCCGCGACCCGAGAAGATGAAGATATTCATGATGGCCATTCTAAAAGTTCTCCTCTTGGAGCTGGAGACGATGCTCCTTTCCGATGGGGCCACGTGAGAGTCAAGCTGAAAAACGAGGTATAATTCAGTACGGACTTGTGACCCGTATTTTATCAATGAACTACTTGGAACTTTGCAGTATGTGTTGAATACAATGTCGAGCAACAACTTACAGCTACTTGCATTGTTGTAGGTCGTTCCTTTAGGAGTTCCAGGCGTAAATCCTTCTCAGAAAGTGGGAAAGTACGTGAAGCCAAAGGATTGGAACGCTCTAATATCTGATGCAGACACTGTACGTCTTTCCTCGCTGCTGTAGACTATTTATTAGTTTTGTTTTCCTTGTAGAACTGAATTAAACTAAATGTATTGTTGCATTCGATATCTGGAAGGTTCAAGCAGCATCGTTCCAACAAGAAGATTTTGGCTTCATCCACGTAGGTTGATATGTGTCTACGCACAAGGGGATCTCTGTCTTCTCACAAGAACCTGAACTTGCAGGTCACTATTGATGTTCGGAATGATTATGAGATCAGAATTGGAAAATTCAAAGGAGCTGTAGATCCTGAAACACAAGCTTTCCGTGAATTTCCTACCTGGGTCGAAAATAGGTTCGGACTGAAGGAAGCAAACTCTGAAGATTTTTCCGAAGATTATATGGCTGAGGCTTCTCATCAGCCTTCACCCGGATATTCAAGCTCTAAAGATGAAAATAATAGGCACTCAACATCACAACCAAAACGAATCGCCATGTATTGTACCGGTGGGATAAGATGTGAAAAAGCGACATCCTATTTTATTGAAAAAGGATTCGATGAGGTACGCCTTGTTCACTAGTTATCGCAAGCTGCACGCGAAATCTGTTGTCGCTTACCAATAGTGGGATGAAACGATGTAACTTTCAGTAAGTTGGTAGTTGGTTTTCTTCTTTCTCTTTGCTCCCGGGATGTGTCCCGACGTCTCATGTAAGGTACAAGTCTCTTCCGTAGATATTTCAATCAGTGTCGAGAGAGATACAAGTATGATGACATTCTGGGTTATTCTCTTTTCTTTTGTGATCACAACTCGACCATCAGGAGACGATTAAAAGTTTGCTCAAAAGCTCGTTTGTTCCCCAATTCAGACACATCTTGGTGCTTGTTCGTCGTCTTCTTTCTCCATCTGGAATTCTTTTGCGTTCCAAAACCAATATAAAGCTGCTGTGTTGGGTTCCGTCAACGTATTTTTAGGCCTTGTTCTTCCTTTGTTGGTTTCTTCTTTCCTTTTGTCTGTTAGACCATTTTTATCGGATGCGAGTACCTCCTCCTCTAACAAGAATTGTTAGAGAGGCCTCCATGTGTGTTTAGCTGACACACTGGAAATATAATTTGCCCGAAGGAGAAAAGTTAGATGTTATCTGGCACCTCTTCAGCCTGCAGTTCAGCAATTCTTTGAGACGCGGGTTAACTAGAGTTTGGCAAAAGGCTTTGCTTTTTCTCTCATGCCGTTGTCATGCATGTCTGCTATCAGGTATATCATCTGGAGGGTGGAATTTTAGGATATCTGGAGGAGGTACCAGCTGAACGAAGTCTTTGGGAGGGTGAATGTTTTGTGTTTGACAAACGAGTTTCTGTAGGGCATGGTTTGAAGCAAGGATCGCACAGCCTTTGCTACGGTTGCAAGAAACCCGTCAACGATGAGGACAAGAAGCACCCGTTGTGGGAAGAAGGGGTGTCGTGTGCGTACTGTTTCCACTCGAAGACAGATGAAGAAAGAGCTAGGGCGAGGGCCAGAGAAGAGCAATCTCGTCTGTTTGGAGTTATAGGCGGTCCTGATAGAGGAAAGAGACCTGCGCAGAAGAAGCAAGGCATACAAAGCTAAGATGTACTGCTATTATAAGCAAGAGGCCCAACATTGCTTTGGAGAACGATGCATTGCACTTTTTCCAATCACAAGTCTCTACCGTGAGTCTAACTTCCACGCTGGTTCTGAATGATTGGTCCGTAACCATGCGCTCAATTGAAAGTGGTTTTTGTAGTACACACCTGATGAATGTGCCCGCCGAGTCAATGTACCGTGACTGGAGTGGAATATAATAGTCAAACTGTACTCGAGTCGTACAGTTAGATTGTCTGCAAATGGATACTCTTTCACTGCATCTTTCTTTCTGTGACTCCTTACACAACCCTTTGCTACCCACTAACCCGCTCTTGGCTGTCCTGGACCATGTCTAAGATACATTTTGTTTTCTACTTGAACAATAAAAGCCTTGCCACGTATCCACCTCCCTTCACCTCTCTCCTTTGCTCGCTGTATCTCCAAAGCCCGATTCTCCAACAAACTTGCTCATGAATGGAGTTCAGAATAAAAAATACCGTCATCAGATGTAGGTGGACATATTACGTCATTGATGGCTGACTCAGAGAGTGGGCGGAAGTTATGTTGTTTATTACCTTCATATCGAGTGTTACGTGGAGTTTCTGGTCGGTTGTACTGTAAAGTTTTACGGCCTCTGTTGGAACTCACGTTTGCCGAAAGATCGAGGATGCCAGTTATCTTCTGCTTAACGAAAGATCGAGGATGCCAGTTATCTTCTTTGTCTGTAATGGATGCACAAAAGTCGTTCGCAACATTTTGTAAATGAGATATATTGAATCTATACAAACGAGTTCTTTTCCTAAACTACTCGAGAAATTTTTGCACAAAATGATCATTATTCTCAGAAGTTGGACAGAGCTTCACACAGCAGATCTGTCCACCATTTCTTCCTTCCTTCGGGCTAGAGCGCGCTTGGAGGAACACCTAAGAGAGAGAAACTATTCCATAACTTCCGCTGACAGATCCACTTTTCTTCGTACCCGCGTGTCGCCGCCATTGGTAAACGGTCAAACTTGCTTCACTGTCATGGCCAGACTCAGGCTCCAGCCTCCCAACCCGTGCGCAAAGCAACGCTGCACGCCTCAGACAATAGGACTCCCTAAGCAGTTGTGAATGCTCGTGTAGTGTTTTGTGCGTACTGTAGTTGACTCCAGGATACATCAACTCACAGATTCTCCAATCATCACATTGGGAATCCCTAACAATCTGAGCGAAAAATTCGTCCAGTACGGGATCACACGCTCGTACTGCGTGCATTCCAGACTCTACGTTGCTGGAGTAGGGATCTGTCCCTGGGAAAAGTCTTGTAACGGAGTCCCGAAATAGTTCTGCATATAACCACTATAACCACTATAACTGCATTTTATTTAAAGGGTGATTTTTAAGTAAAATATTCTCTTTATCGAGAATTGAGCTCCTTTGTTTTCTTTGTAAGTGCAGTCATTGCTCACCAGTTCACCATGGAGGTTAACCATGTCAATTCGAATCATTTCATTCTTGATGCTGGAAATGAATCTAACTTGCACAAAGAAGTTGTATATAGTGCACTGGTATATACACATTCTTTAGGGTTACCGAGCCGCACGCCGTACCTTGGTAGACCTCTGCACATATACTTGAGTTGTGTTTTTCAATACCAAACATCACCTGTGTGGTGGGAATGCTGTCTCTTGGACTTCTACAGATCTGAAGGTGGTCAAGGTGGCTAAGATAGCGTTAGTACGTGAGGACATAGCATCTTACTCCATTCTACCCGTCGCATATCAGAGCAAGGTTGCACACACAGAGAGCGTTTGTCATTCATCAATGCCTTGCTCACACCCCAAGGGGCAGTGCTCTTCCAGTTCGAAGCCTTCTGAAACCAATAACGCTGTGCTTAAATCTAACGAATTTGACGAACTGAAGCCTGCCGCTTTTGCTCGTTCACACTAGAGTCCACGACGCAACCTTTGCTTTTTCGGAAAATTGCATCAAAGCACCAAAACTTCACATTTCTCATTTCTCAGCCAAACTCGTTTCTTCCGTGACAGAGGCAAATGCAAGCTTTGCTCCAGTAAACCAGCTAGAACCAGTCTCGCAATCCAAGGTACAGAGCTTTGAATCATCTCAGTAGAGGTCGAGGGAATTTTTGTCACTCCAATTGCAGGATTGAATGCTATATGACGATGGCAAGACTTAAAGTTGAGAGGGGAATGTCTACTCAGGCCATTACAGTTTGATCCGTCTATGAAGATCATGATTCAGAGTCTCACACCAACTTTTCATGTGATACTCTGAATCAAGCTGCTTTGGGCTCCTGCTCTCTTCTTTTGGTCCATCTGGCCAAACCGTAAACTGCAGGATGCAGTAGAACTCCCTATCACGTTCTTTGATGTATCCAATAAAACCATTAATCCAGTATCAGGTATTTAGGTTGAAGATTTTAGTTCGTCAAGAGCAAACAACGAGATGAGCTCACACCTTTCGACAATAGTCTATGTACATCTTTGGATCACATTTTCTTTGTGTAAACCTAAGTTGAAGTCAGAAGATACGCCTACGATGCTCGATACGTTTGTAAACAAAAAAATCTCAAGCATCGCTTGTTTATCCAAGTTTTTTCTCAAAAGTCACGAGACGTGATTTAGTTCTGGAGAGAAAGGATTAATTTAACACAAAGATCTCAAAAGCAATATGCGAGTTATACTTCTATCCTACACTCTGGACAGTCACATTCTGAATAGATTCAGAATCGAACAGCCCACTATAACTTGGCACATCAACACATTTAAGTTACAATTGGCAAGGAATTTCTACAATTGAGATTCCAAATTTCTCTTCAATTGAAAGATCTCACAGTTTTGAAAGTCCGGAACAGACCTGTTGCCTTTTGAAGTTGTTCTAATCAACGATTCATACTCTTACAGAGTATCCCGGATATCTTCCATCAACTATACTATCCTGTCCACACTTGTGATCTAACAACCCAACACTTGCAGAATTATAAATAATTTTACAACCAATCCTACTACTCTTTATACAATCCAATTCTTCCTCTAAACAAATTGCTCTTGTTCGCGATTTCTCTTCATACAATCTAATTCTGACTCTACCTCGCATGGTTATGCATGATCACCTTCGGACGAGAGATACCAAATGGTGGGGCCTCTTCACTTCCATCTCCCGTAGTCGGGTCTGAGAGGTTTATAACTACCGACGCAAAAAGTGTTTTTTGGAGGAGATCGTGTCTCCACGTCCTTGCTAGCACGGAGACTGTCCAGCTCAGCCTGCACACTTGTTAGTGTCCTCTCCGTTCCTCCATCGCCGGGTTTGATCTTCTCAGCTCCTTCGACCGATCATCTTGTCGTTGGAACACTTTATGAAATCCCCAAGAATCTCCACATAGTCTTCCTGCAGTTTCAACTCTGTACATACATAGGAACTAGCTACTCTATTTTTTTAAAATTGGGAAGTTCAGTAGAATTCACAGCATGGTGAAGTTGCAGATCAGTGAATATCATGGTAGTTTTTTTACACGCTTGCATGTTAGGTCCAGTTCCATTACCTCCCATAAACCCATTGCAGGATTCTCTACTTCAATATCCAACGCAAAAACCACTTTTCTTTGTTTCTTCTTCACATCTCCTCTCGTAACTTGCAATCTAACTTGACGGTCTTTGCTGATAAGGTTGACTAGACTCAACCTTATCGCGCACAGACTCATGCACCAATGTATGGATTTCGTCGTTCAGTTCTTCTGATAGAACGGCATTAGGATTCATGGTCACGACTACGGAGTGGATGGGCTGCTATAAAGAGCTTGTCTTGCCATCGCATCGCACCCATAAGCAATCTCATACTTTGGATATACCGCTGGAGTCATCTATGCCAAATTGACATATCGTATCTTTTATGGTCTGCATCTCGCTGAGTTTCACTATGATCGAGTAGATATTGTTGGAGAAGTCGAATACTTCCAAGCGTCGTGGAACTATGCCTCTATAACTGAGGCTGGAGGATTCTTGTTAAAAGTGTTCCTGATTAATCGGATTTCCTTTTGAGCAAGTCGGAGGCTTCTAATATCGGTGAGAACATATGTACACGAAATTTTGACGGTAATGCGGTATCCAAATGCTTGGTAGCAAACCTTCTACAATAAAAGGTCTCATACTTTTATCGAATCGGTTTTTCGATCATTGCTCTATGGAACAGTACTGGGATCGGCGACTGGTAGCAGTCGCCGAGCTGCCTGTAGGTCGTCTACCATGACGAACAAAATTGGTTTTTGTCGTCTCCAAGATTCTCTATTCATGGCTCAAGCCGAGAAGAGGATCCTGTATTCTTCAATTTTTGTGACCTTTGGGCTCAAAGAACATGCCAAGCAGGCCTGGTCTGAAAGTATATTGACACAAGCGAGCTCTATCGCACAACAATTGAGGATGCATCCAGTCATGAGTTTATGAATCAACTTCCTTCAAGTAGAGGACTACTTGCACAGTTGAAGACCATGATAACGCAAGCAGAGAAAAATCTTTTCAAAGCCTCCAGATTCGAATAATCCTGGCTATCGATAGTTTCAAACAATGATATAATTCTGATTAAGAAACTGATCTTTCCTGGAGCTCCTAAAGCTGCCCTTCTTCTCCCGGGAATTCCATTGCCTCCTCGTTTCCTGAACTTTCCGACACCTCCTCTCCTCCTGCTTGAGCTTCCAGCGCAGCCTCTCCTCTCGGAGCTTCCAGCACCTCCTCTTGCGGCACTCTCCGCGGCTGTGTTATCCACTCATGCTCTCCACAAACTCCGGGCGTTGGAATTATTGCACACCATGGGTCCTGGAGGTATCGCGGAATTTTATAGAAACGAAAATCATGGACATCGCGAAAAGGAGGGTCGGGAAGAAAAAACAGCAAGCTCAATCGAGCCGAGTATTTCGCCACCACAGAGAGTTCATTACATTGTTGATTGAAGACGAAGAAGGCATCACTGCCTCCTGCGGCATAAAGGTGGAAAGGTTTGCCTTCTTCCCATTCCCATAGTTCTCGAGTTCTCCCGATTAGAGCTCCGTCCATTGCCCGAACCATCGGATGCTGGAGAAATGCGCCATCATAGCTCCTGCGATCGAACAGCCCGTCGAGACGAAACCAATCCATGGCGAGTAAACACACATGTCCTTCATACGCAGCAATCTGAAGGGAGTCGGG